CCTTAATATATTTTGGAAGGATCGACGTTTCAATGGATATGATCGATATGTTCATCATGGGGCAACGAGAAGGCACTTGGGAAAGGACCTCAGCTCACGGATCAGAAAGTCTGAAGGACAGGGAGAGAATGGGAAGTCCGAGGGGAAACGGGGACATAGATAGATGAAGATCAAGCATTCCGTCGAACACCATCCTAAGTCTCGCATTCCGGAGTGGACTTGTTGTCATTGACCTGCTCCTCGCCGCATCGAGAATAGACGCAAATTGGCACCAGCACCTATTTCACTTGTCCGTGAGCGCTTGCTCGATTAGAAAGCCCAAATATCCGAACATCCAAATCGGGACGAAAGGAACCTCATCCTCGGAGCTCTAAATCGGGGTGCGCAAGTCTCGATCCGCGATGATGACGTTTCGAACCAGGCTGCAATTATCGTCTTCAAATTGCTGCCGAGGAATGAATGTCACAGCGATCATGTCCACACACGACGACCGCGAATTGAAATTCCCTTCTAAATACCACAGTCGGTTGACTCTTACTGCCAAGCTCCGGCCAGGCTGCGGCCGTCGATCGAGCAGATCTGAGGGTGGGCATGGTCACAGGGGCGACCAGGAGGGTGACCTGCGAGCCGGTTATTTTAACCCGGGTTAAACGTCGGATGCTCGGGCTACTCTACTCGTAGGTGTCGGAAGTGGCTCGACATGTGCAAAGAAGGGTAGGGGTCCGTAACACGTGTCAGAAGCACGAGAGCGGCCTGGACCCGAGAGCCCGCCTGCAGACAAGGGAGCTAGCCGAAGGCAGTTGAGTAACTCGAGTTACGCTCTCGCATGGTGCGAGAGTAACTCGAGTGACTGAATTCCGGGGAAAAATCGCGAAGACCGAACGATGTTTCGCCATTGCTGCTGCGGCTTTGGCGGACAATTTGAACGTTCGCCCCGAGGGAGGAGGGCAGTACTGTCCCTGCACCTCCCCCGCCACCCACCCTACGACGTTGGACGAAGTTTTCCCGGTGTCCTGCCCGCTGCCCCGTCTCGGATCCACGTGCCCGGCGCCATCCGGTATGCTCCTATATCGAGCGGTGGCTCTGAATGAGGCCTTCCCACGTCAAGTCACAGCGATGGCGCTTTCCTCGTCCCCATTCCTCTGCTTTGAAGGCGGGAGCTCTCTCCATATCAAGAACAACAGTTGTACACATTCGTAGCGGAAAAACATTATTTTTCACTTCATTTCTTCAATCGACTTCAATCGACCTCCATGGTGTTCGTATGTTGTGGAACCCGTTCTCGAAATTTATTGCCAACGAGATTTCACATATTTCCACGTGCAGATGAAGCCTTTCGAAATCCCATGGTTTTGCTTTTCGGGACAACTGGTATTACGAATCCTGGGGAATGACGCAATCGAGCCACAAATCTTTAAGCATAACCAAAGGTAGTTTATTGCAATCCACAACGCCTAATCAAGTCGAGCAACCAACCGGGGAAAAATGCCTTTTGGGTCACATCTTCAAAAGGCAAGTTCTTCATCCGACTCTTCCCATTCAAACCTGAACACTCCATCTCTAGATCTCATTTTTTCTTCTGTGCTTTCGGATCAGATGTTGAATCTGTTGCCACAGACATTTACTTCAAAAGATCACATATTGCCAAGTCACTGTTTACCTTAATTACCTACAAACTTTGGATTTTAGTCTGTAATTAGGGTTAATTTGATCATGGCTAAGTATACTGGATTAACCTTCGCTATATAATATTCGCTCTTAGACACAACATAGAAGTACTTGAGTGAAAACTAAAGGTTCTCGTGGACTTAACCTCACGAAAATGTCATGCACTTACTTTCTCCGTCGCCCTTTGTTGTGATTGCATTTTATGTGTATGCCTTGTTATGGACCAAGAAGCCATCAAAGACTACGAATCTACACTTTGCATTCTCGGGAAAGTGCTCTGCAACTCGATGAATGTGTCAACATCCATGTAATATTATTTCCTTCAATGTTATTAACAATACCTACTATAATTATAGGTATAATAGGAATTTCATTTGATGACAATAAAATGAATGTTCATTTTTTTTTCGTACGTTTTATCTTTATCCATTAATTATTTCAATTATAGTAATATTATTTCCTCTTATAATATTAACAATACCTACTATATTGATAGGTTTTATAAGAAATTTATTTGATGACAATAAAATGAATGTTGATTTTTATCCTTTTGGCTTGCTACATCTTTATCCATAAATTCTTTCAATTATAGGCATTCTGAAAAGTCAAGGATTACTTCTCCACCGAAAAACTACTCATCGTCTCTGAACCTTATTGCAAAGTGGAAGGAATGTTTCCCTACTCTTGGCAGATGCATAGAGGAATGCCAATTGGCTTCTAATTCTTCTTCCCTCGACGTCCCCATAGATTTCTTCGTTCCCTTGATCGACGTCTTCCAGTGGCTCAAAGTGGTTCCCAATCACTTCGTTGATTCTTTTGATTTCAGGGCTCCCCCCAGCCACAAGATCATGCAATGGTGCTTTTCTTGTTCATGCCATACCTTCAGGCCTTGAGGCCTTCGCTTGATATGACCAACACGCTCCTCGGAAGGATTGGGGACGGGAGCGCTGCCATTGATTCCCGCATCGATCTCGTCGTCGTAGTCTCGGAGGTGAGGTGAGCATGGAAGCATGAATGATGTGGCGTTGCAACGCTGACTTGTTGCGCTCGGAGAGCATGGGAGGGATGGGAGGGAATGAATGATGGAGTGCTGCGTCATGGTTGTGGCATCATAGAGCTTTGGTTCATGAGAATCATGATTGCCATCTTATGAGTCACTCGGAGCGAAATTTGGATTTCACGCGGAAAGAATTTGACGCAAGGTTTCGTCTTCCGATTTGACAGGCAGTCTTGTTAGACTAGAAGAAAGCATCCTGTTTTAGATTATGGAGAGGGCGGCAACAATCACTCGAGTTTTCGGTTTCAAAGGCAAGTGAGTGAGTGAGTGGAGGTTGCTGCTCGTGTCTTTGTTGCCGGCAAAGTTGGCAAGTTTTCATGGCCTCCCAATCCCAACCTCGACCCTCGATGACCACAAGACTGGAGTGGAGTGGTCTCACGACTTCAGTGAGTCCACAAAACTGGAAGGCATAGTCGAATCTGGTGTAAGTGATTCCCAATTCTATGCCCATTCGTTATAGACGAGAGGTCGCAATATAAACCCTAGCAAGGGCCATCTTGCGGAGCACTATGTCGAATCATGAGGCGAACGAATTGGTTCGACTCGAGGTCCGAAAGGAAATTGGTCACGACGCAGATATGGTCAGGAGATGTGGAGTCGCCAAGACTGGACGGGGAATGGAATGAGGCTTGTTCGAAAAGCGAGTGATGACTTGCAATCCGGAACAGAACAGAGCATCATTCGGGGCTGGTCGCAAAGCAGCACCACTGTACCAAATGTACAAAAAGCCGCAGCTTTTAAGAGCACGATACGAAACAGATCCAAGAATGACAAATCTTTAATTTGAAAGAGGAACTCGCGGTGACATGATAGCCACAGGCCCCCCCCACCTCCCCTCCCCTCCCCTAGGGCAGTAGCCGGGAACCGCACTCGACGAAAAACAGAGCCACGCTCGTTCAAACCCTACGGCACGAGTAGCTCTGATCACATGCGGCAGCGGCAGATTATCCGCATCTGAATTCAAATGGCCATCGCGTTCCGCCTCCTGGCCCAAAAGCTTGCAGCGAAATGATAGTCGCCCACATTGGGGTGGACAATGCGGGCAGCCTTTTCAGAAAGTAAATGCGTCGTCTGCTGCAGCAGCAGCAGCAGCAGAAGAAGGTCTGTGCAGAATGACAGAGGCTGTTGGTGGGCACCGGGGATTCAGTCGAGTGACATGGTGTGTAACCCGATGTAACGCGATGCAGCAGGCATCGGGAAATCGGGCAGACGGACGATGGCCTCGGCGCAATCATGAAGGTCCTCCTTCTGCCATCCGTCGAGCGATTCGGAGCACGGCTCGAGGTCAGAGTTGTTTCGAATCATTCGCTCCGACCACGAAATTTTCGCTTTCTTTGGCCGAAAGAGGAGAAGCATCGGCCAGTCCTCGTTCCTCGGTCCGTCGGGGGACCCGCGTGAGTCTTACGTGGCAGTCCACGGATTCGTTCGATGAGAGAGTTCCGATCCGAAATCACCGAAATGGCTCTTAAATTCGCGAAAATAGGCGAAGAAGGATCACCTCCAAGTTCATCCCGGGCGGACGCAAATGGCGAATTTCAGAATGTTCGTCTGGTGGGAAACGGGTTGCCCCGGTAACATGCCGACGTTTGAAAATGTGGACCGGGAGAATCCCGGAGGCAGTCGAGAGAGGGTAGGCCGAGAGAAGAAGCGCATGGCGTGACAGCCGGTGGAGAGGCGGAGTAACCAACCGCGGTGAAGTTCGAACTGCCCGGTGAGCCGGCAGTCGAGTCACCGAGTCCGGGGCCTTGTGCTCCGCGAGTTCGAAGAGGAAACGTGACCCAAGTCACGAAACCGGAACTAAACCCGAAGTCGCATCAGCGACTCGCGACGGGTCTCGCGTGGCCGCTGCGGGCTGGCCGGGCGAGGGAGTCCGGCGCGACGACGGGCGTGGCATGGTGGACAGTACAGAACAGAACAGCAGGCGAGAAGAGGCGCCGTCGTCGAACGTGCGGTGCGACAGTGGCTGCGGTAAAAGGCGAACTACAGTAGCGCTGGCCTGAGCAAGTTACTGACCCCGGTCAAGGCAGCAGCAGCACCTGGTTGGGCAGGGGCCCTTTGACTCGTGGTAGCAGGCGCGGGGCCACTGCGATCACATGTTCTAGTACGAAAAGAGCGAGGCCCGGGCCCGCGAAGTGCCCGCGGGCAGGGTGGGCGACGGGGGACGGAGCGCTCGCTTCTTCGCCTGATGGGAACAGGAGGCGGTGGACGCAGGGGCAGGGCGAGCGGGAGGGGGAGGGAAGGGCGGAAGAAGCGGATTGAGGTCGTAGGCCCGGGTATTGGAAGTGGCACTCGAGCTGCAGTCCGTGGTTGTTAGGCGCCTCGCCAGGCGCAGACGAGCAGCAAGCGACCGCTGCATTCCCTTCCATGCTGTTGGACGAGGAGCGCGCTCCAGAGCGGCGGAGTCTCACGGTCGACGACCATCAGCAGCAGCAGCAGCAGCAGCAGCAGATCGGCTGGATTCCTACGAGCGAGTGGCGAGCACGAGAGCAGCAGCAGGAGGAGGACACAGAAGAAGAGGAAGAAGAAGAAGAAGGAGAGAGAGAGTCCTGTCAGTCAGAGAGTGAGAGGGAGAGAGATTGAGAGTGAGAGGAGACTGAGAGATTAGTGGGCCAGAGTAGGGAGAGAAGAGAAGAGGAGGAGGAGGAGGAGGAGGAGGTAGAGGCACTGGGCTGGGAAGAGAGCGTCTGGAACGACGACAGAGAGCGAGTGTCGAAGGTGGAGGAGCGGGAGGAAGCAGGAGGCCGCTGGCACATTTGGAGGAGTGGGAGTGGGAGGATGGTGATGGAGATGGAGATGGAGATGGTGGTGAAGAAGCGTGGTGTGGTGGTGGTATGCGCAGGGTGGGAAGCTTAGAGGACCGGTGGCGTGTCAATTCGCGTGTAGGAGTGTAGGGAAGAATCCATCGGCGGTTGATTGGGGTCGGTGTGTGCGAGTGGAGGTTTCGATTTCATTTTTGTTGTTGGTCAGGACGGGAGTGTGCACGGAGACTCGATCTCGTGCTTTCCTCGTGCTCTTCTCTCTATTCTATTCTATTCATCCCCTCTCCTTTCTATCTATCTCTGCTGTGTCTTGTTTCTCACAGAGGCGGTGGCCGGCGCGAGCAGGGTAGCATAAGCACAGACCAGGCCGGTTCTTGATTTCGTACTACATTTTCCCGTGATCTCGTCCCGAGAGGCCAGATATCAATGGCGCAGCGCTGGAGAGCTGCGGACGAACACGGAGCTCAGAGTCGGAGGGTTTCTCGTCGAGGTTCCGCCAGGAGCGCGTCCTCTTGCCAATGACGGGCCAGGATCCAAGCGTCTAGAGGAAGTCGTGCACGGGACCTTCAAGATCTTGCCTTGTGATGAAATTTCGTTCGACCGAGGCGATTTCAGACGTTTGCATGCGGGATTGCCTCCGTCGGCACGCATTTTCAGTGCTGGAGTTCCGAGGCCCGACGCAATCCTGCCATTATGCCAATCATTTTCTCGGAGCTCAAAAGTGACTGGCATTTCGAGTATCACATCTGTCTTCCGGACAGCGGGGCAACCTATTTATGATCTCCCTCTGAGATGAGCCTCGCTCGCAAGCTGATTTTCGAGACCCGAGCGATCTTGTAATCCTCCGGGCACTGCTTCGCCATCGGGGAGCTCATTGTAGATAGTGTAGACGCACATTGCCACAGCCGTCCCGAGGCCGTCTTCGAGAACGGGTGCGAGCAGATTCGTCGAGATCATCTGCGCCTGAAAGTAGCAGCAGCAGCAGCAGCAGGCGCCGTTTCTATATCTTCGCAGAGATCAGGTGCAGGCACGAACGATGGCATCTTTGACTCCAGGCGTGCTCATGAAGCTGGTGCAACATATGAACTCGGACGTGAGGGTCGCAGGCGAGCACCGCTCGGTGCTGCTGCAGGTGATTAGCATCGTGCCGGCGCTGGCGGGCAGCGAGCTGTGGCCGAACAAGGGATTCTACGTCAAGGTGTCGGATTCATCGCACGCCATGTACGTGTCGCTGGCCGAGGAGCAGGACGATCTCATCATGAGCGACAAGTTGCAGCTGGGCCAGTACATCCACGTCGAGAAGCTGGAGTCGGGGTCGCCGGTGCCATTGCTGCGAGGCGTGCGGCCATTGCCGGGGCGGCATCAGTGCGTGGGCAATCCGGAGGAAATCGTAGCCTCGTCCGTCTCCTCGGCGCAAATTGGCCAGGCCGTGTTCCCGGACTCGGGCGGAGTGTCGAGCAGCAGCGCCGCCATCGATTCCTACTCGCGCAGCTCGTCGCGCAGATTCGACTCGTCCTCGGCCGAGACTGTGGCCTCGCGCTTCGCCGAGAGGTTCACCAGCGGCGCATCATCCGAGCGCCCTGCGCCGGGCGGGGCGCGCGACGGGGACGGGCACGGGCACGCGACGACGGCCAAGCCTGCGCCGGACAGGTCCGGCGCCAGCGCGCCGGACGACTTCGCGTCGAAGCTGAACGAGCGGCTGTCGCGGGGCTCGGTGGAGCGCCCGCGCTCGGCCTCGTCCGAGACGGGCAGCGGCGCGGACGGCGCGCGCGACGAGGCGGGCGAGGTGAGCTCGCGCGTCAAGGGCGGGCGCATCGTCAAGTCCAAAGTCTTTCTCGACGTGTTCAACTCGACCGTGCCGCGCGCGTCGCGGTCCATCCCGACGTCGCCCGTGCACTCGGCGCCTAGCTCCTTCGCGTCGGACGGACTCGGTCGCGGCGGCGCCTCGCCGGCGTCGTCCAAGACGTCGTCCGCGTCCGAGAAGCTGGCGGCCAAGCGGCGCGTGATCGCCTGCCCCGAGGACCGGAAAGTCCCGTACAAGGGCGATCCGTCGCCCGTGACGCTCCGCGGCCGGCAGGGCTCGCCCGGCGTCAAGCGCTCGGCCAGCGTCGGCAAGAGCGCGCGCATCAACATCGTCACGGAGGGCAACAAGCGTCGCTCCCTCGGCGGCGCGCTCAAGGCCGGCGAGATCGTCGCGGTGAATCCTAAGGGCATTCGCAAGAGCTGGGAGGGCACCGTCGCGGCCAAGGACGGCCGCGAGCGCGCCGCCGCCAAGCAAGGCAAGGCCGACATCAAGACCGCCATCCGCGCCTCGGTGAGTTCTCGTGCGGGCGCAATCGTGAAAGGATTTCTCAATTTCGCAATTTCGCACTCTGAAATGCTTGCCGATCAATGAATCGATTGCAGCGATCGCGTGCTTGCTTGCATTCGTGCGCGGATTGTCGATGGATTTCTCTCTCGATGGATTGCAATTGTGTTGTGTTGCGATCTCGCCGTGTGGTGGTGGTCTCATGGTGTGAAGAATGTGCCGGCTGGCGATGCAGGTGTCGGTGACGAGGAGGTTGAGTGACAGTAACGGGAACAACAGCGGATTGGTGGTGAAGTGGCAAGACAAAGTGCTGGTCACCCCGCAGCAGCCCATCACTCCCAAGTTGGGCGTGAAGACTGGCAGAGAGACGCCTGCCTCGGCCCCCGTCGAGCCGCCCGCTGCCAGCTCGAATAAGTCGCTCGTGCATCACAAGAAGTGGACTGATGGCTCGGTGTCCTGGGACAGTTTGCCGGCTTCCCTTTCTTCTCTCGGAAAGGTACGTGGCTGATGATGAACATGGAGTGCTACGAAATCTTGTCCACAAGAACATTCTATTCCATGGGTTACGAAATCTTGCCCATAAGTATTTTTCATTTCATGGTCTCTCTCTCTCTCTCTCTCTCTCTCTAGCCCAATATAATAAATCTACTCGTCGTCGGTCGGTCGTGTCGGGGCATGTGCATTGGACAAGAAAATTGGGAAGTGATGTGTGTTTTTGCTCTTTTCATTCTTGGATTCTGCAGGAAGCCATGCAGAGGCGAAGTGCAGCTTCGCTAGCAGCAATAGAAGCACTGCAGGAAGCATCTGCTTCGGAAAGTGTGATCCGTGCTCTGAGGTGAGTCTCAACCATGTCCGGATTGACTTCCCGAAGCTTGTGTGGTGCGATTTCTCCTTCATCTTCAGCAGTGAAGAAATGCCAAGAAGCGCAAGAAGCGGGGCTGTCGAGATGGCCCATCTTGTCACGAGATCAGTTGTTTTCATTTGTAGTTGTCGAATGTCGACTCTGACTTCGCCTTGCTTGGAAATCTGCAGCATGTTTGCCGAACTTTCTTCGACTGCGAAACCGGAGCTCCCTCAAGCTACCGTGGAGCAATTTCTAGCTTTCTATCAAACACTAAATCAGGCAACAACAGTTGCCGACGCCCTGGCAAAATCTAGAAGCCCAGACAAAATTCTCGAAGCTGCAGTCGGCGGTGCTCCTGCTGCGGTCGAGGACACCAAGGACACCAAGGACAACAACACGCCATCGGACAGGGTAAAAATTTGTGCAGAGAAGATGAAAAACGCCGCACTCTGGGTGGGGGCTGCCTTAGCATCGGACTTGGCGTCGTTTTCTCTACACACGAAACAAGGGGGCAGCAACTCCTCATCCAAAAATTCGCTCAAGAGGGACTCGTCGAAAACGGGCACGCAGGCCGTCGTGGTGCTGGAGGCCTCGTTCCGCCTGCCGACGGATTCTGCCCCGGCTGCCGCCCCCGCCCAAAAGGAAGCATCGGTCACGCCGAAAAGGCCATCGCAGCCTGCGGTGCCTGCATCGCCCAACAAAATCCCCGTCAGGACTGCGCTCTCGTCCGTGCCTCAGACCGTGGTCGAGAAGCGGCGGACGATTCTCGAGGGCGGAGGCGATCAAAGACAAGCGTCGCCCATGAAAGCCTTCGTGTCGACGTGCCGGCAGCGCACCACGCCGAGTGGGCTGCTGATGAAGAGCATGAACAGCGGAAGCATAAACAGCGGCAGCACGAACAGCGCGAAGACGGCGAATAAGAGTCCTCCCGAGAAACCTGTGGAGGCCACCAAGGCTGCGGCAGGAGGAGGAATCACGTACTGGTCTCGAGGCTGTGGGCTGCTGGAGACGGCGGAGCTGGCCAAGAGATTACAGAGCGAGGCGCAAACGTGGTTCCTGCAGTTCATGGAGACTGCGCTGGACGGCGGATTCCAGCTGACAGCCGTGCTGGAAGCGCCGACGAAAGGGAACTCGATCCCCAAGACGCCCGTGCAGCCGGACAATGGCCAAATTGCGGCCATGCTGTCGCAGCTGAAGCGAGTGAACGACTGGTTGGATCAAGTGGTGGCAACGAAGCCGGACACCGCCGACGACAAACTGGTCGAGACGCTGGCCCGGCTGAAACGAAAAATATACAAGTTCCTTCTGCAGCATGTGGAATCCGCAGCATCTGCACTGTGTAACCAGGCGTCCTTGACGACCTCCATGAACTCGACAACTACCAAAGACTGTAAGTCAGGAAGCTAATTGATGTGCTCTTCATCATCACGTCACATTGTTTGTCTTAGATGTACACTACACTGAACAGCAGTAGGCCAGATTCTTGCGCTCCCTCATACTTGGTCTATGTATACAGACCTGAATAAGCTTGATCAAGTCATCCATGAAATATTCCCATTCACCTTGTGCAGTCAACCTTTGCCATTTAGGGAGTGCAGCTGTGACGCAGTTCCCTTCTCCCTTCCTCATTCTCCTCCCCATTATGTGTTACAGTTGCAGCCAGCATCAATTTAGTTTCATGGTCTTACGACGAGCAAAGCCCTGACGGGGTTCTTTAATCTGTCAAGTGACTGAGCAAAAGGGTATTCTGTTGTGCTGAGAGTTGAAGGATTGTTCGCGCGCAGCTGTGTACTTCTTCCTTGTCGTCTATCTCATGTCACCATCCGACTCTGATAGACCTCTGCCGATTCCCTGCCCCCCAAACATTCCTTACAAGAGTTCCCAACGATCAGGATCACCTAATCCTTTTTGCAGCCCTGGTACGAAGAGTCAAAATGGATCCACCTGTACTTTTACGGATGAAATACATGGTTTTGATAACAGAGAACAGTTAGTTTTTTACTCCCACTCTCTGAGCTCATGCAATATCAGATCCGATTGCTTCGCTTATTAAAGCCATGCCCGATTTTTCTGTACATATTTTTCGTCCTTCTTTGGATTCCATGTTCCATTCACATGTTTCGTAGTCGAAGAAGTTTTGAAGTTGACGAGGCAAGTGCAGTTTTGCAGTGCAAACTAGGGCTCTCCATGACTCCTTGGTGACAGCAAATTGTCTTTTGCGATAGGTTGGGTTTCCAGTAGAAAGACAGGTGATAGACACATCGGACTCCGCGTCCATGCCCGGTCGAAGTCGTGAGCCCATTGTGCTCTCACCAGCAGCGTGTCACATCTTTAGGACAGTTTTCTACACCTCGTTGTTCTTGGATCACCGATTTCGATTACATCGGAGTATAATTGTGGATCTTGCCTAGTTCACTGTGTGTAAGTTGAGGTACCCTGCGAACTTCTTTGCAAATTTCGATTTGTATCTCGTTACACTGCAATTGTACATAGATGACCGTCAATTCAAGTGAACATGCTGTTTGATATCGAACAAACTCCGAAGAAAATTTGGTCCACCAGTCGAATCACTTCATGAAGACATTCTAGTCAGCCCCGTAAATCTGCAGTTTCTGTTCTTCCCGACTGGTCTCCGAGGAACCTCCTTGGTACAACGAGTTTACTTCGTCTTTTCATGCTTGATGTGTGGGCTGATTTTGTTTATGATCAGCTCTGGAAAAGCGTAGCACTGATATTCAACAGAATCAGGCAGTGCCACATACGGCACGTGTTTCTGTACGGACCCTTTCTGCCGAAGCAACGAAGGCTACCTTGCCCGTGCTCGTCACGGCAAATTGCCAAGACCCATTTCTGGAGCTTGTCCAGTGCATCATATGAACACATGGTACATATGCGAGACGGTGGACTGGGGAAAAGCGAGATATGGAGTATCTTCATTAGAGAGTATTTTGTAGACTTTCAAAGCAGCAGCTCGTATCATTCAGGACCGAGGAACTGTCAGTGAAGTTATCACTTGGGTTCCACAATCAGAGCCCCCTGATGTGGTCACGGCTGCAGGGCTGACCTCCTTCACCTGCGGGTGCATAATCGATTGCTGAGAAGTGCAGTGACCCGAAGGTGTCCTGAGAATGCTAGTTTGTACTTACAGCGAAGACGTACCCCAAGCCTAGAATCATGTTTTCCATGTAACATCCTATTAGCAAAATGCATAATAACCCAGCATGTGCGATTTGTCTGTTCTACTGAGAACGAGTCGATGACCGAACTGAAACAAATGAATCGAGCCGGACATGTTATAGCTAATAAGATGATTCTTGCTTGGTGTTTATGACTCGTTACATTACCAGACAATTACCGTGGACTGTAACCCGAGCTAAAGTTGACCATGGATCCGACTCCTGAATGTGTAGGTGAGGGCTTCAGATTCAAATTCACCCAGATGCCCTTACCTCGAGTGAGGGAACAGTTTGGAGCGTTCCATGAGGGCGACTACTGGACGGTGCCTAAGGGAGACTACACGATGGGCCTCTTCTCTCTGCAGTAACTGTGAAACCCAAAAGTCGGGTTTCCACTGCATTACAGCTGATGAGGTGGCTGTCGAGCCACTTCATCATCTCATTTGGTGACTTGACCAGCTAAGTAGAAACAGCATTCTTGTGCGAAGGCCCCATTCTGGTTCTTGCGCACCACATTCTTGGTCGTCAGTGACTGACTGACCACGGAGACCATTACACTCCACCCACAGAGATACAGAGTCTTGAACATGTCAAGGCAACATGTAACATGTGCATAGAGCCTCTCTTTAGTCAGACATACAACTCTCCAATTGTACCAATAGGAATTACTTTCTCATTCGTCCTCATTGAAAAAAAGAAGTAAAAACCATATTTGCGTCTTCATGTGTTGGCGACGTATTTCCTGTTGGTACAACAGCTTGCTGTGACGTGGAGCATGTCAATTGTACATACGACTGAAGTAAAAAGATTCTTGATGCGAAGAGCTGTGAAATTGTCAGATCCCAGATTCTGAGAGTTGGCAAGTCCTCTGAAACCAAATTTCTCCCCTAAAGTAAATGAGCGAGGCCGTATCTGCACCTGACGTCGTGTCCTGTTGCCTTCACCTTACCTGTTGGACTTTCTCCGATCGCGGCGAGGCCTTCTGTGGAGCCGTCTGTTCTTACGTGGTCCGCATCGTGAAAGTAAAGTACACCTGACTTTCACAATTTCCTTCCCGTACGTACCATTCATTGCTTTCGTTCGAGCTTTGTTGATGGTGTGCATCAATAGTAGCCTTAAAGTGGCGAAAATGCGCACCCGTTGACTTCTTCGGTCTGCAGTTTGGACAACACACTGACTGATTCTTTGCGAATCCCAAACTCTCTAGATTCTTTTCCACAAAGTGCGTGCCATCTCCGCTCTACCTTTGGTGGTCTAACACTCAGAGTACACAACACACCTCGACAGAGCTGGGTAGACTAGACAAAGTTCAAACGGAGTCTTAGTCGACGAACGACGTTTCACTGAGCTGAGACAAACCGTGTTCGACTTACCTTCCTTCAGGTTCAAGCAGCAACAGCTCTACTTCTTGGGGTCTTCTTTTGTAAATACGAACTCCATTATTTTAATTTCTTTCTAGTCAGCTCAAAAAACGAAGATGAAAATGAGTTTCAAGTTGTGAACTTGTAAGTTCTATTCGACCATTCCATGTTGTGAACGAGCAGTCCTCGCAGTCACTACACTGACAGCTTTGTCGCAGTGAATCCTGAAATCCCGTGAAAAAAGAGAACTGTAATAGCATTTGAGATTTCTGGTTTTGATCTGATCCGACACATCGAGGAACATACTCTGTACTTGCCTAGTACATCCTGGTTCTTGCGTGAAGCACTTGGCACTGACAGGCTGCACCCACTCATCCGAAACAAAAGCAGCATATTTCCTCAAAATCTGTGACACGCAATTGCGCTTGAAGCTACTATTGATGCTGGACAACAGAACTCACATTCTACGAAGAGGACCGTGTTACTTGCGTGAGACCATGCCACTAGCAGGAGGAGCTATTTTCAGTGAGAATCTGTAATGTCTGTCCTGGAGTTGTTTAAGCAGACGGTCTAGGAGACGACGAGAAGAAATGACAATCAGATTGGTTGGAAGTCAACTCGGAGAAGGCAATGATGGTACAGCTGAAATTGCAGTCTCATGTACGATGATGATGGTGATTGTGAGATCGGAGGACATGAATCGAGTGAACAGTCGTGCCTGTTGAATCTTGCTGGTTGCATGAGCCAGCGACGTGCTGGCCCTCCAGTTTTCTGAAGCAGTGCAGAACTGGATTCGGGGGGTGGAATCATGCATGAAGCAGTACTTGCGTACTTCAAAGGTTCTCAATGTGGCTTCAGGTGCCACATCTGCTGCCTACGACCATATCCGGATTACAAGCACCGCCTCTGCGCATACTGCCAGTCCATCAACTCTCGATGGCCACCACCACCCAAAGATCCTCCTCCCCCGGAGAAGAATCCCGATCTCATCTATGCCGGTGACATCGATCCGGAGTTCAAACCATCCAGAGGAGACATCCTGGTCGTCAATCCAGCCATAGGCCCGAGCTTGCGAAAGCTCAGCTTCAAAGGCAGCTGCGTGCTCTGCTACGATGGATCTCCCGATTTCCAGTTCGTGAGAGGCGATGTGCTCGTCCGAATCGGCGACTATGAAGTCCAAATTGTGGAGCCGCCTCCAAAGGTTGAGGATAAAAAGGGAAAGGGTCCGATCCCGAAGGCAAAAGCTGCTGCAGTCAAGAAGGATGAGAAGGTGGATAAGAAGCTCGGAGCCAAAGGAGCTGCCAAAAGCGCTCAATTAGCCAAAGGAGAGAAATTCGATGCCGACAAGCCTCCCGAGCCCGACAAGCCGCTGGCCCTCGTCACTTACAAGCCTTACGAGAGGCTCGAGGTTTACTACTACACGGGCGACGAGGGCGTGTGGAGATTTCTGGGCACGCAGGCGAATCTGGACCTGAAGAACAAGGTGCTGCTCGAGACACAATGTCCAGGCTTGACAGCGTTTTACAAGTACTACAAATGCGGGACCAAGGTTCTGCCGCACACTCTGGTGCCGTTCCTCGGCGAGATTCTGCTGCCCGAGTGGATATGGCAGGAGGAGTTCGACCACAAGGCCAACAAATGGCGGTCGTCGGGCCGATGGTGCAGACCCGACGTTCCTGAGAAGGAGAAGCTGCGCACCGGCATGATTCTGCTGCGCCCTTTGGTGGGCCAGCGGCGAGGAGACGGACCTGTTTTGCTGAACACGGTGCAAATGGCTCGCGTCAAGAGACTGGAGGAGGAGAAAGCGAAAGAGATTCAAGAAAGGGAGCTTCTGGAGAAATTTGTGGCGATGGAGAAAGCCAATGCAGCCCCCGCTGCCGACGAGAAAGAGAAAGACGATAAGAAGGGCAAAAAGGGCAAGAAGGACGACAAGGACGACAAGAAATCCGACAAGAAATCGAAGAAGGATGACAAAGAGAAGAAGAAGGACGATGGCAAAGGCAAGAAGGCAGACGACGCCAAGGACGAGAAGAAGAAAGGTGGCAAGAAGGATGATCCCAAGGACGCCAAGAAGAAGGGTGGCAAAGAAGAGACGCGCAAGGAAGAAGCAATTCCTGAGGTGCCCGCTCCTCCCAACAACGACGAAATTCTGAAGCTCGCCCGATGGGGAGCCGTCGAGATGTATCAACTCGAGGGCGAGGAGCAAGCGCCGGGCTGGGTATTCTACGGCCGATCGGACCGCATTTGCGACACTGCGTACCCGATGCCCTCAGAAACAACGAAGCGCAAATTCGTGCACGAGGATGATCGAGGATTGATCATCGAGCCGCCTGTGGAGGAGCCTCCTCCCGAACCCGAAGTCGAAGACAAGAAGGGCAAGAAAGGCAAGAAGGACGATAAGAAGAAGAAGGGCGACAAGGGCGACAAGGGCGCCAAAGACCAGAAAGCTGATAAGAAAGACAAGGACGAGGCCGGTGACAAGAAGAAGAAGAAACCTAAAAACTGATCATCACTCACTCTCCCATAGCCCCGTCGGTGTTTTGGAGTTTGACGGCCTTTCCCATGGCAATGGCAAGGGTTCATTTTCTAAGTAGTCCGAGCTTGCTTCGATTCTGCCATTGCTCCCATCGACCACCGGGCGATCGATCGAGCCTACGTGATTAGGTGATCAAGTAAGTACTGCTTTACTTCACTCGATGTCAGTTCTCGACAGCTCGTTTTACTAAACGCATGTTCCAGCAATCGATCTCACACCGAACGAATTTCCCAACTCGCTGCAGAAACCTCCGGAAAGGTCCGAAACGCTTCCCCACAATACTCGCACACGGCCCTCTTTCAGTCCTTCACACGGACCTCGTCAACACGCTTTTGTCCAAGATCGTCAATCCCGACACGATTCCCATTTTCTCTTCCCTTTGGATTTTCAGCCCGGAGCTTGGCTGCCGATGAGGGGCCGGCCATCGATTCAGAAGAAGAATTTGCAGCAATTTTCCAGACTTTCGGACAGCACCTGCTCTCGATCCCGATCCGAGACATCTCAATACCGACAGCAGTCTCGGCCATCTTGGAGGTCGCAGAGGAACATTGATCGATTGATCGATCATTCATCACCGACACAGGGAAATCAAAATTGATTCGGTCCCCGTCGAGAAGCAAGGTCGTTCTCGTATCAGCAGTCAGAGACGGAACCTTCTTCCTCTGAGAACTGTGAAATTAAGCCACCAACTAGTTAATTAATTAACTGCCCTCCTTAATTAATTTGCGACGGTAACACTCGAGGCTCAGTCCCGTGATAATGAAACAAGGGCGCCTCTGATTTTGGAAGGTTAGATTAAAACTGACGTCTGCCCCTGTAATATGATGTTGACCTCGATGACTGCACTTTAAAAAAAAAAAGAAACGTGATCTTGTCTGTCAAACACATAAACAAAAGAGTTAATTTCTTTCAACACATTTGGTAAGCTTACATCTAAAATTTCCGATAATAAATGCTATCATTGTTGCAAATAACATAAGATTTTTTTCATTAAAATTATGTTACTTTAAGTTATACGCAGACAAATGTCTGTGTGTTTCCTTATGGCTTAACTTCTTACCGTAGCTTGCCTACATTTGTTAAATGGAATGTGATGAAAACAAGCACCGACCGAATTTGAAAATTTAAATTCATAAGAAGATAAGATCTTATCTTCATAAATGAAGATAAGATTTTCTGGATTGGATTCATTCTACTTTTCATGACTATAGAAAAGTCCACGTGTTTCACAAAATACTGTATAGCATGCTGTAAAGTGAATTTGGAATATTTTTAATGTAATTTACTTTATGTCGTTGAGTAATTCACAGGATGCTAAATCTAAGCTTTTTAAAAATGCATGATACTTATAATAAAGTAAAGTCGAATTTGAGTACATCAGAAGATTGAGTTACCACAAAGGTTTCATAGATAGGAAATATTAGATCAATTCCTATCGATGAAGTAGGGTTACTGTTTATTAAAGTCAATCTCTGATTGTAATGAATATAGAGGACATTTTTTATCAAATGAGAGTAGAGCTGGGTAGCTTAAAAATTTTAACATCACCATCAATCATAAATCAGAAATCCTATAAAATGTCAAGTTTTATTTCATGTATTTCAAAACATATATGTTGATGCAAATAACAAGCAATAAAGACTGTTCTTCATATGTGGGCATGAAAACCGCCGAAGTCAATAATTCAAACAACCTCCAAGGCCCAGTTGGAAGCATTAATGGAGTAACAAATACATAATAGGAGAGGGATGTGAAGAGCAGATCGAGAGTTTATTTAGTGTAGGATCACAGCGCAGGGTCTAGAGTTTATACAGTCACAAATATTATCGATACTATATGCGAAATCTATACCACTGCAACTACGTGAATTGTCTAGGCTCTGTTAAATGAAGATGGAAGTTGAGCAATCATCAAAGCCTGCATATTGTACAAAGGAGTACAATATGCAGGCTTCTGTGTCTCTCTCCAGCAGCAAAGAGATCCTCGGTCTGCAGTTCTACAGTTCAGAGCATGTCTCTGAAGCCCATGGATTCTATGCCAGTGGCTCGTCTCGTCTCGTCTCGTCTGCATTCAGATTTCAACTTGGAATTAGGCTCAGCCTAAATTCTCTACAAGTCGACAGATCTTTCTGTCTTCAGTGTGCATGCAGAACACACAGTCTCAGCGGGTATGACAGATCCATGGTAACTGTAAGTTTGAGGTGAAATCTGACTTGTACCGATATTTTAATTCCAGTCGAGTCCACTGACAAGTGCTCTCGAATTGTTCTCTCTGCTCGATTTTCACACCCTTCTCGTACATCGACTGATCCGTTTCGTCATTTGAGGAACATTTCACGTCAAGGTCATTTGAGGAAAATGACGCTGACATCTTGTAGTTGAAGCTTCAGAAGAGAACCTGCGAAGAAGAAGAAGAAGAAAATGGCTGTCAGATGCACCGAGCTGTACTCCAGCCATAGACTGCTCTCAATCAATGCGGCTACCTCGTCCAACATCCGCAGTCACAGTCGTGTTGATAAATAAAGGCTGGATTTCAAGACGCCAAGGTTCGCAACCAAAGAAAAAAATAAAAGTGATGCCTTGGCTCCAAAAAACTTTATTAAATGATCATTCGACCTGTTCATCATAGGGCAGTCGCTCTGCAAGGCACACGACAATAAACCCATAAGTACAGCAGACCCCAAAAAAAAGACTATATATTCTGGATTTTCGTAAGCTCTCCCATCTGGGCGGAGTAGCGACCGCCTGTAACCCGAGCGGGAGATGGAGACTGTGGAGCAGGGTTTCTCTGCTGGTACCGGCTGCGGCATGTCGATGGCGTGTCCACCCGAAGCGTGGGGTCACCGGCTGGGGCCTCTCCGGAAGGGGAGGCACCGGTGGTGATAGTGTAGAGGGCAACGCGTGAGGCGGGGAACCGAGCAACGACAACTTCTCGCCCTGTGCAGTCGGGGGATCGCATGCCTGAATGTCCGTTCACCGGGAGTCCCAGTAGATTCCAGCTCTGCCACCAGTCTCTATCCTTTTGATCATTTGTTTGATGGTACTGGTATTTATTTATCCACTGAATTTATTCGTGAATATATTCATTCCTATCAATTTTTTTTTTCTGTATTAGGAGTTTCATTGTAAGTTCATTGAAATCTTATCTATCATTCACAACATCTTCATGATATATATTGCTTCCATTGAAGATCATTTTGGTCACTAACAAACCCACTGAAGGTCCTCATAAATATATATTTTGTATATATCTATAAACCAGCAGATTTATTAAGTATGAACAACTACTAACGATAGGGATATTTTCAGAGATAATGGTTATTAGTTCGTAAAGTACATAGAAAAAGAAAGAGATGGATGTATACATACACTCTGAAAATGCATCTACATGTGTGCATCCCTGTTATATTATGTATGAGCAATATCGTAAAGATGGTGTAAATGATAAATTGGCACTAAACTTACAAGTCTCTTGATAGGAGAAAGAGTGATGGATGGGAATGAGCGATGGATTGAAGAGTTGGGATATAAACTTGACCTTGCAATGGAGTGTTTATTTGTTCACGTTTCGATCAATCTTCTGAATGTCGTCGTTTGGAGTTAGCAATGTCACGACGTGTGTAGTAGCATCTATTTGCAAAAGCAGATTCACCGGGTTCACGGTGTTGGTGTTGGTGTTGGCATTAGATTAGTGTTACATAATTTCTGTGCTTTTATGAAAGCCAGGAGGGTTAGATTCAGAAATGTAGTGAGGTATTCAGAATTTTCGATTTTGGAAATCGAGTTCAACACAATCCTTGAAGTATAGAATTGATTTGGATTGGTTTTAATGAACTTTAATCTGTTGTGATAAGATATGCATGTCCGAGTGCTGGTCTGAGCTCGATTCTTGACATGCCATCCTCTCGTGCAGATGTAAGATCAGATCTCGCTCCGTCGACGCGGGACTCAATCATCTGGAAACTCGTTGACGAGAGAAAGCTCATTTTCAGCCCCTTGGAAATCTACGGAAGAATCTGGGACTGCTGCACGGATTGCATGTTAGATTATCATGCAAGACTGAACTGGTAGCTACGTACAAATGTGTACGTGCAGTCCTTCAATATGTGCACGTTTTCGTCGACGACAGATTTCCAAGTGGACGAGAGTGATTGATCACCCTCGCATTTCAGAAATCATTTCAGTTTTCCATGCCAGAAGCGAAGAGGACGATTCGAATGTTGAGATCCACCGAGAGATCTGTGCAAGAGGACATGCACGACCGAACCGATTTCAGAGCAGCACGTGCACCGGAACTCTTCTCGTTGTCAGCATGGTTGGCCTCGTCCGAAAGGCCCAGATTCATAAGCCACCGTCCAGAACTCGCCGACAGTTCACTTTGCCAACAAGAGTGACTGCGCCGCCGTGGGATTTAGAGATCCTTAGCGTCGGTCGACATGAAGAATGAGCAAGATAGATTTCACGCCATGTCTATTCGACTCTCTTCCAGGAATCCATCTAGCTCCTCGCTCGCTGCAGCACTCGCCACGTTATTTGATTTGCTTTGTCATGGACCAAACAAACCATGCACCGACTTAGATTGAGGAGACGCTTCGATCAGGAATATTTCATTCGATGGTGGCCCTTCGAATAGCAATTTGCAGCTTTCAGCTGGTGGGTGCGAGATCTAGGATCTGATGTGAGGTCGCCACTGGGTTGGGAACACTGATCTCATGATATTGCAATGGAGCAGGTACTGGAATAGAAAACCGAATCGAATTTCTGTCCAGAGAGAGAGAGGTCAGATCAGTCTACTGCTACCGACGCTTGATCGAGACCAAACATTCTTCGATCGACCGAATGTTGCCATTCTCTTCACGACTGCCATCGTTGGCCTTCGTCGTCGTTTTCATGCCCCGCACACTCTGATGGACTCGACTGTCATTCACAAGGTGCCGTGAGTGGTCGACTGGCCCTTGATCATTGACCTCGTGGACACGTGCGAGAAGGTATGGGGTTGGGAGGAAATCTCTGTTGAGTTCAAGTACATCGACTGCCAGCCATCATAACTGCGAACCACCTCAATCGGCCCTTGACGATTGACGATTGACGATTGACCAACTTTCTGGCACCCTCGCTATGAGATTGAGTAATTGTGCTCGCTCGCTCGATCACCAAAGTTCTCAATCAGATGCGGAGAATCTATTCGATCGACGATCTTATTAGATTCTGAACTTGTGGGCCCCAATCTCAGATGCAGTGGGGAACGAGCCTCCTCAGAGCTTTCCAGGAGTGACTCGTCATATTCTGAATGAGCACCAGGATCTGCTTCAGTCCACGGTCCACAAGCGGACCAGAATGTACGCAAATCCACGCACACTTGGATTTCCTGGTGTTGGAGTCAAACCCAAAATGAAACCCATGTCGCTCACGAGCACCGCAAGTGCACTTGAAGATATTACGTATATTACGTTTTGTACTCTCGTCTACATAATTCTGTTCAGCAGAGATTGTCTGCGCTTCTGGGTAGAGGAAGATGTAAAACAGAGACAGACAGAGAGAGAGAGAGAGAGGAGGAGGAGGAGGAGGAAGGTTAATCACTATCAAAAATCGAATACCGTCAGGTAGCTTGGATTAAGGTAAGTCGTTTCTTCGAATCATGAAAGCATTGGAGATAGTCTCTGACAACCCAAAACCTCAGATCTCCTTCGAATCTCTCTGGCCCACTTTACCGTCCGCTCTCTAGATAGAAGCCTGTTTTACGCCCTCTTCCGGTTGATTCCTCAGCATGTGTACGAAGGGAGTCGACTACTGCGAGCGTGGAAGTCGATGCTCGACAGTGGTTGAGTTCTTTGCCTCTGTTTACCTCGGTATGTGAGAGACCAGCTTTTGTGTGACCCGCTTTGTTACCATACAGTGTAGATTCATCTCGATCCATACTACGATTTGCTGCTCAGGCTGACCATTGTTTTCTCTTTTTTTTGGTGAAGAAGGGGAGAAAATTCTGTAGGACTTTCGGGAAGACCAAGGGCAACAAAGTGACCGTGCATACCAGAATTCCACATTCTATATATTCTGTACAGTAAATAATGGTAACTTGACATTCCCAAGTTATAGAAGGCGCTACTGCATTGCAGACGCAGGGGCCACGTCTACAATTGTACGCTTTACGTTGATATGCAAGTCTCATTAAGACTACTGGGTGGGAGGCAGCCGCAAAGTGCTACAACGAGCAATGAGAATGTCTTTATCGGACATAGAAGAACCCCCTCAAGAATAGAGTACACTAGTGAAAAATAGAAGATACTGGCATGCTGTGAATACATGCGCATAACAATCTGTGTACAGAAAGCTGCAATTGGGCCAAGCTGCACAGCAAACTCGGCATTCGATAGGTCCACACAACTAGACACAGGGTGGTTTCAAGATTTCAATATATCACTTTGTTACTTCTCAAGAAGTCACTCTTTACATTGCTGAAGACTCCTGAGACCTAGATTCACAGTGAACGAGTTTGAAAGTGAGCGTAAACTCCTTACCTACGACACTGTTATCTTCATATCAAACGTTACACGATTCTGATGGTACAAGCCTTGTCTGCTTCTTTAAGAAATACCGACCAATATATCAAAGTTTTCTTCTGTGTAATTGGTCGGTTGATCGGAAACCTTGGTGCACATTTGACTGATCTCGATAGCTCGCTGCTATGATTGCTTCCAAGTGCTTCTGATGCTTATAGATTTTAGTTATGCAGATGACTCCCTGAGAGATGAGTGCCATTCCCAGAGGCTTGTGTGGGATGAACATGCAGACACAGATCTCATGTATTAGAAAAGGATTATGTCGAGAAACCTATGTTATTCTTCGAGCTCTCCTTTTGAATTTATGAACCACCCTAACAACACATCCGAGAAATCAAGGGCCTTCTTTTTGTTCAAGAGGAACTAGCTCTTCAGCATCTTCAATATCTCTGAATGCAGGCCGCCACAGTCTATATTTATCTGGCCACCACCTGCAAGAAACAGGTCGGCAAGTCAAAGCGTGATAATACCAGCACGTTACGGTCCCATCCTCTTCACAGAGGGGAAAAAGCTGTGCGTTAGAGAAAGATCTTGAAAAGCATATATGACAATAAAGAGTTGTGTCGACATCCACAATATGATCAAAACAGTTACTCATGCCTATACCCCTGACAGAGGGACGACAGTTCTATGTGGAAAGCTGAAAAGATAACACAGAGGAAATTTCAAACTTGACACGAATAGGTTGTCAAGTTGTTGAAATCGCTAGAAGTAAGGCATATGGACTCCGACAGATAATATACCAGATATCTCGTTTCGTACATCGATAACAACGAAACGAACATCGGACAAAGACAAGTAGTAGGTCTGTCGCATGAATATGATAAAACTGGACCAGATAGGGTTCTTATGCTCACACGACTGCTTGGCCCTCAACAGTGGATAAGATCAGAAGATACGAGGTTATCAACTTACTGGTCCAATCTTTCTTGAAGTGTCCGTCGAACGGCTGCGTTCAGACCATAAGCTATAGAATTGAACAGGCCCTGAATATTAACGGATAAACGCAACTGCATTAGACGTGTGGAGTTTGATGTAAAAGAAAAGAAGAAGCTCAGATCAACCAATAAAAGCTGAAAAACAGTCCACGATTTGCACCGAGTGAAACAGAGGAGTTACAGTAGAGCAATCTTCCAGTTTGTACGCACCATGAGAGAAGCGGTCGATATATGGAGACAATACAGCCAGAAGAGCTTATTTTGGGGTTCCACAAAGTCGTGGATTCGGTTGATAGTCCCAAAAGTCCATGAAGCAATCAAGATAAGTGGGTAATAGCCCCATCTGTTCATGGCCTGAGAAAAGATAGGGCACCGTCAGAAGGAAGTCAAAGGCATCCAACTGACTCTCCAGCTTTTGCCTCAGCTCAAGGGTATACTCTGCAGTACGATCCAGTAATACAGTAATCACACAGATTTTTTCAATACTCCGTAAAGTAGGTTTCATAAAAAGTGGTCTGATCTCCAACAGAAATTCATAACGTGTAAGGTTCAACCCTAAACATCCAGCCAAAATATATGTAAGCATTTCAGCTAATCACTTCTAGCTGCTCTTCATTTTGCCCTTTCCCCAAGTCCTCCAGTTGAGGTTCTCACCTTCATCTCAGGTCTAGCTTCCACCTGCCGCTGCCTGTCGGCCATGCTAACCGCCATCTGCATTACCATGCGTCAGACTATTTCTGGCAGTCTACGCTCGATCACCAAACATGATCAAATCTCGGACCTGCCTAATTTAATGCGCGTTGAGAACTAATTTTCTAAATATATGTAAGTCGTGATGACCACACTGGAAAAGAAAGTTACCCTAGTTGCGTATTTGAGCATACGAATGACTTGAAAATAGACAGCGCCGTTAAAAAGGATAGCTCCCCATAGAGGCACATAAAATGTCATGAACCGGAGCACCTGCACACATTGAGTTCAAGTTTGAGTAAAGAAGTAGAACTAAACTGCCCATGGTCGTAGAAGCTCTGTAGTACCATTTGATATTTGGTCACATCAAAGGGAGACACCTAATCGTATCTTACAATTGCTTCGCCTCTTCAAATTATCTTTGAACACGAGACTATCAATCACCTTTCCCGCGGTAGTTTCAGTTCGAACCCAGCACCAAGCACCCGCTGGACCATAGTCGTCTCCAATTGAGGGTATAATGGTCATGAGGAAGGCAGTGCCTGCGCAGAGAAGAACAAGTAGCTCGAATAAACCACAAGAACCAGCTTGAGGGATAGCCAGATAACTTAGGTCTCACTTAACCATGATCAATGACACGCTGAATAATCAAAACAGTCTGCCGGGAAAGGGCCAACTGCCAGTACAAGCCAAAATCCGACTTTCAATGAAGAGGATTCCTGATGCCATTCAAATGTACTAAGGAAGAATCTCCCGCCACAACATCACAATATACAGAAATTAATGAGATTCTACGGAGAATGACTAATGAAATTGACAAAGAATGCTTTCGTTCCGCACCCCAAACGTAGGCATGGAAAGCAGGTCCGAATTCCTCCACATCAGCCTTGTGTTTCACAACAGTACGATATAAGGTGAAGGCGATAGTGGTCGTCCAAAGAAATGAAGCGACTGAGAAGAACTGAGTGCTGTAACCTTGCACGTAGCACAAGAAGCCTTCGCGAGGATCCCTGGAATACTGCCACCCACATAAGTTCAAGTTCTGAAAGCTTAACCCAACAACAGTCAACGCTTTGAAACGGCACTAAGTACAGTGCTAACGTATTTCTTCACAAATAGACATTGGAATCTTGACCTCAATCGTCTTCATCACAGATATTGAAGAACTTAGATCGAGTTGATAAATCCCACTCGTGACAATGTCTGTATCCTCATTATGTATCTCTTTCATGGCATCGAATTACTGAAGAAACTGGCGATGGCGTCGACACCACATCATCTTTCACCAACTGAATTAGAGATAGGGAATGATGATTTACCCAAGCAGATTGAAGAGGCTGCAAAGCATGTCCTGCACAAGATTATTGATGTTAAACCACTGAGTTAGAAATCACCCCAGCCCCAACCTGAACCCGCTGCCTTGCAGAGTAAACTAATCTTGTCACAATTATCGACTCCGTCAAGCATTAGCCAGTCTGAAGCAAGGCTCGCGAGGCTTTGCTAAATGACGCATCTGGAGTTCACCGTGTACATCAATGTGAACTTTAACGAGCGGATGGAAGAACCAGTAATCCACATTCGTGCGCGGAAAAAGGACCAGAAGAAACGCGAGTGACGGTGCCTACCGAGAGGGATAGATAGAACACAAGCTTGAAGGAGAACTTGCGCAGTTCCTTAAAACACAGATAGCATAATACGATGAAGAAGGAACCCCCGAAGGAGAATGCCGATGCAGTGACATTGATCCGTGTCAAAAAGTGCGTTTGCTCCTCTGTCAAAGCCTCCATCTTGAAATCACCCAACTAGGAAGCAGAAGAACTCGGCTGGCAAAGTTGCAGCACCAACTCTACACAATGCACGGCCACTCCTTCCGCTCAACACACTGGACGACGATTCTAAAGTCTAAATCCTCTGCCCACCATCGCCCTGTCCAGTCCCACCTAGTCCAAAAAACCCGATATTTTGTTCTACGAATTTGTCGCAGAGAAAGCTCTCCAAGCAATTTTCTGCTTCACGGATGCAAAAGAAGAAATCTGGGAAAAAACGCGTTTTTCATCCTCAATTGAAGCTTGTGTTGCAGCTTATCATCTGGTATGCTCGCCAATTCGACCGCCTGTGCCCACACCATCAAATCAAGTCATGGGTTTAGTCGTCGGTCGCAAGTTCACAGACGCATAGGCGGTTGATAAACACGTCAAATTCTTTTCACGACCAAGTAGGATCGACAACAACGGGCAAATCATAAGAAGCTTACAACCCTACCCTGGGACTAGCCATACCGATCCACACCACCTCCATCAGACACTCAAACACTCTGCGCTCTAACGCGAGAAGTTTAGATTTACAGCGCAAGGGAATCCTGCCCGAAAATGCGGTCCACGATTCAAGGAGATACAAAGCTGAACACATTTCAGAGTTGCTGTGCAGGCAAAAGGGGGCGCACAAATTACAGACCAAGGAAGGGAAGGCAGCTCAAGGAAACAACAAACCACAAAGAGCCACCTCAGGAGCAAGACAACCGAAGAGAAGGGATCGGAGCCGGGTACAGGAAGCAGAGGGCAAGCAAACTCACGTTGTCCTCCTCTATCATTCATATTCACAAGGCATGTAGTCTAGCCCGGGCCCCCGCCTAGCCCAACCCAACCCAACGAAGCCCAAGTGTGACGAGGTGTTTTGAGGAATTCCGAAGAACATATTCCACAGAAGATTCGATGAGTTAATTGCGAGCACACCGAAACTGGCGATGCTCGTCAGGAACCCACCCTAAAAAAATGAGGGAGCAAATGCACTTCTTGACACAGATCACTGGACCATGCTACGCAGCTGATGGTGATAAGGTGGACGGACAAACATGGAGTTATCTTGGCCTACTAATGGAGACAATCAGGCTTCTGCTTCTGCTTCATGCTCCTCAGCTCGCACGTCGCCTTGTCTGGATTTTTCTTCAATAACGGGGTCAAGACCAGCTGCCTCGCCCTCGCCCTCGCCCTCCCGCTACCTCGCGACTCGCGTAGAGTTGCTGCTCTGCCACCCATAATTGATTTTTTATTCACCACGCACTATTGCTGCAGCTTTGATGGCACTGCACGCGTCCTACACTTGTTGCCACAACCGGACGGACCGTGACAAGAACTTGTGGTGCCTCCACCAGAACCTCCTTTTTCTCTCTTGTCGTTGGCGTTCCAGAGAAAGACCAAATGATGGCAGGAAAGCAAAGCAAAGCAAAGGAGATGAAAGAGGATCTGGATTCTGGAAGCTTTACACAGCTCTACACAACGAGGTCGACGAACTTACTCAAACATTCGCCACCATCTCCTCCTGCTCTCATCGCCTTCCCAACTGGAATGCATGCCGTCGTTCTAGTTCGTTTCATCCATGCTCTTCCTTCATCGTTCTTCACTCTCACTCACGTCGTCGACGACATTGTCGAGATCACAAAAAATCCATGTCTGGGCTCGTCTCAAGGTCGTTCCAATATTATGATGCATCCACGATTCTCTTGTCTAAGTTGAGTCAGTGGCCACATTCGAAATTGCACTCCACTTCCGTTTACGCGCAGATAATTGCACCAGCTTCGGCCAATTCGGAGATTTTATTTTCTTCCCCACGCGAATGATTGATTGCTCGTCTCGCCTCGATCACTCACTCTCTCGGACGAAAGAAGAAAGAAGATGCACGTTCTTTGGGCGATCTAATTTAATTTCGCATCTTAATAAATGAAAGCTTAGGTTATTAGAGGAAGCAGTATTATTGCCCATACACTAATACCGTCTTACCGTCTTATGGAATGGGAGGGAATCAGAAGGTTCGAGAACTTTCTCGAATATCTTCTTCCGAAGAGTATTAAAGTCCCGGTTCTTCTAACCTACGTCGTCTCAGGCTCGCCTCCGAACTAGCAGATAACTTATATCATATAAGTTATATGTGATAACTTAACCTTACTGTCCTTCCCACACCTTTTTCTAGGCATGGTCACGTAGCCGGCTAGAGACTCAAGTTTAGCGGATTAGCCCACGGCTATCGGCCGAAAACGCATATCGGATGAAATATTCGGTCGAAATTAGGATTAGGGGCGTATAATTTCGAATGAATTGACCGAAATAATCGGCCGAAGACTCAGAGTCGGTCCGAGTTTTCGGTCGTTTTCGGTCTCGGATGGCGTTCCGGCTGCTAGCCGGCTAACAAAAAATAATAGCCGCATAGCCGTTGGCCGAGCCGTGAGCATCGCTACCTTTTTCTCATGAGATCAGCGGTTCGTCAGGCGCAATAATAACAAAATAATAATAATAAGTGCAACTATAAGTATGGGGAAAAATCGGATATTCGATGCTCCTGTGCACACTTGTAAAAGACATCGGAGCACAATATTTGTTTATAGATTTTCACAAACCTAAACGAGCGATGAGCAAATCGAGAGCCGGTAGCGCTCGGCACACAGGGCTTCAGGACGCTGCAGGGGCATGAATTGTGCTCCAGGCGAGCGGACCTCCCTAGAACCCCGAGGCTGCCGTGGAGATTTGGTGAGAGGCCCGAATGGAGGCAATTAGCAACTCTGCCGGCTTTGCGGGCATGGGCTCGGGCAGATTGAGAGGATGTGTCCTGGGTCTGTTGGTGCTGTTGGTTCTAAGCTGCGAGCAGATGGTTGTGGGTGTGGATTTAAGTGACAAGGAACAGGCCTCTGTGGCCAGATTTCAGGAGTATTTGAAGATTGACACCGTGCACCCATTTCCCAATTATTTCCCGGTTACGGATTTTCTGATCGGGCAAGCGAAGCAGATCGGCCTTGATATTAAAGTCTTAGAATATGCTCAGGCAAAGCCTGTTGTTCTCATGAGTTGGGAAGGAACGGAGCCACTGCTGCCTTCTGTGCTTCTGAATTCTCACACTGATGTCGTGCCTGTCGAGTTTGCCAACTGGAAGTACCCTCCGTTCTCCGCCACCATGGATGAGGCAGGCAACATATATGCCCGGGGTTCCCAGGATATGAAATGTGTAGGCATGCAGTACTTAGAGGCCATTCGCAGTTTGAAGGCCTCCGGGTACAAACCGCAGCGCTCAATTCATGTATCTTTTGTTCCTGATGAGGAGATTGGAGGCAGTGACGGTGCCCAAAAATTCTACGAATCGGAAGATTTCACGGAGCTCAATGTTGCCTTAGTTTTGGATGAGGGTCTCGCCTCTGAGGACAACAATTACCGAGTGTTTTATGCGGAACGGTCAGTCTGGTGGTTTTATATCACAGCGAAAGGACACCCGGGGCATGGATCAAGACTGCTCGAGGGAATGGCTATGGAGAATCTGAGAATAAGTTTGGATAAAATTGCAGAGTTTCGGACGTCCGAGTTCGATAAAGTGAAGTCCGGAGAGAAGGCGGAAGGTGAAGTCATCTCTGTGAACAATGTGTACTTGACTGCCGGAACTCCCACTCCTACTGTGAGTTTCACTCTTATGCTAATTTCATGTCTCTCGGTTATGAATTCTCAATCTGTTGGGTTATTCTGTTATGGTCATCTTGCAGACCACGTTTGATTGCCAAAATTGTATTTACCTGACGATCAACAACTAGTCAAACGGAAGTTTACCCCGTCTACTTGACTGAGTATGCTTAACCCCGAGGTCATGTCAACGATTGTGTTTGTTGTGTCTGCTGGCACAAAAGATTACCAAATCAAAATCGATAACCTCCTGTGGATAATATTTTCTAAACTATGTCACTTTGCTTCCTCCGATGGATAGATTTTTTTGTTAGATAGTTCCTATGCTTTCTCATGCTCAGTACATTGTATTGTCCTCTCTACTAATCTTGTACTTTTTGCATCCAGGGATTCGTTATGAATCTACAACCATCAGAAGCAGAAGCAGGTTTTGATATGAGGTTGCCACCTATTGTCGACACGGACGCTCTGCAAAAGCGAATGGATGAGGAGTGGGCACCTGCATCTCGCAATGTCACTTGTCGAGTAAGGAGCTTCATCTAATGTTTATGCACTAGTTTACTTTAAAACTTAAGAATGGATGGGATTCTAAAGAATCCATGTATTGAATCAGCTCTCAGAAGCGCTATTTGCATAAGGAAACTGACTTTCTTTTCTTCTTTTGCGAATCGAGCAGTTTATTCAGAAGAAGGGTGTTCTCAACAAATTCGGAAAACCTTCAATGACATTGCTCGACGAGTTGAATCCGTGGTGGCCGCTGTTTCAAGAGAGCGTCGCAAAAGCAGGAGGGAAGCTTGCGAGGCCTGAAATTTTCATGGCATCCACAGACGCTCGGTTCCCCCGTTTCCAAGGCATTCCTGCCATTGGCTTCTCGCCTATGTCCAACACACCAATTTTGCTGCACGATAACAATGAGGTAAGATGCAAGAGATATCTTGATTACCGTGGCATGTAGAAATTGGAGGAAAGCAATAGACTTTTTATATGAGTTCCATGAGGTTTTGTATATTTTATTCAATTTCTTCACAGTCTATATTCGTCTATTACAGTCTTCGGCTGCTTAGGTGCCAAATCTTCAGTTTAGACATCTCACTTGATGTTCATTTCCTGAAAAGTATTCGCCCTTGATGCTCTATGTATCTGGTATGAAGCCATGGATTGCAAATAATTACTGGAACCTTTTCAGCTTAGAGAGGGACAAAAGAGTTGTGGTGCATGACGTAGACATTGTAAGATTACCTGTAATGTTTGTGGAGAAGGTGGTATATCTTCATTTTATCCACAACTCCGTCTGTGATCACTTGCCAATAAGGTTCATGCTCATTCTGTACATAGGATTCTTACGATCCCTTTAACCTCCTTTCACAACGAATATGAGCATGCTTATGGTTTTAGCCTTGGTGTTCTTAGTTTGGTGTTCTTTTATGTGGACCTTGTTTCTGAGGTCAATGACTTGAATATGCTATCTCTAAGTCTTCGGGGCTTGATTAGAGGCTCTGTTCTGATATTTGTTTTCTACCGTACACCGTTCAAAATGCATCTTTTCAGGAGGAAAAGTATTATGTACTTGCAGAAGGCTAGTTAATACAAATTTGTTTGTTTGTTTTTTAATTTCTGAGAACAAAAGCATAGAGGGAAGGGTGCTTTCTCGAGCGAAACATATATACCTAACCGCTCTTGGCTTTGCTTTGTACTTTTCGATTCCAGTTCTTAAACGTGAAGGAGTATCTCAAGGGAGTCAAGGTGTATGAACAGATTCTGCAATCATTCACCAGTCCCACTGAAGAGACTCCGTCGAAAAGCTCAACAGGAGCTTTCACAGAAACAATCCACTCGGAGCTCTAAGTTTTCTACATATTTTGCTGAAGGTAAGCGGGCAGTTTTAGTCACATTAAATGTTTGTACAGGTGATGAAAACTGCTCTTATTGTTCATTGGGGTGAGTGAAAAACGTGGGAGGAATATGCATCATTACTGGGTACAAAGATATGATATGGGAAGCAGATTCAGTTTACCTGAAGTAGACGTAGAGGTAGGTAGGAGTCTTGTCTCCAGATACGTGATACTACGTGTATCCGAAGTGATCATGCACGGAGTGAGCAAGTCTCAATCCTTTACCGTTGTTTTTCCACCAATCACTCTAATAGCAAGGAGTTTGTAAAGTTTTGCCTTGAATTAGAGAAACAAGAGTATCAGTCAAAGTTTTGTTATCTTTATAATGAAAAGATAGATAAGATGAAGAAGCTGGAAGCAAAATGCTCATTTTTGTTGATGTTCATATATTACTAGATCTAACGATGTGAATGGAGGTGTCAAAAAATTGTGTAAATGTTATGTATCACCTTATGTAAGAAAAATACTTTCAACCAATAAATTTTGATCCAGTAATATGAAAACACCGTCATAAGGATGAAATACTGCTCATCACACTAAAGTGCAGTGAGATGAAAATGAATTATTAGTAAGTTTTGTAAAAAGATGGAAGAAATATTCATAATTTAAATATATATGTCAAGATGTTTCAATTTAATCTGAATGAATGAGACATTGAGAAATGTTCACGAACATTGGTTTTGAATACTTGATTCTTTGAAGCAGGGAGGATTTATCTTCAAATGTTCAACCAAAAACTTATTTTCTTTTTCATCTTAAGAATATAAGTTCTACCAGTCAAGAAAATTATGATTTGTAACATGTGAAGTTATTAAATCATAACTTTTCAAGTAAGTAACATCATTCATTATTCAAGATCACTTTACTCTTAAATTAGTTCCATCTGTACACCGGACATGAAGATCCACACATGAAGAGCTAGGTGAACGTCTTACAAAGTAACAAACTATTCTGATGTTCCAATTTTACATTTAAGTTTTAGATATATTTCAATTGTTACATGTGTACAAATTCATCTGTATCAAAAATAAAATTATGAGTTGGATGAATGAAACAGGATTATTTGGATATTGAGAAGAAAATCACATGAAATATTGCAAATGGATAATAACAAATCGAAGAAAACAGAGGTCAGTTTATTGAATATTTTTTTGCCTTTAAATGGATCTAATGCAAACAAATGATTCTATTGCATTAAATGGTTCTACAGCGAGTGAAATTTTCACTCTTTTAACAATAATTGATTCTTCATGAGAAAAAATTATTACTTAAAATTTTGATTTATCTAATGATGATTTTCAGGTTTAAAATCAATCTTTATAAAAAATAACCATTTAGAATGTTTTATCTTAACATTCAACAATTACAAATCTTTGCTAAAATATTCAAATTCGAACATGAGAAAGTGGTTATTTGTCGCGACTATCAAATGACTCATTGAACAATAAAGATTTCTTGTTATATGTTTTGGAAAATGGAAAAATATAAACAAAAGTGTAATATCCCCAGACTTCACCATTGATCCTTGATCAGTGTCGAATTAGATGTTGACAAAACACTAGATACACGATGGTCGCTGATGCGTTTTGGATGCAAGGTACAACGCGAAGTTATACTTAATCAACTCATAGAATCAAATCAGTGCAGCCACGTGTCCAGGCATCGCGGCCATAGCGTACGCATGATCGGACCTGGTGATGATGCGCGGGTCCTAGAGTTCACCCCAAATATATACAGGCCTGTATATTATAATTAAATATTTTATATTATACTCAAAATATATCATAAATTTTTGGTATAATATTCTCGAACAGTCACATAATGTGACTGTGATTCGAGAGTGTCGTATCTAGTTGTCCTGCGTACACCATGTACATGGTCTTATCCTCGTAAAATGTGGTCTTCAGTAATCCTTGCCGCTTTCCGATCAGGCCGTGGAATCGAAATAGTGTAATTTGTGATGCCTGACTCAAAGCAGGATGAAGTAATATCGACCACGCAGGTCTTCTTAACAGATCCCGAAAAAAAGCCGCTCGAATCTAAGTCAAAGGATTGTATAGAAACAATTACTGACCCAACATATGTCAAGTGCATATAGCTAAAAGTGTATAATATAAGGTGTACCCATCTAAATATATAGCGAAAGGTAATTATAATTATAATTAATTATTGTCATCGATTACAATCGATGCCCACCTTTTCAACAGAATGTCGACACTTAATGCGATCGCTGATCAAGTCGATTGCGTCGTCAATCTCTTCTCGCCCAGTCAAAAGGACTAGTATGTCGCCATCCGCTTCGTTTTTGTGGACATCCATGACTGCCTCAACCATGGCGTTCCTAGCTCTTCTGCGACACGTGCGGCTACGCTGGTGGCTGCTATCCTTCGTAGTTGTGTAACATATGGAACATAGTTATGGTCAGTGTTACAATGTATTTAATAAAACATATAATACCGTATCAAACATAAACATAATTATAATACACACCCAACAAGATTAAGTAGGGTGTTACATATTATAGACATGAATTGTGGATGCAACCATGGACCATCAATTCGAGAGACTTCGCATGTCCACACGCTGCGATGTCACCCCACCGTCGATAGGCTAGCCAAAGTACATCTTATATGCTCAAGTAGTCATCCACAAGACATCAACAAACCTGTGCGAGTAACCTGTCAACTCGATCACGAATCGCATACTGTTGCACAGCCTTCGAGACTAAGAAACCAAAATAGATATATGGCGAAAACGATCGGAAGACCGAACAGGCCAAGGAAACTGAAAGCTTTGTCGCATGGCACAGATATGGTGACGGATTTCCTCCTGGAACGACGGATCTGCCTCCAGTCCCTCCAACTCCATCTCGAACATTTTCATTTGACGCTCAATGCACCTCAGATCCTTCGAATTCCTTTCACTTCCCGACGTACATCCACAAGCAAGTAAGTTCATACGTCTATAAATCATTGGCTCAGCCAAAGTTCTGGGATTTGAGTCAGTACCGCCCCCACTGTCACGGACACTAAGCATCGAAGCGTCGACCCTCGTTCCTTCGTACGTGCAGTCAGTGGGCCGGGCCGCTGCACCCTCTTCTGTTTCTCGATAGTGACCACGAACACCCTGCCAAGCTCTCAGGGTCGACGGGACGGAGACGACAAGAGCAGCAATGAGACCGACTCGAGTTCTGGGTTGAACTGCATGGTTCCTGTCTAGTGATGCTATATATTAAACTAGAGTATTGTACACATAATATAATGGGAGTGGCTAGTTATTTGTCACTTTGGGCTAATTAACCCTCACCCTAGTATAACTTATGTGGGTTAAACTTATGGCTCTTCTAACATGGCTGCCCTCCTCGAGCCACTATACCCCACCCCATGTGGATTGCCCGCACCTCATATGATCCTCTGGTTGGTCTGATCTTACTTAATGCATGCTGTTGCCGCTGGCTTGAATGTTGATCGCAATGATATCAAAATGAACCGGTCAAGTCCAAAGTCTTACATGAATTTCTGTTCATAAGATTCGAGATGATAATATGGATAAATTACGAGCACCACGCTATATTTGCCACAAATTACCAATTGATTTTACAATTCATTTTAGATCTCAATGGATAATCAGATCTATCCTCATATTATAAGCGGGAGAACTTCCACTTTAGACCTAGTGATGCAGGCCCAAACCAGATGACGAGAACCTAGTTGAGTTGAACCTATGCATGATTTGCATTCGATGATAACCTCGACATAATGGGACAGATTCAAGGGCCACCTTATGTGGTGGTGGGTGAACATGTTGGGCGAGAAATGAATGGGATCGAGAAATTAGCAAGAATCCAGCTTTGGATCGGTGGGATTAAGCTTATGGCGTGAATGGATCAACGGCCAAGTTGTCCACGGTCATGCACCAAATCGTCATCTCCAACTAGAGCTGGAGTCTTGTCGGCGAGGGCGCTATGTCTTTTTCCTTTTGGTTCATGACTACAACCTAGGTCATGGAAAGAAACAGCCTCCGAAGGCATTCTGTCATATCATACAAACAGGAAGATGAGCTGAGCCGAGGTGTGGGTATAGACGCTTGCGAGGAGTCCAGCCATGTTAGAAAAGCCCTGAACTTAACCCACTGATTCCTATAACTTTGGTCTATACTGGGTTGAGGGTTAAAAAGTCCAAAGTGAGTGATAACTAGCACCTCCCAATATAATATAAAGCTAAAAAAAATTAATGTATTTTATTGTATTAAAATATACTAAGAAACATTATCATTTTACCGGATAGTATCTTGACCAAATAGTTCCAAATCGAAGAGTGAAATATTTGATGGACTTAATCCTTTTGAATTGATCCAACAGGTTTCATATTACCTTATGGGACCCCGTTTCAGAGGCCACTGTCGGCCATGTTCTTATAACCTAGTGATTTGCTCTATAGAGTGGGGAATGGAAGCCACTGTCGGGCTAGAGTTTTCTGGCGACTTGTTTCGCAGCCATGTTTAAGAAAACGAAAGGCGCCATGAGTCTGAATTACTTCGAATATAGTCTTGAAATAATCCCAGATAGTTTTAGTACATCAATGACGGTGGGGCTGCAGGGCTGTAAATGGGTCCCATCACGTAAAATAAAACCTCATGAGTCCCATCAAATAATTTATTCCAAATCGAACCGCTCACAACTGATATCTGAATCCAAGAAAGCAAACTCTCTATCTTCATTTCTAGGTAGCATGACAGGAGTCCTGTTATGCAGCTTCGGACGTCCGTATAGCTGGTACATACGAATGTTGCAGGTGTGGACTCGGTGCTCGGAAACCGCCACTGACGAACTCTGAAAGTCAAATCTGTACCCGCGTGCTGTCCCGTCGAATCAAAGCGACCATGTACGTGGTCCGGTCTACTGCACTGCACCGCCGACTGCGACTGGCTCTACCGAGTAGCGGTCAAGGTGGCGCGGATTGCGGGTGGTCCGCCACGTCATGATCGCGCAAAACGTCCTCTTTTGCACGCCAGCGCAATGGGTCCGCGGCACAAATTCGCAACCACTTCGAATCGGGCCCGCGGGGCCGCGCCGGATGCGATGCTCGAGGACTTGGAGCTCGAGGTGCTCGAGCTGCTCGAGCTGCTAGGGCTCAAGATCGATCGAGATTGCTTTCTATCGGAACTCCGTTGCATTGCTCGGCGAGAGATCGAGGAGATGATGCCGTCCTTGGCTTCGGGTTCTGGTCCGGTCGTTCCATTGCGCTGGAAAGTATGTCAGCGACTGCTGTGATCATGCGCAGCTCTCTTTTCGTCGGTAAAGCGAGCATGGAGATTTCGCCGCGAGATGCTGTGCCGTGATTCGCCGAGCTGATCATATGCCCAGAAAACATGTCTATCGCAATTGGGTACTGCAAGGACGTCGGCGGTACTTGAGGTGCGGTTTTTCTGTTCTTTTATGGTCACTGCTCCAAGAATCCTCGCTTCCTCGATCGCTCTCTCACGTTCGAGCTCTCGGAAGCCTCTCGGATAGTCTGTTGCACACATCGTGACGCAATCGCCAGAGAAGAAGATCCAGAGCGATGGCAGATAGTCTCGATTCGCGTATGGATTGCGTGCATCTCGTGGGAGTTTTGTTGCTTGCGTTGCTGAGTTTCTCGCAGCTGAGCACCGCTGCTGCTGTGGACACTGAACAATGTGAATGGGCCGTGACGAGATTCCAAGACTATCTGAGGATCAGAACGGTGCACCCGACTCCGGACTACTTGCCGGTGACGAAATTTCTCATACAGCAAGCACAGTCGCTGTCGCTGGACAGTAAAATCCTGGAGTTCGCTCCTTCAAAACCAATCGTTCTTATGACATGGACTGGGACGGACCCGGAATTGGCCTCCGTCATGTTCAACTCTCACACGGATGTGGTGCCAGTGGAGCTCTCGAAATGGAAGCATCCCCCGTTCGCTGCTCACATGGATGACGAGGGCAACATTTTTGCCAGAGGGTCGCAGGATATGAAATCTGTCGGAATGCAGTATTTAGAGGCGGTTCGGAATCTCATGGACGCTGGATTCGTCCCATTGCGCTCGGTCCATTTCTCCTATGTGCCCGACGAAGAGGTTGGGGGAGCTGACGGAGCTGAGGCGTTCGTGGAATCTCATGAATTCGAGGAGCTCGATGTCGCCGTTGTGGTCGATGAGGGCATGGCATCAATGGATGACAGTTACCGCGTGTTCAACCGGGAGAAAATTCTGTGGTCGTTCGTCATCAAGGCTGTGGGTAGTCCCGGACATGGATCTAGGCTCTTCGAAGGCATGGCCGTGGACAACTTGCGGGAAGCATTGAATCGAGTAGCAGCGTTTCGAGAACGTCAGCTGAACGTCTTGAAGGCAGGCGAGGTTGCAGAAGGCGACGTCGTGTCTATCAACAATGTCTTCCTCAAAGCTGGCACACCCACTCCCACGGTTGGTCTTCGTTCATGGCTTACCTTTCTCTTGACTTTCTGCTTTGGGGTCAGACAGGTTATTGCCAAGCTCGTTGCTATAGCGAAGCAGGTGCATGGTGCATCTTGGCCTCCATTTGATTGTTCTGAAACAGGGATATGCCTCTCGTCTTCTGGCAGGGCTTCGTGATGAATATGCAACCTTCACAGGCGGAAGCTGGCTTTGATATGCGCTTGCCACCAGAAGTTGATGCAGATGCTTTGGAGAAGCTTATTACGGAGGAGTGGGCCCCTGCGTCTCATAATCTCAGTGTCCATGTGCGTTACTTCGTACCTGATGCCTTCTGCTCTAATGTTGATAAAAGCTTTAAGTCGCAGAGCGCTTGACTGTTGGGCAGATTGTGGAGCATTTGTAAGGATCGAAATGTCATCAGAATACGAAGAAGGAAATCTCACCCGTAGATCTTGTTTGCGATGTTTGTCTTTCAACTTAAACACTTGTGACGTGAATTGGGATAGCCATGACGAGTTTCTGATATCCTATCTCGACTTTCTCGTTGCAATCGCAGAATACAGTTTCACCTCATTGCATATGTCAGTTAGATGTATATGAAGCAGCCATGAACATGATATGCGTAGGCCTTGTAGTTCGAGAGGTGAGTAAAATAGCCAGTACTAAGTCCGTTTTCCGTTGCCTGAGCAAAATCAGTTTGTCAGCAAGCAGCAAGTCCGGGACGAAAATGGGAAGCCTTTGATTACTTCGATAGAGGATTCAAATCCTTGGTGGGTGTTGCTGAAAAATGCCATCACTCAATCAGGTGGAAAGCTTCACATTCCAGAAACTCGCACTGGTGCCTCGGATTGTCGATTTTCTCGCCGGAAAGGAATACCTGCTTTCGGGTTCTCCCCTATGTCCAACACACCTAACTTGATGCATGCCCACGATGAGGTAAGTAAGCAATCTCTGGCATAGAATATGAAGACTGAATTAACATAGACCAGAAACTTGGCAAACCCGATGGCTTCAAGAGATGAACTGGTTGCTCTGTTGTAAAGTAAAACTGGTCGCTGACTTCTTCCTGTGTTGCTACAGTTTCTGAACGTCGAAGAGTACCTCAAAGGCATCAAAGTGTACGAAGAGATCATTAAAGCTTTCTCCGGTCCTCATGACGCTGATGGCCATCTGGACACATCGAGGTCATTTTGTGAGAAGCTCCGACCTGTGAGCTGCAGAAACAAAGAGATCATTAAAGCTTTCTCCGGTCCTCATGACCGGAGAAAGCTTGTGGACACAACGAGGTCATTTCGTGAGAAGCTCCGACCTGTGAGCTGCAGAAACCTCTCGGGTTTTCTCCCCATGAAGAGTATCTTTACATCATAGCACAAGCACAGACCTGGAAGCAATCCTTGACCTTTAAACGCTTAGTCAGCCACCGTCGATCGAGCACGCTGTTTCTGCATACTTGATCATGCTCTACGGCGGGAAGTCGCTGCAAATGTTCCAGATCACGCACTCCAGACGAACTAACTCAAGAACCAAGTTCAGCTCCGGCCTCATACAGACCTCTTTCATATCTAGCAGCCTCCACGCGGATATGAAAAGGTCGAATTTCGCCCGAATTTCAGGTCCATGTTGGGATGGACGTGCAATTACTCCTGGCAATGGACGTAGTCTACAACATTAGTGCTAGCTACTTCGAAGTTAGGTTCAGTGTATGAACTGTGAAATGAGATGAAGGGGTGAATCAATCGCTGGCACCTGGTCTCCTCAGGACTCACTTCGTCCGAGACGCAATAATTAACACTGCGGTCGGAACAGCAGCCTCAGTTGAGAATCAAAAGTTCGGCCGTATTGCCGTCACTCAGATCCTCGAACAGTTCGAAGCTTGGAGACCGTCATCAAGTTTTCTCTGCCTTGTTCCCTTAAAGAACGTCTGTTTGTAGCGGATGAATTGACTTTCACAAGATTAAATTACTGACACCGGTAAGCAAAACGACGCCTGTTTCTCCAGTGTCCCATGGTTTTGACCGAACCAAAGTGGGAAGTAAAATGTGTTGGCTGCTATTCGTTATGACGGTAGTGATTCAGTGAATTGAATGAACTATTCCAGCGCACAACGAGAATTCGTCTGTTTCAACCTTTTTACTTTCAAGATGCTTCGTTGAGTTCATTGTGCAACTTCGAGTTTGAGCACATGGTCATGTTCTCTTCTGCCATTTGGCAGAGATTCGACGATAGTGCAAACGCGAGCGTCATCGTATGTTGGCCCTATTCGAATGTTGGCCCTATTATTCTCCTCTTCGAACGAAAATGCTATGCGGACAAAACCCCCAGTTTTGAAGTACATAGAGAGTATTGTCACGTCCAGTAGGCATGATTTTGCCATTGTAACTAACACCTGGACAATGACTTTTGCTCTTTTCAGTCCTTATCGAACCGAGATGCCACATAGGAATCATCTTACTACAGTGAGTGATGGGCAGATTATCTTTCTGAAATTCCTACAGGCTAGCACAGAAGGAATCTGTTATAGTACTTCTGTCACCAAATCTACAGAATTGATTTACTTTCCCGTGACGAACACCATTTTGTCTGCTATCCTTCAGTACTAACAATAAAAGTTTGACAAGATTTTGTCGTTCAAGAGGAGCATGAGGATTATGTGCATGCTACTCTATTACCTTGAACTCCACATGGAGACTGGATGCTCCTCTTTCTGTGAACCGCTCTTCATGAGTTCACTGGCCAGGTCATAATTTGAAATCTAGTGCATGGTACGTGAAGTTTCTTTACTGCTGTCAACGTTTAGTTAGAGCAGGACCATTCAGCCTCAAAAGGCCAAGCCAAAGCTGAAGGAAACTGACCTGCAAGATAGTGTGAATTTAAAGAATGCACGAGGAGCTCTCATTATCTGCGAGAAAGAAGTACAGTATACATAGTGCGCCGAAGCAGAAGCTTGCAAGTGGCCATAACCTGTCCGAATCACGTGCTGAATGGAAAACCACTTTGTGGACGACACAGCTTCCAAAAACCCGTGGCGAATTGGACAGACCATTACCACACAACATGGGGCAGCAATCATGTCGAGGAAAAAAAATGATTTTCTCCAGCATCTCACAAAAGGTGGTCAAAGACTTGATTCCCAGTTTGCTTCAAAATCCAACTTGGTTGTGGAAACATTCCGCATAGAAACATTCCATCTGCACATCCATCGTGCTTCATCCTATTTTGCTAGTACACGACAGCAGGCGTTGTGCTCGAGACATGGGAAGTATCGAATGCCCTCTTTAGGCGTGGAGATCAGTTATCAGAGTACATTTCTTTTGTCTTGTCCTCCTGCTCCATTATCATTTAGCCATCGCACATCATCGAACCCAGGCGACTGATACTTCCAGAATTTTCGGAACGATGTATCTGATAACCAGAATCGTACCTTTCATGATTGAGAACATAATTATGCTGTGTTCGAAACCATTTACGAGGTTTAGCACCGCTCGACTGTACAAATCTAACGAGAAAAGCTCCCTACGAGGTTTTCACACAAACGCGTCCAGTGAAAGATTACTTGTTCTGTCTACAAGTGACTATTTGCACAAAACTTATCTTGCGCCTCAAATTTTCAGAGTCAATGACAACAGCTGCTCGAGATAATTTAACAGTGTTTCAAACCATGATGACAATCCTTACACATCCTCTCTGAAACTCTATCTTCATCTTTTACTCACCCTTCTTGACATCCTGCACACTCCGATTTCACAGGCGAGGGTCCCACTCAGGAGGAGATCCCAAGGACCAGCGGGAAGATCATGCCTATCGAGAACTCATTCCCTGCGCAACTGGATTCTCTTCTGCAAAAGGAGCTCTGTACGACTGCGTGCTGATGAATGTGTTAAACTTCAAGGATCTCGATTCGCTGAACAGTGCTCTGCGTCGTGGCATTGAATGTTCTCTCCGAGCATCTGGTATCTAATTACAGGAAATATCCAGAGAGTATACACCCCCCCTTTCGGCGCTAGGGCCCATGAACAAGGTCAGGTCATATCTCCACTCTACAGCATGTGATGGTCTGAAGGGCCGAGGGTGAAGGCGAAGCAACTGAAACTCTCGTGAAACAGCGAGCCGACTAGGAACAAGTGCTGTCCATAGTACGACGACCATCGAGGCAGGCATCGTCTACGGCTGAAGCTCGGCAGAAGATTCTCAAAGCCATCGAGCCATGTATGGGTTTCTGCTCTCTTATCCAGTCCATCTGCTGCATCAAGGGTCCGCCTTCGGGAGAGTGACGAAGGAGGAACCTCTGGGGACTGATTTGGCTGCTGTGACGTGTGGCATGGGATGCTGACACTTGCCGACTCGGGGGAAGCATGCCCGTGCAGTGGACGGGGCACAATTCTGGGTACCGAGAAAAGCAACATCATGAAGGAGCAGAGAAGACAAGGATTCGAGACCGATGAGTTGGCACATGCATTCAATCAAAATTGCAACAAAATGTCGCGAGCATGCGACGATGCGCGAACGAGAACTCGAACTCGAACACGAACACGAACACGGCTATGAACATATATGAGCACAAGTTTTTACAGCTGACTGAGAAAGAGGGTAAGAAGGCGTTTGAGCTTTCCTAGTCCTACAAATCGGTTCTATTCACAAGACGTAGCGCAGCATACAAGGACTAGAAGAGGGTCACTAACTCGACACAACGATCGACAGCATTCCACTCATGATTCTACGGTCTATGCTTCAGGAGCAGGAGCAGGAGCTGGAGCTGGAGCTGGAGCTGGAGCTGGGGCTGGGGGAGTTCTGATGCTTCCTTGGTGAAGAAGAGGCTCACGGGTGCTTCCGGCCTCCACATCGGCCGAGGCACGACCCCGGTGAAGGCAGGCAATGAAGGAAATAACGAGCACGGAAACACCAGTGGCGGTCAAATCGGCCCCGAAGATGATTCCCACGAGCTTCAAGCCATAGGTCGGAGTGAGGAAGACGATCATCATTCCCAGAATTATGGACAGCAGGCCACTAATCAACACGGCCGGCCAGGACCTCATATGGCGCACCTGCCACGACATGATCACCTTGAGAAAGCCGTGAGCTAGAAACCACCCGCTCAGAACGAATGTCAGCGCGGTGAGCCCTTCTCGGGGTTTCAGGAGCAGCCACAGCCCTACGCAGAAATGCAGCGCGCCCAGAAGCACGAACGACGTGGTGCCGGGCGAGCCGCAGAGCATGAGGAACTGGACCAGCATCACGCCTCCGCCCAGCACCAGCAGCCATGCCAGCAACTGCTCGATTGCCAGCCCGAACACGAAGGGAAACACGATTGCGATTATGCCCACTATGAGGAACAGCACTCCCTTGATGGCGTACTGGCGCGTCACCACCTGCAGGTGCTCGTCCGAAATGGGCGCCGTCAGCGGCATCATGCCGTAGTTGCCCGTGATGATGAATCCTCTCACTCCGCCCACTTCTTCTGGCTCGCTTGCCACCGTCGTCGGCGGTGGCGCCACACTTTCCCCATCCTCTCGCCGCGCCTCCTGCTCTTGGCCATTCTGTCCCTCCCCCGCCATTTTCTTCGCTCTCGCTGTCGACTAATCAGAAGCGCTTCTTCGCGCCCGGAGACCGTGAACGGGCGGAGCGGTTCGATGCACAATTGAGCGACCAGCGCTGCCGACGAGTTCAAGCCTGCATTACGAAGCCCGTTCCACAAACACCGTCAACGCAATCGAAGAATCCAAGAATGGAACTCCTCCCCGAGCACTCACTCAATTAATCAATCAATCAATCAACCAGTCAATCAATCGAATCACATGCTTCCCCATCTTCCCTGGAAACCGAAAAACGACGAGCAACGACGAGCAAAATCTCACTAGGACACGCGGGACCGCGATTCGAGACCCCGATTCTCTCGAGCCTTTCGACACGCTTACTCTCTGTGGGCCGAAAGCCACTCAAAAGCCGAAGAAGAAACAAAATTGCAAGCGAAATGGGAGGCAATCAATCAATCAATCAATCAATCAATCAAAGCAGAGCAAAGAGCAAAGAGCAAAGAGCAATGGGCAATCCGAACGAGCTACGAGGAGGGGAAAGCGGGCGATCGCAGACCTGGATCTAGTGGAGGCGTGGAATTGAAGGGCTAGATTGGAGTGAGAGTGGGGTTGCTCTCGTGGGGGCCTGCACTCCTCTCCAGCTCTCCAATGGCGCCTCCGCTGCTCGACAGATGAAGGCACTTCCGCAGACGAGGAGCTCGCTCTCGATGCTGACAGCTGTGCATGCCTAAAGAAGGGCCTCGCTGGCCACATCGGCCTGATGATGACAGGGCACACCACCACGCCACGCGGACGTCTTGACCCCCTGCGCGCCACAGTGGCGCATTCCGGCACGTTCTTGTATCGCGGTGCCCTCGGCTCTTCGTGCTACTGTATTATGCTGTGGGTGTTCGCTACAGTGCAGATTGTCGAGTCAAACTCCTCGTCGCTTCGCCATGTGCCCAATGCATTTCGAATGTCCAGTCACTTTGTCGCATATTTTTCGCCCTCGGAATGTCAACATTTCTCCTTTTACGAATTCTTATCTTTTTCTCTTAAAATAGTGAGGCAGAAGAAAAAACGGATGAAAAAGGTTGCCCTGAACTTTTCTCATGTTGCAACCAAAAGTTGGGTTCAACACATAACTTTAGAATCATGTGAAGTTTTATGTAATATGTAAAATATAACTCATATCTACTCGTTTTATTTTTAAAGGAATCTACGGCCGTGAATATCACGCATGCATCTATATATACCTACTAATATATTTTGAATTCTTTTTACATTTCCTCCGGAGCATCAGTTGATATGGCCGAGTTGGTCTAAGGCGCCAGATTAAGGTTCTGGTCCGAAAGGGCGTGGGTTCGAATCCCACTGTCAACACAAAGTCCCCGTTTTGCCAAAACCCTAAATTCTTTCGCCTAAAACTCTTTTGTCTTCCCTTCCTACCGAAGCCCCCGGTGTGTACACTATGACCTGAGTGCGTAATTGGACAAAAGACATCTCTCTTGAATTAGGCGTAACGCAAGATCGATCTAAGGTCACACTTCTGGGTGTAAATTTGACATTCAAACACCTAAAAATTATTTTATAATCAGTTAATTGTAAACATTCTTCGACCAGGGTCGAATTAATACACTTTGTCGCCCAAAAGTTGGATCGAACTAATAAATCTACATTCTTATGACTTTCTATGTAGATTTTTTTAACCGTAAGAATATCAAATCATTATCAATGGAATCTTGGAATCGATGATGCATCCAGAAGTATTTGTATAGATATTGATTATCCCAAGTCGCGGTCAGCAGTTGATATGGCCGAGTTGGTCTAAGGCGCCAGATTAAGGTTCTGGTCCGAAAGGGCGTGGGTTCGAATCCCACTGTCAACACGAGCCCCCTGTTTTGTCGTCTTGTCTCTTTTGTCGAATCCCCCTGGTCGAAACATAAGCCCCCATTTTGTCGTCTTCTCTATTTTTGTCGTATCCCCTGGGTCGAAACATTTATACCGGTCATCATTATTGAACTTGCAATTCGAACTCCAAAGCTTACGCCACATGGAACCGCGCCATAAAATTACTCTGTTCCATTGTGCTGGCTTCTTGGGGCTGCCGATCCTTCATTCGAATATTCGAATATACTTGGCCCCACCCGGAATAAGCTGGATCCGGTAACTTGACCAGGAATTACGCAGTACAGTACACGATGTAAGGTATCGATGGATGGCACGCTCGTATTGTGGACAAGAAGGAGCACAGTTTGAATTCTTTTGCAATTTTCAGAGCGGCACAGGACGAAGGACGTCGACATTAATGAAGAAATTGACGTCGTGGAGGTCACTGGGAACAAGCTTTCACGACTGCGATTCCGCCTCATTGATCTGCTTGTCGCGATGGAGGCCTTGTCGTCTTCTCCCGCATTAACTTCACAGCTTCTGTCATCCGATTTGTGCTCTTTTTTCGATACTATTGTGTAATACAAACCAACCTCTTGACATGCACAGCTCGATTTGCCACACGTTGTAAACTTAAGAATTTCAGAGTGGCACGATTTCACGAGGCACGAACTGGCGAAATCGAAGAGCTGAATCACAAGTCCACATTCCCTAACTCTAGAAGAGCTGAAACGAACTTTTCTCCTGGCGACGCTGCACGCAAAGTACTTCCGGAGCTTCTCGAACTTCATTATCGGATTCCCATTCGAGGATTAAGAATTATTACGACTGAAACATTCAGCTCATGGCAATTTTTAACCCGTTTACGATAAAGCAGACACGTTCTGTATTTCCCGTTCAGAACCAAATACATCATCGTCTTGTTCGCAATCTACATCGGATTCAACATCTTCGGACATCTTCCCTGGTTCCAAAACCCTGGACTCAGCTGCTGCAACCCTCGAGTTAAATGTCTCGTCACTACATGCTAGCATGTGTTTTAAACTGAAACTCAGCCCCCTCTTGACAAGAAGCTCGTGCCTCGGCATAATCCTCGTCTTCAGAGAGTAGCTGAAGTACCTGCACCGGGGCATCGAACACAACAGCTTAAGGTAGCCCGAACGAACGAAGTCAATTGGCGAGAGTGTCAGGCGGGGAAAAGTGAGAGCTCTGTATGGGCAGGAGCACAACCCAGTGATCAGAGGAAGGGTGATAATTGGAAGTTGAATCACTCACCTGGGAAATGCAATTATATCATCCAACGGCCGCTTCATAACTCGCTTAAAGTATCGAATTTTGGGATGAAGTGTTGGTATACTGTACATCAACAGAGGCGGAAAATTTGCTATCATTCCACCCAGCAGCCGAGGTGGTATTCTGTGTGAGCCGAACCATTTCACAATAACCTGCAGCTTCTCCTCCAGGCTGCAGCCGATTAGCTCTGGTTTCTGAGCAATGACCTTGCCCACATCCGCCTCGGCAACTCCAGCTCCTTCCAGAAGAAACCTGACCTGATTATCGATACAGGTTTGATATGAAGAAGTAAATGCACTCACTCACGTTAACAGGCAAACATTGTAACATGAAACCTGAAAAACGTGAAGCGACTTTACAGAGTTCAGAATATAAAATTCAGCTGAAGAATATCTATCAACTTGTTTAGTCCGAGTCAGAGCATCTAGAAATATGTCTATTCTGCACTGAGAATGTATAGGAACAGGTTTAACTGCAGGAAATAGAGCTCCTTTCAGATCTAGCGGTGACAGACAATGCAGTGCACAAGAGGAAAATCAAAGAGCAGACTCACCACGGGTCTGATCTTCTTGTCCAAGCTGTACGTCAGAATTGCTGGAAAGCTTACAATCACTTGGCCAATGATCTCATCACGTACACCTATCGCGCGCAGAAACCGTACCTGTCATGACAAAGTCAGGTCTTGAGACATAGCAGGGCTGCTGCTGACAGCAAAATGTTAACAGAAAAGAAGCAGTTCACTAGGTCGGTCATTACGATTATCATGACACAAAATCTTCGTACCTTCGGTGCGATAGTATCTGCTAGATTCAGGCAGAAAACTTCTGGCTGCACACCCAAGATTCGTCTTATCCCTGATAATTCAATCCGAAGGAAATGAAAATATCTCAGCAACTTGTCCCAAGATTCTCCAATGCTACATGCTAGAAGCTGCGGAGTGCTCACAATCACCCGTCTGAGCACCTCATCCTCTAGCCCAATTTGCCGAAGGTAGTCCACCTGAAATATAGTCGGGACACGCACTTTACTCGTTAGACAAGAACATCAGCAAGTGCCATAAATCAAGTGCAAACCTAAAGCTTTCGATCGATCCACCAAAAGACAGCAAGTCCTTCTGCTGGGTCAAAGCTCCTTACCAACAGGCATGCCCACTTTAAAAGAATTACTTTCGTTTTCTGAGCTCCTTTCCGAGTACACCACCAAATGACTCACCTTCGACAACATTTCCTCGACAGACAGATTTCCGAGAACGGCTGGGAACTTGAAGACTAGGAGTCCGAAGTCCTCTGGAGATACACCCAGATCAGTGAACATCGAGATCTTCTGCAGCAACTCATCGCTGCCAACAGAGAACACTCTCGGTGACCGGCTCACAACCAGACCGAGCCATTTCCTTTCTATACCAGCGGTTTCCAGAATCTGGATAGTGTTGTGAATCTCAGCTAGTGACTGGTCCAAGAGGCTCGGCTCCCGTTCGAGCACAACTCCTAATTCCCTTCCTTTGACATATATACTTTTCAGAACCTCTATCCTCGGTTTGATACGTTCCAGATTTTCATCAGCCAGGCAGATCAGACTGCCGATTCGCGGAACTGACAGATTCTGGTGCTTCAACCACCTACAGCGCACAGAAACGTCGAAGAACAAAGATTAACATTCCCTCGACCACGACCAGACGCGTCCTGATTGAGCTCATGGTCAATCAGGAGCTAGGGTTCAGATCCTATCTCTTCATAAAGCAGCGATTGAAATGAAAGCCAATTAACGCACGGTATTTCGGCGGAATCTGCTTGTCATGAGAACGAGTGCAGATACAGATATGTCTTCAGGCAACGGTGCTGTGAATTGGATCAGACATGCACGAGAACTTACTTGATGAGATCCACGACTCTGCTCTGATCCAAGTAAAGCCTTGCTCGGGAATTGAAGGACAATTGCTTATAAGCGGGAACTTTCTTCAGATAAACTGCTTCCGTCAAAATTCTGTCGACGAAAGGAGACAACCGAGCCATAACATCTCTGCTGTAAGTCGGACCGAGACCACCAGCTCGTAAAGCCGATTCAAGTGTCTCCTCTGCGATCGCCCTCTTCTTTTTTAATGCTCGTCTCAGAATCAGCTCATCGTCATCGACAGGCTTCTCCCTCATGTCAGCTCGAACCAGAGAAGCACCTGCATCTGCACTCGGGTCCTCTATTCGAGCTTCGCGGGTAGCAAGTGCACTTTGGGATAGGAAGGGCGGATCTTCGGTTGAGAAGAAAACCTGCTTCGACTTCCGTCTTTGCATCAAAAGCTGCCTGAGATAGGTCTCACTGCTCCACGTGCCTTCCTCCTTGCCGCTTGTGGACTCCTCGCCAGCTCCATCAGAATCACCTCCTAACCCTGATAAGGATTCAGCATCCTCCCGAGAGCCTTCTCCTTCCAACTCGTCTCCGGAAGTAGAACTGGGATTTTCGAGGCGGAAACTCTGCTCCAACTCAATTTGATACTTCACTGATCCTCGTACATATCTTTCGCTGACATAGTCTGGCTTCTCCTGGAATAATTTTGCTGTTCTACTCCTCCATTCAGTAGATATGATCACTTTCTCATTCTCTTCAGGCTGCTCTCTGTTAGCTGATGTGATACGAACCTCTTCGTCAATGAAACCTTCTCCCGGAATCGATGGCAGACCATTATCTTCTGCCACAGAGCAAATAGCTCGCACGACCCTCCTCGAAATTTGTGAACATGGAAAAGATTTTACTGAACGAGACAGCACCGAGGACGGAAATCTTATGACAGAGCTCCGCCCTGCATTTGGGAGAAGAGGACATGGTGAAGGAAAGGGTAGAGTCCCCATAGCTCAGGTTCGTCACAAATCGTCCCCTCGGTCCTCCGTTCAATGCGTGTGGCCTTGCGAGCCTTGCTCATGCACCATCTTTCTCCTGACAATCAAATTGCTGAAATGTAAGCCGACATACTCTTGTAAATCTGAACCGACTGATTGAAATTCGACTCGAACTCATTCGCGTACATTTTCTGATGATTCATCGTCCGAGCCATTCCGTTACCAAACTAGTCAAATGTAACAAGAAACGTGTTCATTCATAGCGCGAAGAATCTCAAAAGGTGTTAGAATTTCGAAATCTTTTCCTTCTTGAAAGCCCAGTTCCAAACCGATTACTACATCAAAAACCACCAGAATTTCAAAAAGTAACGGCGCTTGAAATACTGATATATAATCTGAATGCAAGCCTCAGAAATCATCGACGTTTAGACAGACAAAATCTTCAGGAGCACAGCGCCAGCAACCAAATTCGACCTCAAATGCTGAGCTGAGCTCTTCCCCAGTCCTCCAGGAATTAGGCACCGAGAAAGACTTTCTGATTCGTCTGCCCGAATTCAGGCGCGGCAGCCGTTGCCGGTCGCATTCGCCTCTTCCGCCTCTTCCGCCTGGCACTTCATTGCACGCCATGGCGTCAAACTCCGCCAGGTCCACGTGGCAGTACATTGCGGCTTACGTGGCACACCTAAACACGCCGCTGCGAAAGAATCATAAAATCTTGCCATTCATTCATAACACAAAAGCTCTCGCCCCCACATTTTGCCCGTCGAGCTCCTCCATCACTTTGTGGCATGGCCGATTTTCCCTTTTCGATTTCCCAGCAGCTGAAGAAGAGCTAATCGAAGTTGGCAAGGAATCCAAAATTCATCTTTCTGTGTCCCGAATTTTCCGGTATACGACAAATGGGTGGAATAAATTCTTGAGTGAAGTGCACGTGCGAGGGTTCTGAGCGAGTCACTGACGACGAGGGAGGACACGAGGGCGAAGCCTGAAGTTGCAGGGAGACAGAAACCGAGAGGGTTTAGGCGCAGGAGAGGCAGGAGAGAAAGAGAGTTTGCGGTGAGTGTTTGTTTGATCGACGGATCCATCGATTTTTTTATTGATCGCTAGGCATCTAGCGGACCAACATGGAGACGATGGCTGAATTGCGGATGAAGAAGAAGGTGGAAGAAGGTCAGTGTTCCACCAGCACATTCAGATTTTAGGTGCTGTTGTTATGAGATTCCTTTGTGTTTGACGGATTGGTGTTTATTTATCGATAAAGGATCATCTGTCACAGCTGTAATGTTGAAACACGCGTGGCTCGAGGGCGTAGAAGACATCGTATATTGTCACATATATGTTCTTTGGATCGTTGATTTCCTACTCAGTGAACATGTTCAAGGTTGTCTACATTGAAGTTCTCAAAAAGTTGAAATTTTCTTAAGAACCAGCAAATACTCTGACTGCCAAGAGGCAGTGAATGGACTAACCTGGACCGAATCTGCCGACATTGTATCTTGCGCTGGTTACCGATATTTTCAGTCTAGTGCTTACATGCCCTTTCGCAAACTTTTGCGGTTGCCGTATCGCCTTAGATGATATCGCCGTTTCACAAGTGTGATGTTGAAAATTCTCGATGTCATTTGCTCAGCTTATGTAAATTCGCCGACACGTATTTCGCCGTCATTCGTACTCGATGATCTTTTTGTTGGTAGGTTTTCGGGGTGCAAAGCTAACTTGATGATTATATCTAATTGTTTTGCCTGGGCTAGCTCTCCGCAGCAAGATGAAGGCGAAAGCGCTCAAGGAGTGTGACGACGTGCTTTCGAAATTCACTGAATGTGCAAGAGGAAGAACGTTGTCCGTTGTTTGGGCTTGCCGCGAGCAACACAAGGAGATGAATGATTGCCTTAAACAGTTGTAAGTTGTCTTATCGTCCTAAAGGAGAAAATGTTAGCATCAACGCCAAATTTTGGTGAAACCAATCGAGTAATTTAAAAAATGATCGTCAAATTGAATGCGTCTGAGGAATTCAAGGATGGTCCTCAACGGCTATCTCACATCTCCAAAGCGCTCATTGAAGGTGTTGCATTCCGACATCAATTAGATTTTGGTCATGAAAGGTGCCTGCTTTTTAGTTCTCTTATTGTCTCGAAAGTAAGGGAGGTAAGTCATATGTGAGAGTGAGAGCACACGGATCACTCACATCTCATCCATACTATGTGTTAGACATATCTTTCAACTCATCTCTACAATTTTTTGTAGCTTATTGTCCAAATCTTTAAGAATGTTATCTTGCAAGTTTGTAACTGTAGATCTTGGGTCTAAGTTTCAGATTACTAAGCAAGTTAAGAGAATTGCAGTATTACAGAAACTCCTGACGAGTAATACCGTCACTTACCCAGACAGAGGGACAACCTTTGGGCGTTGATGAAGTCATCTTGTTTAATGGAACATATCATTTCATAGGATTTTAGCTGTCCGCATTACTGTAATTCGCTTGTGGAGTTGTTTGTGATCATAAAAAGTTGGTGTATACAAGGAACCGGCTGGTATGTCAATTGCTGTCTGGGTAGAATCTGTTTATAACAGATTCTAGCCAGAGACACTAGAGATGATTGTCTTTGTCAGATGCTGAAATATCGTCTGATCTTTCGCTTCACACAGTCCCCGTCGGTCGTTTTGTGAACTGTCGAATCAACGTAGAACAGAATGGTCGGATCATGTATCAGGACGAGTTCACTTACTTCGTGTAAAAGATTAAGTCTGTTTACTTCGAGGCAAACTCACCTTTTGTGTATCGTTTGTTGCAGTACCAATGACGAGGTATTTGAGGAGCAAAAGAGGCAATATGTGATGGAGACAGAGGGAAAGTAGAAGATTATTGACCTGTTTTGGCCATCTTATTCAATATCATTCATCCAGCTTTGGCACGCTCCTGAAATTCCTACTGTGAATGAATATATTTTTATTTCCAAGGACTTACCTTCTGTACAGGATCAAGACCTCGGTTGCTAGTCCTCGGGCACGCCTTCTATAAATCTTGACCTGTTTGCAGTGGTTCGTTCACAGAATTAGTCTTTAGAGAATAAGTAGCCGAAGGAGTTCCATGTCTTACCTGGAAGCGTGCTCCTGTTGATTTTCGCATCTTTTTTAGGCCCACGATCAGGAAAGCACAAGTATGCCAGTTTTGTAGGACTTTGTTGACCTTTACAGTGATACTCATCAGAACGCTGCTCTTGGTTATTTAAATCTGACAGAATTGCTGACGATAAGCGAGGAGGTTATAACAAAAAAAGACCAGTGAAGGAGGAGTTATAGAAGTAATCCTTCAATCATGTTTTATTTTTTTCTCAGCTGCATGTGATAAGCGAGTGAGAAGAATTTTTTTGCGCTTGTCAAATACACATTAGCGAGCTGGTCTTATGACTTAATTCCTAAAACAGAAGATTGGTCCTGTACAGAAGGACCAATCTCAAGCGAGACAGATGTATTTGAAGATTAAGAAGACAATCGGCTGTAACTATTTGACCCCCAACATCTGATCTCATACTGACATATGTGTCTAAGATGGCGCTCACCGCTAGTTGTCATGATACACACGAGTACTATTCGTATACACACGTCGATCACTGTTGTCTAGTATCTCTTCTTGTACCCTTAGTAGTCAGTGAAGAATGCTCAGAGGGTGTCGCAGCTGAAATCATAATTTTTAATCGCCAGTCTACGAGGCCAAGTTCCCATCTCTGACTTTTCGAAGACGGGACTGGGTGGTGACAGAGCCTTACGTGCTCCTTTTCTCCAAAATAAACAGACCGAAGTGGGCTAGTTTTGAGAGGATGGCAGAAGTGTGAAAAGCGTGAAGGAGACTTGCATAGCTTTTACACCAAAGAGCAAAACCGGCTTTCCGTATTACATTGGCTTCTTGACTCGGTGACATCCCACCGAGTAAAGTTGCCAATGAGCTTTGAATGACATATACGAAATGAATCTTATATGCTTGAGTGCTTAGAATCGTTTCGTATTTTATCTACCTATCGCGACCATAATGGGGCAGGAGAGAAAACAAATACTACTTTTTGAGTACCATCGAGTGTTTGTGTACGACAAACCAGACCTGCTGAGCTAGGTACATCCTACTAAACTTGTCTGCCCGGCATTCTGCACTATTGCCTAGCTTTGTTCGTCATCGTCTTCTAGCATTCGGTGTTTTCACATCAACTGAAGTGCAGTATGTTCTGGCATGGTGACTGTCACATAAGTCATAGGTACGTGTGTATATGTATTGTGAATTAACCTCAAAAGCACACTGTAGCAGAGGGCATACTCAGATTTGATTTATGTAGCAAGAATGAGTAAAGTCACATAGATGGTGCATATGATAATTCTTGTTAATGGGGAATGGAAACTTCACAGCATATGATAAGGTGATCATCTTCTCGCGGAACGATCTTCTTAGCCATAGGCTAGAAAATAGCCCCATATAGAGCATGCGGCGATCAATGCAGACTAGCCGATCTTACTGAGTCCAAGTTACAATCTATGATGTCAAGGATTTACTTCACCTTCCAGTCGTGGCATATAGCTCCAGTATTTCATCACACATAGACTATGTGTGATGAATTCCAACAAGACAGACCAGGTGGTAGACTAAGTGACATAGTCTACCACCTGGTCTGTCTTCTTGAAAGATGTATGGGACGTTGAGTCAGGGATCATAGCTTGGTGATGTATACAACAGTCAGGACTAGTAGTGCGAAGTGGACCGAGTGCTTTCGGAAAGTGAGATACACTCTTCCACATTTACATAGAGTGAGTGTGGTTTCGTCTAGCCAGTCATTTGATGATGTCCCACTTTGACCGTTTACAGATGATATTTCTTCGAAAATATTTGGGTATCAAACTACCTGGTTTGCTTCTAATTTTATAAAGTGCAATTTTAGGAAGAGCCCGCGGGCAGCGGGGTGGTATTTGATTGCCTTCCAGGTACTTTCAGGTAGAGTTTGATGTTCACAACTGATATTTGTAGAAGCAAAGGCAAAAAAGCGGTAATCTGCTTTGTTCATGCATCTATCTATATGTTAAGGCAAGACGCGTGCTAGCTGACTCTCCCGCATTGTGATGCAACGACGGCTGATAGTGATGAGAACGGATAGAGAGGATATATGAACCTATCACTACATACGGCATACTAAAACTTCCTGGTGCAGTTGTATTCTGCTTCCCGCAGGTGAAGGATCATTTGCATCCAACGTTTGCAGGTAAGGGACAGCGGTCAATAAATTACATTTCTATTTGGGCTCTTTACAAATTACATCCTCTTTACACGGAAGGACCCGTATCTGATGGAAGCTGACTAGAGACTAATTTCTTATTATGCGCCACACTCATACCCAAAGACTTGAGCTCTGGCCCTGGCTACGGCAGCTCAAGAGATAGTGCTTGTTTGCTTGGGTACATGTACACTGCTTGCTTGGAATAGACATCTAAGTTTATTGCTCGTCTGCATCAGCTTGTAGATTGGCCTATTTCGTTGAGGAGAACTAGGCTTCAAAACGGTAAGCATCGCCCTTTTCTTCCTCAAAGAACATTGCTCAAGAACTATCAGCGATTGCCTTGTACACAGCTGAAAAGTCGTTGTCTCCGAAACCCAGGGTTCTGGCCTTCTTGTACACCTGCACAAAGACGAAGAACTGAGATTTCTATGCCTCCCATCAATACAAGAGCTTATATTGGACATCGGAGTATCCATCAATCTGAACTACTATTGAGATTGAATTCGGCTATGTTGGTTCGACGTTTTGTGGCATGGCTACGGTCGTCCTATGCTACGAACAGCTTTAGATGAACTGGCCAGCTTCCCACATAAGGACACTAGACTTTTTAAAGGAGGAGCAGCCTGAAGTTTCACAGGAGACTCAAACCTCATTCGCAGCTGCAGCTACAGGCATCGTTTGTGCCACTTCATCTCCCAGGGCGAGAGCTAGACGCATGTCTTTTTGTTGATGTTTCAAGGGAAATGCGGGAGCAAAACTTCCCTTGATGCAACTTGGACCTTTGAGTTTGAACATGCCATTCGCAATAGCTCCCAAATCCTGGCAGTACACGAAACAACGCGTTATTACAATATTTACTTCACCCGCCAAGTTTCTCACTCTGCTGTTTGCAGGTGTCAGCATTCAATTGAAGACACAGGAACTTGTATAGCGCAGGAGTCATTCGCCAAGGACACCACGCTAAATGCTTACCAGAACGTCAAGAAGGTCGTTTTGACTTAACCCCGCCTTCTCAGCCAGCGAAAGGCCTTCTGCGAAAGCAGTCATCATGCTGAACCACAAACACCAACGAGGACAATGACATCAGCCATCAAAGAGCGTCTTGTGTGTGAATATGTTGACCTTCGACCTGCATCTCCGGCACAGAGCCTGGAGTCTGGTCTATTACTTGGATTCGTAAAACAAGCGGCGCTTTCTCACCTTCCCATAATCATGTTCACTACAAGCTTCATCCTTGCACCGTTGCCGACTTCTCCAAGGAAAAAGGATTTTTTCCCCATGACATCAAAAGCTGCCCCGGCATCGTTAAAAAGCGACTGCAAGAGGCAAATTTGACCCAAGCTTAACGATACAGTCTTCCTTGTTTAGATCAAAGCACATTAGGAACAGCGACAATTTGAGCATGATTTCTAATCAACCAGTGCTTTGAGTACCTCGTCCCCAGCAGCAAGTATGACTAGTTGACCGTCTTCGGCAGGTTTCTTGCTTCCTGAAACAGGTGCCTCGAGAAATCGACCTCCCTTCTCGGTGATTGCCTGCAATTTGTGCCCAAGAGGAAAGGGAATAACTGCCTGCTCTTCTGCTCAGTCGAGCACTTTTGAAGTTCTCAACAAGAGGACCAGCTCTGATCTCATAAAAATCAGAAACAGTCCACTTGTTCTACGCTCAAAGGCCATCAAGACCTGTTTGTACTTCCATTCTCACAGTGCCTACGAAATTGTGCACGTGACATTCATACTCTGCATAGCTTCGTTCCAAATTACGAGAAATGAGTGTGAAGGGTCGGAGAAAAGGGTGCTGCTGCATACCTTACTGATCGTCATCGAGGTTTCGGCGTCCACAGTGGACATGTCAACATACGCTTTGCCTGGCATAATTGACTCCACGACTCCTCCAGGCCCGAACGCCACCTGATCAAGAGGCAAGCCATCAATGGGATGATCAGACCTGTCCAGTGTGTCATTTTCACACTGGGTTAGCTCTTCGAGGCTATCCCCGAATCCTGCTCATGAGTGGCGGCCAATTCGCAGTGCACAGATCTGAATGCACAAGGTGGAACTCTCTACTTACTGTCAGGGCAACTGCTGGATCAGCAAGCATGCCGAAAGTGATTTTCGACTTCAGTATGACTTCAGCAGGGGATTTGGCGGCCGTGGCACCCATCGCCACCAGAGCATCGCACTGCAGAAACAAGCCACAATCAGACGCTCGTAGCACTGCATTTCGGAAGCAGAGCAACTTTCAAGACCTTTGGCACAAGAATGAAATCCAGAATCAGAGCTGCTGGTCAATTTCGCACACTGCATTACTCCATGCATTATCATTGGTGCAGAGCAGTCTAGCGACAACACAATTCGGCTGGAGTGCCTAAATTTTCGGCTGTGTGATAGTGTAGCAATACTGAGGTCAGACTGTGGCGAAAGCCATGAAAGGATGGTCTCTCAGTTACCCGTTTAAGATCCATACAAGCTACACATTGGACGCAACTCAGGAGACGCTAGATCATTTTGCTCACAATTCAGACGGAACAGGCAACTGCCATGGCTGGGGGTGTCATAGATGGATCTGTGACAAGATCCAAGATCGAATTTCCTCCGGCGCTGACGATGGAATCCGAGAAACAATGCAAATTTGTCAATGCAGAGTCAGAAACGTGACGACCTTAATTACCGACCGCAGCCAAGACCTACAAGCAGCGGACGCTGTCACTGAGCCTTGACACTGAGTGCTCGAATACATGCCACTGCTGCAACAATGTGCGGTTCAGCAGAGCTGACAACCCAGTACCCCATTCGCGCACCAACCAACAAATTCACGACGTCATGAGCAGATGCAACCTTTTCCTCTATACAACATTCATTCAGCCTTCCAAATTCGCACCTTCTCAGGCGAGCGATTCCACACACACACGGGCACACCGAGCTTCAGCAAATTCTTTGCCATGGCTACACCCATGATGCCCAAGCCCAAAAACCCCAAACCTTCGGTGGCCATCGCTCCTTCCTTCCACTCGCTAGCCCGGCGGGGGAGGTGGGCAAATGCCTCGATCTCGTCAACCTCCTGCTGCTGCTGTTGTTGTTGTTGTTGTAAGAGGTCGTCCTCGTCGAGGCAGCAGTCTTCAATCACACAATAATGTCCCCGAGAGGACTTATCTGAATGCAAGTGAGGCTGCACATTCTGAAGCCACTGGCTCAAACCTTCTGACGGACTCTGTCGACCCTGATTAAAGTGTGTGATTAGTCGCTAAGTGGATGGCTGATCACGTACTTGCAGTCAGACATAGACATGGACTGCCGAGCACCTCAAAATTCAGAACTCCACTTAGCCACTAATTGGAAATTGTGAAAGCTCGGACTCCCTCCCATTTTCATCGGTTCTGTGGGCCCCTCGAAGCCTTCAATTTTGCCTTCTTTGATTCTTTCGGTTCTCCTATTGACTCCGATTTTGGTGGAACCCAAAAGAGCAGCCAGATTTTTCGTTCTCGGGGCACCATCTGTCGATCAGCCATATGATGATGATGTGGTGAGCCAAAAAGAGGTTTGGAATTATTCTCGGAGTCCTTCATCAGTGGACTTTGATTCAAAGGGTGCATGCTTGGCTCAGAATTATTTTGGCACGTTTCGCATAATTAATTTGTTGCACAATCTTGGAATGTGATTAGAAGAAGGTTGCGCAAGATGCCAAGAAAAGAGAAGATTTTGTTTGTTTCATGAGTCTGAGAGTATTATTGTAAAATCTTAATGGTTGCTGGATGAATGGATTTTAACGCAGATTGTGTGAATTATGTACCATGGACATTGTTCATATCACTGAATGTCCATCTCCAGTGGTTTGCCCAGCAAGAACTTTCTATTTGAAACTTTCTGGAATACTTTCAGGCGCTAACATATGATTGATATAATTTCAAATGAAAAGAATAGAGAAGCATGGGATTTTTTATAAGCGCGAAACTGTAATATTTCAAATCTGAGGGATTCCTCCAACAATTGAATCTACATGTGCATGCAGATAGATATATACAACTTAAAGTCATAATAATGGAACATAAGAAACGATCAACAGACGAGTGATTTCCTAGATGTACAAGAGCTTTCAAAGCTTTTTTCTAGCTTCAATTGCTTTAAAAAGAGTGACAACTATTTGGTAAATTTAACGCCTTGTACTGAATTTCGATATTCCAAATTGTACTAAGATTTTGAAAAATATCTTCAATTAATGTGTACATATCATATAATGAATGAGATCACTTGATAGTGCAAGACTAGATGATTGAAACCTGACATGTATCAAGAAATTAAACTTCTCCAACACTAATTTGATCCCCCAACTCCCTTCTCTCTCCTAATAAGAAGAATAAAATGGGTATATTTTCACAAGAATGAAAATTTCCTCTCAATTTCAACTTGAAATAAAATTTGTATTTTTGAGTTAAATTGTCATAGGGAAACAATAGAAGAGAATATCTAATCGTTTAGATATTACACTCAAAAAAAATTCTTCATTTTTTCCACCAAGTACTTCATGTATTATTAATTCTTTCTTGAATTCAGATTGAAATTGTTCTCTAGAAGTAATCTGAGAATGAGATTCATGTGAAGCAAGCAAAAATTCTTGTCCGATTTAGAGCTAGATCATGGATTAATTCAGGTTGAAATTGACCATGAAAATTATATACATTGAAGTCATATCTAAAAAATATTAGTCTTAAAGATTATGAAGCATAAATATAATATGTGTATAACAATACACATTATGTAAGCTTGTCAAAATAATGACTTATGATAACTTGATGTAGAGGTATGTTATAATTTGTTTGGTATGTGCATTAGCTTTAATATTTAATCTTATTATGGATCACATGGACGTAGTTACAATATTTTTTTATTAATATCTAGATAACAAAATTTACATGAAACAACCAATTGATTTTAAGAGAAGTTTATTTGTTGACTTCACGAGAAGTTTTTTTTAGATTATTGAAATCTTTATACTCATTGAAGCAACCTACCATGCAATGGAATATGAGATTTGGCAAATTCATGAAGTCATAAATTTTTTCACTGAGTTTTTATGATCATTGTGTTTATATGAATGTCAATAATGAGATCTTGAACCTTATTATTCTAATACTCTACGGGAATGAAATGCTCATGTTGTCGAAGAACCAATTCGACGTTGATAGATGCAAGAACCAATTGAAGTCTTCATTCAAGATGAAAGATTTGGGCGAATCGAAGAGTATATTTGGTATAGACATTCATATAAACTTGGAAAAAAATAGACTATGGTTGAACCAAGTCAATTACATTTGATGTATACTTGAAAGTGTCAACATCACATACTCTAAAGTACTATGAACTACTTTGGCATCACATTTTAAACTTTTTGCATTTCAATGTCCATCCATTGTCATTGGAAAAAATTAAATGTCATGTGTTCCCTATGACCAAGTTGTGGGCAGTCTCATATATTTGATGGTGTGTACAAAACTTGATATTAATCTAAAGATGGGTAAGATGAGTAAGTACATCTAGTAAAATTTCACTAAAAAGCAATGATATGGATTCTCATGTATTTGAATAGTACTAAACATTATGTCTTATTGCTTGATGGTTTATTACACAATGTCAACTCTTTGTTAGGGTATGTAAATGTTGACTATAGACAAAATTTAGATCAAACAATATCTACAATTGAGCATGTGTTTACGCTTGATGGTAGATTCATTAGTTAAAAACCTATGTTGTAAAAAAGCATAGTTCAATCTACAACAAAAATTGAATATGTAACGATAATAGAAGCGAAAAAGAAAACTATTTGGTTAGATAATCTTATCACTAAGATAGCATTGAAACAATGCATTGTCAATATTCATTATGATAACCAGAATATACTACATCTTGTTGTAAATCAAGTGATGTACACCAAAATAAAATTCATTAACATTAGTTATCACTTTTTTAGACACATAATCTTTTAATAAAAGAAATGAACTAATCCAAGATTGACGATAGATTCAATACAACTTATGCGTTAATCAAAGTTATTCATTTGGGAAGTTTCAGATGACAGTGTTAGTTTGCAGATTTTGCATGAGCAGGAGAAATAGAATTTACTAACATTTTTATTAATTTTTTTTATATTCATTTTATAATAGTATAACAGATTTTTACATGATAGAGTAACAATATAATAATTCTTATTTTAATAATTTAAAGATGAAACATTTGTTAGATTTCATTTTAAAATTTACTGTTGAGTAATTATGTAGGTTACATAGATTATTGTTCACTCAACATAAGTTAAGAGTGAGATTGTTGGATTTGACTTGTGTTTAGTTCTCACTCGGATCCTAATTGCATATTAGTTTAGTTAATCTGTCAAAATTATCTGTCACTGCAAATAATTAAACTCGAAATTCATTTCTCTTTTCTTCTGAACTTTATATATATTGAGTTTTTTTGTACGTAGCATTTGACTTGGGGGTGAACCACTTAAGTATTTGTCTAGTGTAATTTTTCAATTTTTACTTCAATCAGTTCTAGATTTTACTTGTATGACAGCTCATTAGAATCACATTACCATGAAATAACAACACTTGAGTTAACTCATAATACCTAAAAAAACAATCATATGAAATATTTGCATAATTTACAATAGACATCTTATCATTAAATACATTTTTGTAAATAGAGTATTTGATGAAAATTTCATTATTTTCTTTTTTTTCATGGTAAAATTGCAAGATGTAATCATTGAATCAAATTATCATCATAAAGGAGATATCTTAATTTACAATCATCGTAGATTGATGTAATTTCATCTTTCTATATGATCTTTCTAAAAAAATTAATTGATATTAAAGATTTTGTAAGTATTTTATTTCGAAATTATCATCATTAGACATAATCTAACTTTTAAACGTATTATACACATTAAAAATATTATAAAAATTTCTTTATATTATTATTCTTAAAATCCATGAAGCCATAAAATAAAATCTTAAATTTATGTTATACACTTTACTATGAATTTTTATTGTAACCTTCCAACACAATTGGAATGTTACAAATTGGAAGTTGCACAATTAGACTGATATGATAAGTAGATAATTATCAAAAAGTCTCAATTTGAAAACAAATCATTCTTTTGAAGTGGATTGGACTTTTTTTCTGTTTTTTCCAATGATACTTATTTCTACAAGTATGAATATACTGTGTACAAATTCAAAGTTCTCACTGAACATTTTTCACAAACAAGATTATAACCTTCGTTCATTTAATGCGCGTATGGAATCTCTACTATATTCAATATTATACATAATTATTATATATTAATACTAAAATTATTGTGTTAATACATAATGTTGGTATGATAATACCAAAAAGTCCAAATGCAAACAGTGTACTGTAATGTACAACAATTACAAAATTGTCTAGCCATAGAACCATCACGAAGTGTAATAAATTCAGAATCAAAAATGTTCAAGCGTAGTCCACACTGTAGTCAAAAGAGCAAGCTATCGTACCTCATCTCAATTGTATACAATGCTGGTTTATTGCAAAGCATTGAAGACGTGGTAATCGATTCGCACGCTGCCATCGCTTACTGTTTTTTGTTAGTTCTTCTAACAAGGTTGAAGCTCCTTGCATTTCGAGTGACTTTATCATACTTCAGAAGTATAGAATTAACACTATTTTGTTTAGTATTTGTAGACTTCTGATGATATTCAATGCGGAGATAATCACTATTTAATACTTATCAAGGTATATCAACTTCGATTTATATCTTTTCATCTTCTCTGGCTAAGTAGGCCTCCCTCGTAATTTACATATTATCCTTTTTAAATTGTGAACCATATATTATACCTGCAGTTCGCTGATTGGAGCCCGATCACAACTGAGGAATTTCGGCCTCGCATCCATAGCTGCTCGTACAGATGGGGGCTGACTTTAGTGCTGAAAAAGATTGCAACGTTATGCAGACCACACGAGGTCTTTGCCGGATTTTTTTCTTCAGAAGTTATTCTTCAATCAACAACTCTGTAAATCTATTCTTACAAATCACTCTTTGAGGTATTTAGACATACTTGATACAAAAATTGTACACCCTTCTTCTACTATTGAATCATATTTACATCTCGATTGGTTGGACATTCTCCAGCGCTTCTGGAGAAGTCCATCTAATTTCAGAAAGATGACATGCTACAAATCCTACAAAAATTCTCCTTCCTCAGCGTCTGCATCAGCATCCTCCCCTTCATTATCCTCTTCTTCATCCAGGGCGTCGGGGTCTACTCCCTGTACATGAAATGAGCGTAATGTAAATGACAGTACTTACTCATTGACCAAGTTGTAAACTAAAACGAAGGCAATCAACGGCAAAAGCTTCCATTAGATAAATCGGGTCCAAAAGACCACTAGTGCAGATTCATCAGCCAATATAATGGTAAATAGTGTTTGCTGATAATGTCTACCCGTTACTGATGAGCATAACTAACTAGTGATTGTTGCGTAGTTAAAGCGAAGTTAGCTCACCTTCATTTGCTTCTCCAAACGTTCCAAACCCTTCTTAGCTGCCTCATTTAACGGATTGATGCTGTTTAAATACAAAAGTACGAATTAGATTAAATTCTGGTTATATTTGACACAAAATTCTCATGTGCCAACTGAGTGTTCTTGCCTGATACTTGACCCTGATGGATGTACTCATGTGAAGCATATGAAGTAAAACACGAAAGAGATCTTGGAATTAAAGCAACAGGTCAAGAGGTAGATGGAGGACCTCAACGCAGTTTGATAGTGCGAAAGAGATTCCCCCAATTTATTCGAGGCGGCCAGTATCTGCGCAAGTTTGGTGTGCAAGGAATCATCAGCCCAAGTTTTCAAGTACCGTTGTAGCAGCGCTATAGCCTCGTCATTCCTACCCTCCGCACCATGCAGATCTGCAAGGGACAAAACAGCCCCGAGGTAACCTGGCTCCTGACGCAGAGCAGACTCGTAAAACTTCCGACCCTGCACGGTTGGTCACAGAGATTACATAAGAATCTACAGAAATACACGCGTCATGTAGTAATTCTTGGAGTAGAACCTGAAAATAGACATTAAATGGCTGATAAAAGTCAAGAGTTGTTAATCATACAAGTTTTAGGGAAAGTTGTACCTTGTCTCTGCCTTCGGAATTTTGAGCATAAACATCACCTACAAGAGTGAGGGCTTTCGCTGAGTGCGGCATTGCCTTCATAGCTTCTCGTGCAGCACAAAGGGCTTCCTTATGTTTTGAGTTGGCCAGGTGAGCTCGAACAAGACCTGTTGTAGCAAACAAGAATATCAAGCCCACAACTTGATCACTTCCCGTGTTTCACTGGAGTAATTTAGCATTCTTTTATACCTCAGGCTAGCGTTCGCATCATTATGTCGATATCATAAGAAAAAATAAACTCTAACCCATTGGACAAACTGACATAGTTAACTGTGAGCGGACGGACGATTCTTCAATTTTAAAAAAACATAATGAAGTAGTCCATCCGATGAAAAAAAAATTATCATTGTGAATTACACACTTTTCATAAAAGAAAATCACGGCTACAACTTGAAGCTAGCGAATTCCGTAAATGCTATACTCTTGGAACAGTCCGGTGTATAACGAAGAGACAACAGACGTTCATATCCTTTAAGGGAAGGATGGAATAACTGGTCTTTCAAAGAGGTGATGATTTGATGGCAAGATAAAACAAACCTTGATATGCACGTAAATCTGTCCGTAAAGACTGGGCTTTCCGAAATGCCATGACAGCTACTTCAGAACGATTAAGTGACAACGACAAATTGCCCTGCATTCCAAACGAGTCATGAATCCTAACGAACTTGTATTCCAGCATTCAAGATAAGACTTGCCTGAAAAGTTGAACGTTGGCAGGTCACATACAGAAGGGAAGCTTGCTTTGTCATCAGCTTTTTAGTTCAGGATACAAATTATTGACACAAAGTGAACTCACCTTAACTAGATGTGCAGAAGTGAGGCGTTCATCTATACGCATAGCCTGGAATGTAATTACAGCCAAGTATGAGCAAAACTGAGACTGCATTTGCGAGTATGATCATAGTAGTCTCTGGCCAAAGAGACAGTATATGGATGCTAACGAAAATTCCTACAACGGTTTCTTTATGTTCTGCTCCTTCAGCTGACCAGCTATCCATAGTTGCCCATTTCCGTCATGTCATTCACCAGATCATTTCCGTACCTTTGCAACAATCAAGACGATGATCTTCCTAACCTCAAGAATTAGTTCTAATCACATATTCTATTCAACCTCTAAATTCAAACGGCGATACAAGGAGTTAACGACTGACCTTGTCTGTATACGTAAGAGCGCGCACTCTGTCATCACGCAATTCCCAATAAACTGCTGACGCCACCCACACCTCAGGTCTTGCAGGATCTATGTTCAGCAAGTCGTGAACCAATCTGTTCAGCTCAACCTGATTGGACCTTGTCCTAAGAAGCATAGCATATTCATCCATGCTTGAGATGTTATATTGATCTGCCTGTCGAGCCTGTTAAGTACACAAACATAATATTTCATTAGACGTGATAAAAAAAGAATTCGTCAAGTATGACTCTCTTTTCGGCATTAAATTAACTTCTGGGACGTAGTGTAAGAAACAAGTAAATATTACATGAGTAAATCACATGTTAAAAAAGGCTGGCAGCCATCAGTTCATCGCTCAATGACAACCGTCACCTGACAACGGAATGTTCATAGGTCACTGATGGCTGATAACGTTGTGTAATGTAAGTAACTTGGAAGTTGTACGACTTTATAATCCATAACTACGTCCCACAGATCTCTTCCAAACGGGATATTAGAGTCAAAAAACGTTTGGTCTAATAAACTAATTCAGTTTCCAAACGACCATGTCATGCGGTCTTAGAGCAGCACTGCTTGCTAAAACCTGTGACCCAACTTTAAAGGCTGAAGTACTCTTTTTGTTATGTTTATCGGAGTAAATTAGAAGCTTGTGACTGAGCTCACTAAATTCAGGGAGGAATAATACACATGACTTCATAATAATATATAGAAAATTCCAGTATACTGATATTCAACTTCGATTATATACCCTGACCCTACTTCACTGGACATTTGTCCAGATGATGGTAAGCTAATGGAAAAGCATCCTATAATTGATACCCTGGGAACATTCTAAGGGAAAACCTAAGGTTACAGGGCTTTCTGCATTAACTGAGAAAAGACGTTAGAGCCTCATGGACGTACCTTCTCAAAGTTGTGAACGGCTTCGTCATTTCTACCCATGGCTGCCTCTGCCTGGCATACAGAAGATGTGTCAGAAAATGCAGATAAGTGAACAAATAACCTAACAAAATCTCCTTTTTTTGGCACAATGAGCCCGAAAGTTCGGACTCATTTTGCTATAAAAGTCGTCCTTGAGAGGTGACCATCTCCACTATTCCCACTGCACTCAGAACACTGCAGATATTGTACCTTAGCTGTCTCCAGAAGCACATGGACGTTGTTGGGAAACTTCTGCCCAAGATAGTTGAAATGTTCCAGGGCCTCTGAACAGAACAATTCGATAAAGAATCTACAATGGTGAGCTTTTTTTAAACAGGACACACATGTTCTCGCAAAGACCTGTAATTCAATTTCCTTCGCTTCACAGTATATAACGTGACTGTATCATCCCTCCTAGATAGCAGAAGATCCATCAAATGCAGCGTAGTGACAATAGGAAATAGCCTTTTGAAAATACTAATGGGCAGATCTCATTATGTTTAGTGAAACTTAGGTTGTGAGATAAATCCAACCATATGTAATCCAATCATTGGCAAGACTTTGAAATGCCCACAGAAGAACGATAGGTGACTTTCAGCTCCATTGAAAAAACGAATCAAGACTACCAGGTCGTTGCGAGTATGAGCACAAATTCTATGAACGGTAAGATCCAGACGGTTAAATAGCACACCTTTGTAATTATGTCCGTAAACACTGCAATGTCCATCAGCCAGCCGCTGCAAAACAGGGGCCCTCAAGTCAACAATCCGAAGCCATGAAGCAGATGAGGAGAGTTATGAGCTAGAGCACGAAATCATGTGGAAGTAGGTGAGCATCTGACAGTCGAGAGCAGATGTCTGCGATGATTAGCAAGATTTCCTGATGATTAGCAATATGACATTGTACACTAAAAATTTGGACTCATACAATTGAAGAATTCTACCTTACGTTTCGATTAGATGTCATAAATGATCGCATGCAAGCCATTGAGAAAATGGACGCCACTACAATAAAATTTCGATAGAAGAAATATCCACAGGAGGTATTGACGATACCTGAAACCACCGAACGGGTTCAAAAGGATCTACAGGTGATCGAATACTTTTAGGCTGTACCTGGGGATGTAACAATTGAAGCAGGTGTAAGAAAGAATCACACATGGTGGTAATGAAAGTAAGACCCTGTTGTGGAACCTTGGGACGACATGGAAATTTGAACATCACCTTTCGTGTACTCAGCACGTGTCCAAATGTAGAGGACATCTTACGCTGAACATCCTGTATATCTCCATCACACCGATACATGCTGGAACCTTTGAAATCATTATCACAAGTTTGGCTATTTGCTATATCATGAGTTCCTTGCAAATCCGCTTTCAGTAGGAAGAAAAAACAGTGTTATTAGTGCAACCTTAGTTGGACAAATGCTCAACTATACATGGCATAAGCTGGAAAAATCAAAAGAAAGTGAGATTTAACAACTCCAATATACCACACCAACCTGAGGAAGTAAAGAATGAAGCTCCTTCGCTGCTACTCCTAATTCTGCTAAGGCAATAACAGCTTCGAGGACATAGGGAGATATCCTGTGCCAATAAAGCCAAACCTTGAAGAACAATTCATGACTGCACGCAGCTAATTGCACCACTTCACCAAAACAAAAGCTCATATTTCGAGACAGTTTCTACAAAAAAGAAGATCTATATTTTTGGATTCATACAAAAAACGGAAGACCTACTTGAGGTAACTGATTCTACCGAACACAAGGCTACGATCTATCAAGGGATATACTCTTTAGTAACTTTACCTTAGACACTCTTTGTAGGCTGCAGTGGCAGCTCGATCGTAACCAGTTGAACGGTATAACTTTGCTAGAGTTAAGTTGATTTTAAGATTTCTAGCTTTCGGAGGAATGCCCTCCATCTGCATTGCACGTTACGCTGAGAAATTAAGAACTGCCGCGCTACAAACTAAGTATAATAAGTATGTACCCAACATATTTTCAATATATGCTGAAACCATGTCTCTAAATGAGATAAAGAGTAGTTTTCTCTATCCCTCTTCAACAATAACACTTATTCTGAGCCTCGAGACTTCATGCTGCAGGAGGCAAGAGAGAGAACCTCGGAAAGTGCAGCCCTTGTATCATGAACTGCAAGATGACATAAACCTATTTTATACTTCACCTGTTGGACATTAGACGAGAAACGAGAGAGATTTGTTAAGATTCAGATACCTCACGAAAGAGGGTAACTGAAATCCCATGCGCGTTAACTGAAGCAGACGTGTCTCGGATTTATTCTACAAGGAAGTATAGCGAAAATGAATCTGCTTCTGAATACGTTAAAGATGTGTGGATCGGTGTTAGCTCTAAATTCCAGTATTGTCAAAATCATGAAACCCCTTCAATGCGCAAGCAAGTGCTTTCTATAGCTTTAATTACGTGTTACTTATATTACCCAAAACCCTTGCAAATCTGAGGAACTTTTTACCTCATTTTCGTTAATGGTAGAAGCATGCAAAGAGTTGACGGATGGAGGCCTGCTAGTAGCTTGAACAGAGCTCCTACCTCCGCTAACGGTCTGCTTGGGTGTTACTCTACACTGCTGGACGGCTTGTCTGTATAAATTCTGTAAAACATCATAAACTCATTACTGCAATCTCCAAAAATATAATTCCTGATCAATCTGAGGCCTGTGGATAAGCAGAAGTGGAAAAGGAAAGAGTGCATCAGTTTTGAAAACCTCAACTTTAACTACTAATCTGCCTATGGTCAAATCAGACATGACTATGTTCACTTACCAAAGCTCGTCTGTATTCTTTCCTTCCATAAAGGGCATCTGCGAGTAGTACCTGTGAGAAGACACTCGAACTTGAGTCCCTTCGGCTTTGTTAAAGGATACGAGTTTTAAGCAATTTACCTGTTCGCTAAAGGTAATATCAGATTACAAGTCTGTAAAGCACGTCACGTTCTGTGGACTTTGGCGTCAATCACTTGTTACCATATTTTCTGCTCGGGTACTGGGGGGCAAGTCACTATTGGATGCTGTTGCAGACATCAAGAAACCACCCTGGCAGGCAAAGAAACGATGTCATTTGAGAAAGACTTTCAACGGATACAAAGTCTATGATATTACAATCAGTCTTAAATTTAAAATGATCCCATTTCTAGCAGAAAACGCATATCTACCTACGGTTCTGCACGACGCCATTTATGACCCCCTTGGCAACAAAGAAAGGAAAACTGAGGCTTAGTAAGTTGTTTCAGTCATCTTGTACACATGAACCCTGCGTCCAGCTAGTATGGATAGTAATGAAATTGTTGATGTAAATTTACAATGAAGAATTTGGCATTGTATGAAAGATCCAGCCCCAGACGTCCATGAGTTCAGACTAGACTGTGGAATCTTTCACACTGACTTTGAACGACTTTTCAAATTTAATGAGACGTTATAAACTCCTGTACGATGAACGGCCTACTGCAAAGATCACCTGACTTCTAAAAAAGTCACAAATAGGCAATTCACGAGTTGATTCAATAGCACCGATCATCCAAGAAGCGATTTCGGATCCATTCCTCGCCTTCAAAATGTCCGTAACTCTAACAACATCAATGCAGTTTGAGGCCGAAGGATTGTGAGTATTACAAGTATTTCAGCAGAATCATACAGGCCCTGCTCAAGAAGCGCAGTCATCTGATCCCGCAGAACCTCCATGATTATGGCCACAAAGCGAGGTCGCAGTTCTAGCTCACTGGTGATGCAGAATTCAAATCTGTACAAAGAGTCTTCTGTGTGTACTCTGAAACGAAATTAGTCTTGTAAGAACACTTACATGAAATACTAAGTATCTCCAAAAGAGAAAATAATTCAGCACAAAACGAACAACGCAATGAAAAATCGATCTTCCAAAAGGTCACCTGACACAACGATTTGAGAGACCAGAAAAAACATTCCGGTTGACAAAGCCAACCATCTCAGCGTGTGACATATATAAAGCGAGTACTGGCCAACTCCTAGTTCTAAAACCGAACGAACGAACACAAAACACAACTCGGCGTAAGTCATTGAAGAAATACGAGCTGGCACCTGAATCATGGATGGACACTTGATTGCAGCAGCAATGGGGAACTTATTGGATGCTCCCTGCGAGAGTCCCGAACAACATAAGCACGCAGAAATCAAGCAAACTTCAATCATTATACGACATTCAAGCATTTTCGACAGAGCAGAATACTCCTCCCGCTTCCAAATAACCATCAGCGCCGTCCACATTCACCGAGAGACGAAATAAAATCCAACGTTACTGACCGAAGAATTTGAAAATCAAAGCCCAGACGCCAAAATCAAAAGACCAGTGAAACAAGGAGCAACCTGGATCCGGGAAAACCGCTTTCCCGTCCTCTCCTAGCCTTCCGATTTGCCGCAACTGCGGAAGGATTGCAATTGAGATTTCGCGAGTCAAGCCAAATCACACTCTTCTCATCGAGCGCTCGTTCATCGGGGACTTGGCCCGCGTCAGAGCGTCGCGGCGTCCGGTCTCGTTTGCACGCCGACGCTCCGCTGACAAGTCGAACTTACAACGAGGTTTGATCGTCGGTGGACATTCCCGGCGACATGGCTCACATTCCCGGCCATTCTTCGGCGGCGACTCGCAGACATGTAAAGCCCCGGCACTGTGCCCGATCGGAAGGTTGCAACGGGGCTGACGAGCGCCAAGCACATCATTCGAATTTTAGTCCTTGAGGCATGCTAAGGGCCTTGTTCTCGTCGGCACGTGAAGAGCACGGTACACTCTCACACTACTGTGGCTGCAAGTATATACCCAGTAGCTTGTCAAGTGATTTACGTGGTTCTTCTGCTCTACTGTCTTAACCATTCATGTGTGCCGAGAACTTTGAGCTGAGTTGACAAGAGTATGAAAACATGTGGATTACATAAACATCTGAATCAGGGATTAAACAACAAACAGATTCAAATTTTAAACTCTGTAATGAAGCTGAGGTTGACCCAGTTCCACATACTGTAATTGGAAACTGCAATCGTAGCAAAATGAAGAAATCCTTTCAAACTAAATCTGTGTATTTTGAATTCCAATTGTAACATTAATCTCAATGCTTTCATCGGCAAATGAGCCAGTACAGAAGAGATTATTTATGCAAATCCAAAATCTTGATGCACAAACGAGCCGATATGCAGGAGGCATGGAATAACTTTTATATTCATGAAGTAGGACGTACGTTTATATCATCTAGAAGTGCAGTCGTTGGAATCTCTGCTTAAATCAATATACTAAAACTTAGCCTCGTAATGAGCTTGAAGGATAAAACATCTCATGTTTATAACAAACGTACCTAATGGATCCTTGTTGTCACTTTCATTAATATGCATATATCTTAAGGATAACTTTAACCTTAATCACAAACTAATGAAACAGCAAATTCGCAAAGATTGCTCACATACTCAAGTAGTCAGCAAATGCCAATACTAATTAGTCACATTGATCTAAACCTATGCATATAAAATGAAACAAAGTATAACACATTAACATATATTATTAAATTTTATATTGATGAATTTTTTCATTGAAAAATATCCTTAAAAATATAGATATTTCTGAAAATTATTAGGAAGATTCTAATTTGATTTAAATCTGTTTGCACTTTTAGCGCACACTTGAGAATCATTTATACATGATTCTCAAGTCAATTGTGTACTTGAAAGCAAGCTTGCATAAACTGCGTGAATTGAATATTTCAATATCAATTTGACAAATTTGATCAATTGGAAACATCCGTTAACTTTTCTTTAGACTAGTATGATGTGCATATGGTTTCTATAATCATTTTTTATTTTAACCATATTTAAATTTTGATAAATTTTTTCAGTTTCAAAGTAAATTTAATAGATGTTAAGCATCATACGTTTAATTTTTAAAAATTTTAATTTTGTAAATTCATCAACAATCTTATTGCATGCTAAATTCAAAAAAGTTATAAATCATCTTGTGTTCTTTTAAGTTCATGTTTAAAACCAATAAATATTATTATTTAAAAAATTTAATTTGATGATTTTATTAATTGATCAATGATATGTAACCATCTAAAATTTTAAACAAATATTACTCATTGAATTCATGATAGATATTTTTTCACACAGATTATAAATTAAATTTTCATATAGATAAATAAAATTTGCATATCCATATAAAAAATATAATGATAAAATATATCTGTTGAAACATACAAATGTATCCAATAATTAGTTTATTGTATCTTGATATAATAACATCAGTATTGGAAAATGAGGATTGATCTAAAGATCCACAATTTACATATGCATTTTACTAAAATTATAAATCTTAAACTTAAGTTTGTTTGATCTGAAAAAAATTTTAAATCAATTGTTTGAATGAATTGTGCATTCGCTATTAATGCATATCAATTGTATCCAAAATTTAAAAATGTTGTTACTGTACATTATCTTAATATATAATAATATAATTATTATGATGAAAATATCATTTCTATAAATATACTGATTTAATTGGTTGCACTATTTCAAAAATTTGATATCAACTAAGACATAATACCAATTAAAACTTTCCTTGTTTTAGTAAACAACATTTATTTGTCGGATTAATATAATATGTTAAAATATAAATACTTAATTCATGCTTGCAATTTATACTATAAATTTGATAAAAAATCAAATTTTATATTGATCTTAATATGTAAATACAAATACAAATATTTTTCAATATAATCATATATTTAATATGTAATAAAAAATGATAAATATGTGCATTAATTGACATTCATGTTTTATATCTTTTAAATAATTATAATATAATGAAGTATTCATTTTATGAAATATTTTTTTAAATAATTAACATCATGATTGAAGAACTCACTTTTATTTTAAAATACATATTTTTAGTACAAATCTCATATAGTTGTTAAGATATTTTTATCAGCAATGCATTTGAATGGATTGATGTATTATATTGCAAAAGATTATATATATCAAACTACGCAAATTAAACTCCATCCTACTATTTTTAAAACATTGATATAAATGAAATATTAATTTTCTCATAAAATTTACACAATTCTATTAGTTTGATGAAAATCAATTCTGTTGATTTTGTGTATCAAATCAAAAATTTTTAAAATTCAAATAAAATTTTAAGCTTTCAAAATAAAAACTTCAATTTACTATATTTTGCCATAGATTTCGATTTCTATCATATAAAAGACAAAATATTGATAACAATTATCTAAAATTATGTGTTTTACTTTTATCGATTGTGATTTTTTTATAAATTATTTATTTAATATTTACTAAAAATAAAAGCATTTTGCTAAAATTTAGTGACCATGTAGATTGTGATTATTAATAATTTATACTTCCTAAAAATCAGTTTTGATCAACGCTTTTGCAATTGCAACAATCATTCAAACATGATCTGTGGTTTGTAGATTATATATGATTTATTTTTTTTATAATATTTGTTGCAATATCAAGATTGATGTATGATTGAAAGTGATTGAATGTATTGTAGAAAAGAATACTGGGTTCTTATTTGATTATAATAATTTATAAGGTTGCATATGTCCATAATTTACATATTATTTAGGATAAATTCAAATATTTGACTACTATATAAAGATTTTTTTTTTGAATGCATCGTCTTGGTTCATAGAAATTTTTTATATACGTATATTTGTCTTTGAAGTTTCATTGTAGATCATCAGTTCATTTCACTTAGAAAGTATATTAATAATTATGAAGTTTCAAAAATATTCAATATATTTTATTTCATCATTTTTAATCAATTATTTCTGTATACATATCTCTCTTTTGTTTATATTTGTTGGTGAATTGTATGTTATTTGAATTCTAATCCAATGAAAATTAAGAATTCTGAAATTTTCATTCAAATCTTGATATTTTTTGAATTTATATTTTATCATTTAATATTTTGAAAGAACATATTTTTCTTAATTTCTACTCATTTTCTATTTTAAAACAATAATTAGAATCAAGTTTGAAGTTTAAGATGTTTAATTATGCTACCTCTATTAAATATAAAGGAATGTTGTAACATTTTTTTATTCAATAGTCAACTCAAGAATTTCATTTATATATTTTTTACATTTGAATTAGAATTTGTTCTATAAATTATTATCATATTAATAAATTGATATTTACAGAAAAATTCCTTTACTAACTTAAAAAGTATATGAACAAAAAAGTGAATTCAACTCTATTAATATTTATGTAAATGGATCAAAGAATTTGTATTCAATATATATGTATACAATTTTATTTTATACGAGGTTACCATGTTTTTCCAATTAAGTGATTTTAGATGTTATATTCGTTGATGAATTTGTTACAAAAATGTTTATAAAAATGTTGCATGCTTTAAAAGTGTTTTATCATAACAATATTCAAAGTTCAATGTCATCATATATACATTTTTTTCAGAAAAGCATTGAAATTTAAAATCTTCAAAATGATATTGGTATTAAAATATTAATCTTCATTTTTGTAAATAATTTATAATAATGTAATAAAGTTTAAGAATTGAAATTTGGTTAGTTTCCTCACATTATTTGTATGTTATTTATAGATATTACATTTTTTGATGGATATAACATTCATACGATCATTATGTCGATGATATAGATATGTAGATGAAGTCTTACTAGGAGGATGCATGTTACATATGTGAATTTATGTTGAACATTGTTATACCTTTCCATCTTTTCTATTCACACCAAAATGGTGAGGTGGGCATTGATGCACAACATCTGAGTAATGTGTCTTCAAAGCAGCAGTCATATTTTGAAAGGTCACGAAACTTTATGTTAGTCTTACGAAGAAACAAATTGTATAAAATAGCGTTCTTCAATAGAAGTATTGCAAGCTGATCATTCTCAAGACAAGTTGACTTTTGAAATTTGTGTAGGCCTTAATATAGGTTCGGTGATGCTACATGTATGCATGAGGTGAGAAGAAAAGTGGACAGTCATGAAATAAAAGCCAGGTGGTAAGAAGCCATAAACATGGGACCTGTTCATCAGTAGGCCGCACAAAGACCAAGTGTCTTATATATTGATGGGAGGATTAAGATAGCGAATGGGAATAGTTGGAATTGTTTTGCTATAACAGTGAGGTTGAGGGCGTTTTTTTTGGAAAACATTGTGCTGTCTCAAGAATTCTGAGGAAAATTATCAAGATCAAAGCGATGAAGGTGCCTAATAATTAGAACTAATATTTCGTTTCACAATAACGGTCTCAGTAACTTTCCGATATAAAAAATAAATAGAATAGGCTGGAAAATGGAGTTGAGATGAGATCAGAGTCCGGCCAGTCCTTTTACCATGGAGCTTGTGTAACATTCGTCCTGATCATCACGTCCCTTTGTCATGTGAACCAAATTCGCATGTACTGTTCCCAGACACCAGCAGATCAGAAGTGGGCAGAAAGCATCAGGAAACCCGGAAGATGGATTTCGGCAGAGAACGAAATTCGACGCGGTTAGCAAAGTGGGATGGGACGTATGGAAACGTAAGAACCATAATTAGGAATTTCAAAATTCCACTCAGGACAAACCTACGACCGTAGCTCCCCGGTCACAGACGGCTCAAAGTGAAACGGTCTAGTAACCGACTTTTACCATGCAGTTTCCTGGACTCAGTCTCCGTCATCGGCTCGTCACGACTCACGATCCGCTGCCACTCCGTCCTCCGTTCGTCGGCCCAGTCACCAGAACAGCACCCACCGAGTCCGCCCTCTACCGCCTCTGATGTCCAGAACGGATGCCATCGAGCGGCGAGGACGAGAAAGAAAAAGGCTCGGCAAAGGAAGGAAGGAAGAAAGAAAGAACGAAAGCGACGGCAGGAAAGACAGAGCGAGGAGGTGACCGGTAGACTCCAAAGGTCGTCAGGACTCCGAACAGTCCAGACGAATATCAGGGAACATTCCGGCCCCTGCAGGGACAGATGCACCGGAATAAATCCCCTGGCCCTGCCTGCCCTCCGGCCGTCCGTCCGTCCGTCGCGCTGGCTCGCTTTGCGACGAGCGCAGCACGGATCAGAGAATGATAGCGGAGCGTCCTTTCGGTGGCTTTCCCTCCGACCGCGCGCTGGGGAAGAGACGTGGGAGGGGCAAAAGGCTGGTGGCACTTTTGCGACGTCCGTCCCGAGTCCCTGGTACGTACAACGTCTGTCCCCATGTCGCTTGCTCCCCATATCTGGTCGAGCGAGCTGCTGTGCCTGCAATCTGTACTGACCGACCCACAGTCTCACGAGGTGGCGTGGCGTGGCGTGGCGGGGCTTGGCTTGGCCTGGGTTTGGCTGGGCGGGCTGGATTGGCTGGGGTTGCGAAGTAAGCAGAGGGAGGACCGCTTGGTTGGGTTGGGGGAGCCCGGGGAGTGGGTTTGGCTTGCTGGCTGGCCGGGGCGGGCTGGGCTGGTGCTACTGGGGGCCGGGGGGTGGGGTTGGGGTTGGCATGAGAGTACACTTCTTTTGCAATCTCAATCCCGCCTGTTTTGCGCCTTGCCTCTCTATTCGTGTCCAGAAACAAAAAACGCTCTTGCATGCCTCCTCTGTTCGGTTCCATCCGCTCCGTGGTAAGTGTATCTTGTGCATCTTGCGCTGCTGCTGCTGCTGCTGCTGCTCTTCCGCTTCTCTGCTTCTGCTGCCTCCTCCTGCACGAGTGCTACTGCTGCAACTCCTTCTATTTAGTCGAGTCCGTTGGTGATGGATGGCCGGTGGTGCGGCATGTCGGCCTTCATGTGCGTTTGTGCAATCTGAATCTTCTTCCTGCCTTTGCGGCTGCTGTGGCTATGTGTCCATGGCTGCCCTCAATGCTGCCTCCGTCGCGGTTGTTGTCGCCGAGGTGGGTCGTCGTGTCTCAAGTCTCAATCCTCGTCACCTGAGCGACTCGTGGAGCGCCGGACTGTGCTTTCGCATCCATTCGCTTGCATTTGGTCGATCGTGCGATCGTATTGGTGTTTTTTCTTGCGCTCTCTCTTCCGTTGTTGGTGGTCGTGGATGAATTGCGCGCGTTTCGTTTCCTCGCGCGCTTGAATACGCGAGACCGGGTTCCAAGTATCGATCGAATGGTAATCCTTCTCTTCGATTTTATGACAGTGTTAGGTCTTGGGAGGGCCTGAGGGATCCGTCTCCTCCTCCGTGTTTTTAGGTCTTCGTAGTGGTTAGGCGCACCCTGATTCTTGCCGCACATGTCCGTTCCGCGTTTCCTTGTGCGATGGTAGATTTATCTCCCGACTTCTTGCTTTAGTAACGGTAAGTCTGGTTGCCCGAACATCATCTGCACTCATCTTGTGCACCCATTGTGGCCATGTACATTCCATCTGTCTCTCTTCTTCCTCCCTCGCATCTATGTTCAAGTCGAACGGGCCTCACTGCTGGTATGACCTACCCAAGGCATCCGAGAGATAGTCCCCAGTCTCCTTCGCAAAGTCGAAGTCTACATCTGTAGGCCAGATTTCTCTTTTCATCTTGCTGTTCGGTAAGGGTTCTAACAGGGCTTCTCGATGGAGACCGCGCAGTAAAAAGTCGAGGCTGTACGAGAAATCACTGTGGAGACAGTGCAGATCCGCTGAATACTTGTTGCTGCAGATCTTTGGGGTTTGGAATTTAGGCTTGTGTGGGAAAGTTGTGTCTGCAGCCGTTGGAATTGCTCCTTAGTCGCCGAATGGAGTTGATTTTTATCTACAATGTGTATGCCATTGTTCTAAAGGTTTGAGCAAATGATTGGATTTTTCCTGGTCATTTCATACTTCTTGACATCCTTGATTGCAGGGGGCAGGGCATGAATTGGACGGTGTAAGCTTGGAAAGCGTGAGGTTTTGGTAGAGGACGAACTGACGGCAGAATGGCTTCGAATAGGGAGGAGCCTCCTAGTAAGAAGCGGGTAGCTGCGAGACAAATAAGCAAAGATGATGATCCTGATTCTGAAGGGGAAGACAGTTCCATGCTAGGTGGAACTTTTCGCAGAGCCAGTAGCGAAGTTTTAGCGGAAAGAAGAATAGTCAAAGTACGCCGCACTCCTGTTCCCTCCTCAACTCCCAATCCCTTTGCTTCAATAAAACTGGTGCCACCATCGTTAGCTCCTGTCGTTCAAGAATCCTCGAACCCTCCTAGTTTCTCAATTCCTGTAAGCACAAACTCGGCACAAAATCCAAGCGCGGCAGATGTCGAAGTTAAGGCCTCTGCCCCAACGCTTGATGGTGGAGTTGCGGACAATTCAGATGAGGTTGGCTCCACGGCTTCCGAAGTAGCTGTAGAAAAATCTATAGTAGTGACAGAGGGTGCATCGGAAGCCAGTGATCTGGGTCAGGGTGGCACTATAGACAGTAATGAAGTAGCTGGCGCTGGTGATGTTGCGGAATCAGTGCCAGGAGAAATTACCGAGACGGTGAAGGAAACAGTCCTCGTCGTGGAGAAGGAAGCCAGCAGTAACAACAACGGCGACATCATTGACAAAAGCTCGGAAGAACAAGAAAAGGCGAGCGAGAGTGAGTCTGTCGGGCCTAGCGGGGCGAGCTCCGAGACATTCCAGCAGCTGTCGGGAACCAAGAACGCCTTTGCCGGCTCGTTCGGGACGGGCTTCGGGAGCACTCCTTTCATCTTCAGCACCTCGTCGAATCCGTCCTCCCAAGCCTCGTCGGGTTTTGCATCATTCGGTACTCCCTTCACTGCGAGCTCTCAGCCCTTCGGATCCTCGCTCTCGTTCGGCCAGTCTCTTTTCGGGGCCAAATCATCCTCGGCCGGAGCATTCCCATCTCTGTCCAGTGTCTTCGGCAAAAGTAATGGCTCGGGTTGCACACCCCTCTTCGGCTCTTCTGCTCCTGCAGCAGCGCCGACCACCGGAGCGCCGAGCCCTGCAGTCGTGTCTCTGCAGGAGGTGACGGTAGAGACCGGCGAGGAGAAGGAGAAGGCCGTGTTCACCGCCGATGCATCCCTATTTGAGTTTATCGATGGAGGATGGAAGGAGCGCGGGAAAGGCGAGCTGAGAGTAAATGTGAGCGAGGAGAAGGATAAAAGGCCTCGACTCGTGATGCGATCGAAAGGAAACCTTCGACTCCTTCTTAATGCTAGTCTGTTCCCGGACATGAAGCTCTCGAAAATGGACAATAGAGGGATATCATTCGTATGCGCTAACAGTGCAGCAGAAGGGAGGACAGGGCTCACGACATACGCCGTCAAAGTGAAGGATGCGGTCGTGGCTTCTGAGTTCTCGGCCACAGTGCAAGCTCACAAAGGGAACGTGAACTCGGAGCCGAGGACTCCAGAAAGCTCCCCAAAGGCTACTGAGAGACCAGCCAAAGTTGCTGAGATCAGTGAGGTGTAAAAGCGGTTTGCGGTGGTATAAACTACGCACTATGAGCTTATGATGGATGATGATGGATCAGGGTGTCATTGTCACTGTTGCAGAGACATTACATTATATATACCCCATGGCCGAGTCGAGTCTGTCGAGCTCTGATGTTGGTACGATGTCTGTGTGAATTTCCGTTTGCACGGTGCGAAGTTGTGTAGAGGTTCCAGTGTTGCTGGAATGTTTTCCGCGCGCATTATTCTTCTCGTCAGTGTCTAATGAGATCAACATCGGTGGGAATTGAATACCCCAAGGTGAGGCCCTAGACACCCTCGACACTCCCTTCGCAGTGTTGATAGTGGGGCGGAGAACTGGAGGGCTGTGCAGGTACCGAACCAACATGCAGGTTGCGAGACTCTAGCGATTTCAAGTGCGGCATGGGTATTTTTGGTTTCAAGATGGTACTTGGAAGTGTGACGGGTACACCTCATTCTGCACAGTCCATGAAAGTGAGAGGTACTATGTAGGCATCAGTTGATGGACCAAGCAAGCAAGTTTCACAAATTTTTAATGTGGAAAACCGGTCAAATTAGTTTAGTAAATCGTGTCATTTTAGCCTATAAATTTCAGGAAAAACCTTGATAGAACGTCGTGGACGAGAAGGGAGTGAGATTTCTGACTCCGCATGCAAGCATAGTTCTGACATTGGAATGGACAAAGAAAGAAAGTTGCAATGATCATTTTGGAGGCCGCGCAGGCGATCACTTTCATCATGATTTCACCAGTGTGTCACCTATTGTTGAAGACAGACATTCCTGATCCTCATTTTCCAGCTGTCATGAATTGTTTCTCCTTTGCCATTCGTAGACGCGGGCCACACTGCCGAGTGCTGCACAGCACTGCATTGCAGGGCAAGTTGAGACTGAGAGCAGGAAAACACAGAACCAGACTCGGATCACTGACGCGTCAACTTAATACAGTCATGGGCATGACAAGTGCGTGAGCTTAGGGTAAATGATAGCATGCGCCGCTGGCATTGGCGATTCGGGATCTCATTTGTTCCTCCTCTCGTTGCCGTCAGCTCTGACGGATCGTTTTGTAGAAGTTCAGCAGTTGCAGTCATTGTGACCTAGCTTCTCGTTATCTGCCATCTCCTGCTGCAGACAGGGAATCTTATGTGGATCCTCTCATGTTCTTGATTAGGGCCCTGAACTATCTACATATAAAAAAGAATCGGCAGGTGGGTGAGCATTTTTGTCACACATGCTCAGAACTACAGCCTGTGTCTCTTGCCTTGCCTTCGGTCATCTTCGCCATCGCATTGGTTGCGAATGATTCCCCAGACATCATGAGCTCTAATACTTGCTTGAGAGGCTCTGAACTACGACCGCCTTAGAAAGACATCCAGTAAAACCTGAGAGGTACTAGGTTCAGGCCAGGCGCAGGTTGCTTTAGTCGCAAGTGTGGTAGGCAAGTGCAGTGCGTAGCATTGATAACAGAAATCTAGGTTAATGTTATCTTGTCGATTGCCATTGTCATCTTTCTACCCGTTACGTCATAAACTCATACGTGTGACACTGAGAAATTTTATAGAAAACACTCCTATCTAAAAGGTGCGCTTAGTCTTGTATGCGTGGACTCTTCAGCTTTGTGTTATCATCCGACCTCGGCCATGAATCCAACTTAGCTTCGCAATTACACGTATGCAGTTCGTGCCTGACTAACATGTAAACCCGAAAGTCAAATCAGCGCCAGATAGTCATGAAGTGGTGTTAAAGTGAGTCACAATCATCAAGTCGTTGTAAACTAGTTGATATATCAATCGTGGTCGCTAGGAGAATGGGTTGCCTGCTCCTGACGAGGTCCTCTTGATGCATGTCGTGTGGCCGCGGAGGTAAGCTTGGAGTCAAAGTCTTCATAGCGCCTCAAAGCCCAAGGGGAGGGCTGAAGCATTTCTTCTCTATTGAAGGTTGACAGTTGTGGGTCAGTAGGAGCGAGCGTCCAATTGGGTGGCAAAGTTTGATGGTACCGATAATAACGAGGAACTGGAATTGAAGAAGTTGTTCTGTGGCTTTCCAGTTCAGGTTAGACGGTCTAAATATCGTCCTCTAAGTACGTCGGGGAATGCCGAATAGTGAAGGTTGTAGTACTTGCGTACTTCATCGAAGCTCTTGGAACTCTCGCTTGGAGTTTCCAGCTGCCTTGGTAAATGTCAGACGGAAATCAGATATCAGGGTCAAGGCTCCGTGGGCTTACGGTGAGAGTTGTCCTTGGATCAAGAAACTGAGTCGGATTACACGAGTCTGAAGTAAAGCTAGCCTGTCAGGATGTATCGGAAGGTTGAACTTCCATAATGCGGAGAGTTGAACTCCGAAACAAGAAGTTTGACTCGAAAGGGTACACCTGTCGATCGGAATTGAATTGTGGAATCTGAGATCCTGATTGTAGAGGAGTCCTGCTCACAACGTGGGCGGATCGAACGGGCACGACTCGGGAGTCAACAGTCGTTTGTTTCTCGGAACGATGTGGGTGTACTGAGGAAGGACGGATGAATATGCGAGAAAATGCACCTGCGATGGCACAAGTGCCCGAGCTGGTTCGGACCATAGCTCGGTACTTCTCGTGAGTATGCTGTACACGTGAATTTGCAATCAATGGCATTCACTTCGTCTGCTCTAGCCTCGAACTGAATGACCTGAAGAAAGCTTCCGCTCCTTCATTCCCCAGACACAGACTCCCGTGAATCCTGTTCACACTCCTGTCTGGGATCACGTTTTCACCCTCCCCCATCGTACGGTGCCTACGCTAGTCACAAATCGAGCTAGATTGGCTAGAAATCCCAATCTAGCTGATTGACCTTCGCTTGACAATGATGGAGGACTCCTCCAGGAGGGGGTTGTACAAGGCGTGTACATGTACCGTGGCGTCGCGGTCAATGGACGAAATGTGCAGCTCAGGCGGTCGGTCAATATTCTTCAGTGTTTCGCTGAAAGAACGAGCCGGGATTGCGCAGCACACATTCCATCATTGCAGTCTGATGTCATTGAGATTAAGGAGTGTCAAATGCCGGATTTTCAATGCCTCGGACATTGAGGCAGACGGGAATTACACGACGAGGACTCGCTTTCAGTACTTGACTTCAACACACGTGCTGGCTCCCTTCCCCCCGGTTCTTAATCACCTCAACACTCGCTCCTGTCCGACTGGAAATCTAGAGACGCTCTCTCCTCCATCTTCAGATTTCGCTTCCTCTGCCTGTGCGGTGGGAACATTCAGATGCAGGTCTCCCCTCTCAGCTCGAATGGGCCGGCACTTGACAGAACCATTTTCGCGGAACTTTCCCAGCTCCTTGGGACGATGTCTTTGTCCGCAGAAGGTCAGCAGGTGGCATTTTACAACATCGGCATGAGACTCATAAATGGCACATTGGTGATGGATGTTCTGGAGCGACGCAGAAACGACGAAGCTCATTCATCCATCTCATTCGACGATAGAAACTCAGAGGAAGCGCGTAGACCAACTTCCTTCCTTGGCTGCAGTGGTCACTCACAAGAGTGATGATCTGAGGAAGCAAAATCTCTTGCAGATGTGAATCTGCGTGGATCGATGAGATAGTTTGGGGCAGGGTTTGCGTCCGAGGCGGCGAGGAGGTGACTTTTGAGTCTTGAATGTTTATTACAAGTTGACAAATTGTGTGACGTATTCTCGTCGAATTGACACCAGTATACAACGCAGTGCGAGATCTCCTGCCTTGAGTATTACTCAATACTAACTCGCTAAAATTACATCGTCTTACGACCTGGAGAATATGAATGGCAGTGCTAGTGCGGTGACGTTTTTAATGATACAGAGACAGAAGTAAAATCTGGGAAACAAGTGCACTACTGAGAGAGTGGCAGGCACGGTTGAAGATGGTGGGTCCATCGCTCGCTCGCTCGCTGTGTCGTCAAATTGTCAGGCCACCACTTTATCAGTAGCAGATTTCTTCTCTTTCTCTACTTCTGAAGAGGCTGTTGGCACCGATGCTGCCGGTGCCTCAGCTGCTTCGCGACTCGTCGTCATCGGAAGACCTGCAATCTCCTTCAGAGGTTTCCATCTGAACGATCGCCTGCAAACACATCCACGTTGCGTCAAGTTTCTGCCGACACAGGTTTGCAAAACAAAGCACTCAACTCTCGGTTTCCGAACTAGAAATAACCCGGACAGCGTGAAAACCCGCCAACGAATCATGTCCTGTTTCGAGTTTCGCATCCTCATGATTCATGGAGAGAACGGATCCATCTTGAGTCAGCAGCAGCAGTGGCGGTCTCATCAGTTGGTGACGGAAATCTCACAATCGGCTCGAGGACTTACCATGGTCCACATTCGGCAATCACCTTCACTTTCGGGCGCAGGGCTGGTAGCAGGGCCAAGAATTGCAGCTCGGTCTTCGAGAGCACCTGCTCCAAACAGACAACACTGACTGAGTTCTCGAGTCTCGTGTAAGATGAACTCATACACAAAGCACGTGATTTCGATGGAACTTGAGAGACATCCAGAGTTCTTTGCGGTGACATCACGGCTTCACCACAAGCTTGGGCTTGTGGTGAAGCCGTGGATGTTTCATAAAACGAAGCATGTACCTTGCACTCGATCATCCACACCACAAGGCCCTTGCAATCCTTAGGCAGCAGTGACAACCTGTAGTCTACTTCCGGTGGCATGTACCATCTTGCTATGGCCTGCTTTCCCAGGTGTGGCTGCAATCCACAAGGCAAGACAGGATATGAGTTCAACAGGTGATCATCGGTTCGCAGGATTAGCGTCTGTGTCATACATAGCCCGTGAACTAAAGAAGCTCTCGCTGTCGCACAGCATTTGTGACAACTACCTTTGCATCGACTGAGCTGCTCAAAAACTCCACGACGTCATCTTCCTGACCTCTGAACTTCAACATGAGTTTTATCACGGTGATCGACTTGACAGTTCGTTCATACAATTGATCAGTTCTGGTGACGATGGTTTTTAGCCCCCATGGCTCTCTCCGTTCTTCTACTGCACTAGCCAATTATGAACCGTGAGCTGTAGAAGGTCAAAATCATGCCCGAGACGTCTTCTTTTAGAAACTATGATCCAATCGGATCCAGGACTACATCTCAGTGCGAGCCGAGGCACTCATCTACAACTTGAGATGGCTGTGCGTTGTGGAGGAAGAGTTCGAGATCGGTGAAAGAGATGTGAAGGAACCACTGAGCGTCAAGCTCCAGCAATCTCGAAGAAGAAAAAGTCCAGGCACCATAGCAACAACCTCTTCTTTACAACCCTATCAGAACTGATCGTCATCGCCCATTCCATCGGACCGTCTCCACAGGAATCCAAACCTGAAGGCTACACGTTCAACCCACTAAATTGAAATCTAAAATGGGAATTCCCATGATTTTGATCGTAGCTTTTAGACACACCAAGCCACAACTCCAAATTCTGTGCCAAGTTTCGAAGGTTCCCAACCTCCAGACCGCCACCAAAACAATCCCAGACTTCCAGATTTGTGGCAGTTCAGTTGCGAGATCGAACCGATTAGCTTGACTTAAGAAACTTGAGAAACTTAAGCCTCGACAAGCGGAAGAAGAAACACAAGCCTGTCCACTGAGCTGAAACAGGGGTCTCAACGACTTCGAAGACGATATATGGAATCCTGCAACCAGTGGGCTCGTGGCCACTGACTACAATAATACAGGAGAGCATCCATCCAAGGGTCAAGGGGCTCGTGCTTTAGAAGTAGTGATGAGAAGATTTTTGGTATTATGTGGGTGAGCTATCTCGACTTAACTACACAATATGGATGCCTGTGAGGTGTTGTGCAGGACAAAGGCGACAAGAACAACAACTCGAAATGACGAAAAATTCCATTGATTCAACTGGAGGGAGTTGAGGAGTCAACATACGGGTCGAACGCCGTGAATTTTGGTGAGGTAAGCTTCAGGATCGCCCAATCCTCTGGCAGTCAAATTGAGGATGTGGTAGCCCTCTCTTCTGAGCCTGGTGGCATACCGCCCCTCGTAACCGCCCTCGGGAGGCGAGTAAATGCCGATGGACCCGAACTCTTCCACATCGCTGGACCATTTGTCGAGGTCGAATCCAAGCAAATCTCCTCCGATATAATCCCCGAGTCCAGCCTCGACTGTCGTCCTCACCTTCACCTCGCTAGTACTCCCACTGCTGCTGCTGCTGCAGCTGGTGCGCAGAGATTTGCTCTTGGGCACAAACGTGGAGCCGAGACGAACAGCTGACGAGCTCAGGCTCGCCTGATTACGCTGGCTCTGTGAGCTGCCAGCAGCCGCCGCTGCAGCTGCTGCTGCTGTCGAGAGATGGCATTGTGCAGCGCACACATTCACGGTCATGGTGTGAAGTTAGAGCGGTTGGGATGGCGGTGGTGATGCTGATGCTGATGCAGTGGAAGGGAGGAGCAGTCTCGACCCCAGTTCACAAGCCCATGGAGATGGAGATGGAGAGTGAGCTTGGACGCCAACCAGTTCGTTCGTTTCCTTCGTCAGCTCATTCTTCCATTCATTCGTTCGCGCTTTGCATCGTCGGACATGGACAGAGCGAGTGGAGAAAGGACGAAGAAGTAACAAATCTCTTGGCCACCCATTTCCCATGGCCCCACAAATCCTCGTCCTCTCACGTCCCAGAGAATGGAACTCTGACGACACGACGAAGAAGGGATAACGCTTTTTCGTTCCCCGCTGGGGTATCTCCCTCGGTTGACCCTCGGTTGTGTCGCCTCCCCGGAAGGAGAGCTGAGCTCCGATGCCAGGCTTTCCGAGCCGTGCCGACCGGCAGTCACCGGTGGAACCGGGTGCCTGTCCTCCGGCTGGCTCAGCCCCCGCCTAGATTTTTGGAACAAGCAAGTATGGTTCGGGCATTTGAGCAGGCTCTGGCAAGCAAGAATTGATTTTTCTCCACGTCCAGCTCTTCTTCCATTTTAATTTATATACAAACATCAATGTGTTCATAGTCTTGCGGGTTTCCGAGAGAACCTGCACTTTCAGGAACTTCATGAAGATGCAAATACATATTGCATAATTCATTTGCATGTTTCTATGGAGGTAGCTAAACCCATGAAATTTTCCCCTGAAGACAGGAAACCGACCGCCGATAGAAGACCAAAACTGCATATAAACAAGTATCTAACAATTTGAAGATACTTGCTCTTGTCTATTGATCCTTAGATCGTAGTATAAATTATTACCGCCCAACAACGTTAAGCAACATTACAAATATCCTAAAAAGCTAAAAGCGTGCAATGTGTGAAGGTGAGACAAACTGAATGGTTGAATTAGGCATAGAACCAATACTTCGCGCTTGTATTCAAATCTCGGTTGCAGCACAAAACTTGAGAGTAAAATCCATCACCATCCTGTTCAGGTTTGAAGTTTTTTTGACGTATATATATCATTATTCAGCACAAGTTAATTTAGCAAGAAAGAAACAAGTTTGAATTGCCCACATTATGATGATAACTGCATACTGATCTACACAAACAAAATATGGAGGTGGGAATAATATCCATAAAAGGTATGTGTCCATTGGACATGTATTAGCACTCTGGTATACTATATTGCCGCTTAATTGAACATGATATTATCAGACCTTAAGATGACAAAGTGAGTATAAGGCACATTCTTTGGCCTCCTCATGATCTATTTATCAGACTATGATGAATTGTTTACTAATTCTTCTACTTTCTAGAAGTTAAAAGATATCTTGTTACCTACAAACCATACAACAACTTGAATATAATGATAAATACTTATTTCAAATATATAGCCAATCATGGATTAGATACCAGTTTGATAAAAAATTACATGGATTTTTATTTTGAAATTCTATTTTCTTAGATCTGCATGAAGCTATAGTATGAAATTAGGATGAACAAAAATCATTACTTAGACTTAAAATATTTCTAATGTATGCATAGATTGTTTCATGTATTTCAATATATGAATTAAGTAATTAATACATGTTAATTTCATAAAAATAAACAGGTTTTGATTCAATTCAAATCAATCATATAAATATCATGTGATTAGATTTGAAGTCACAACAATTTTATTGGAGTCATGTCCATTGTGTTTTTCAAGATCAGAGGTTATGTTTCATGTACTTTAGCCATACTTGTAATAGACATAGAAAATACATTAACTTAATATAAGATATTTGAATATATGTCGTGACATCCTATGTAAGTTTTCAATAAAACAAGTTATTTGCATTGTAATCTTGTTTATCCGCCATTTTCATCTCAATTCCACTAACCCCGTGATGATATTTGAAGATGACTCTAGTTTGTATCTAACACAATCAAAATACATGTAAAAATTTACTTATAATACATCATTTTTTCCAGATAAGACTATTGATATTCCAAAATCAATTCATCAGTTTGTTTCACATTGAGTTTTTCATCTTCTTCAAGTGTTATGTGTAGCATTATGATCTAGAGTAGAGCTCATTCAACGATTTAACACAACTTTGAAGATGATAAATATCAACAATGATTCTACACTCTCTTATATAGATTGTAACATCAAATACAAGTAGATAAAATCTCATTTTCATTATCCATACCACTTCTAATGGATGAATGACATAATAAATAATCTTAACAAGTTCATGTATTGTTAACGTGTGTAATTCTCAAATCACACATTCAATTCTTACCTAACAAGCATATAGCTTGATTACATTACACTGTCCACTAATACATTTACTCTTTACCTACCAAGCACATGTATCTCTGACGTGACAACTATGATAAGTGCACTTCAAGAAAAATATAACTTCATATTGAGTAAACTCTATTTTAATTTAACTAACTAAAGATGATTTCACTATATTAAATGAGTTGAATTCATCAATGAGAATATTGTAGATGACATATTGAGTTCTTCATCTTCTTCAAATGATATGCTAAATGATTTGTTTTCATTTAATGAAAAAAATGTGAATTACGTTGAAATGATTTGGAGTGTAGATTAAGATTGATTTAGACAATTATATCATCTTCATGCATTCATATATCATGCAGATGAAAATTTTTATCTTTAATAGTGATAATTGCAAAAATAATTGTTCCATTGCAAAATCATGAGCAGCAATAAGTTTTTTTTTATTGCAAACACACGCAAATCTTTTGCACCGACAATACATTACAAAAAATCTATTGCTAAATCTGTGTTTGGACTGTTTGTGAAAATTACACTTCGGGTTAATATAATAATTTAATTCCGTTAGTAGTGAAGTATCTATCTTGATAAAACGTTACACTTTGGCAACATTTGTAATAACATTTTTACTTTTAGTTTAATTTTTTTTCTGAAATTATAACGAATTGGTATTGAATATTCAACAAAAAAAGTTACAAAATAGGTTATACGATCAAATTCAAAAGTTTTTCTTCAAATGATCTTTGTTGAAAATATCTTTGAAACGTTATCGGACTTTCACAAAACACCAAAAAACTCATAAAGGAATTAGTACACTAAAACCAATGTGGTATTTACACAATTGATTTTACTCAAAAAAGTATATTGATTTACTTTGCGAACATCACACAAAGTCAAGCTCAATACACTCATTCATTAGAGAATCCAAGTCAAAACTTACGAGCCATCATAGCTAATCTATTCACAAGAGTGACTTATAATCCCAAGTCAATACTAAAAATAAAAAATACGTGTATACATGACATTAAAAATCAATCGTATTAACCCCACTGATTCAGAATAGTAACATCACACAAAGTCAAGCCCAATCCACTCATTCACTAGAAAATCCGGGTCGAAGCTTAAAACACATCAGAATTAACTCATTGAAGATTACATCCAACGCTAAAATGCTCAACTCAGAAACATGAACGTTCTTTGAGTTTTTGTGACTATATATTTTTTTTTGACGAGAATTACTCCTAATCCTAGGACAATACAAAAACAAATACATGTATACATGACATTAGAAATCAATATTGTTAACTCCATTAGTTTTGATTACAAACATCACACAAAGTCGAATCCAACTAACTCACTCACTAGAAAATCCGTGTCAAAATTTACGATTCATCATAACCAATTCATTTAAGATTAATCCCAACGCTAAAAGTTTCAACTCGAAAAAATGAAAGTTCTTTGTTTCCCCGACTATATACCCTCTTTGACAAGAGTTACTCCGAACTCTAAGACGATACTAACAATATAAAGTACGTGTGTACATGACAAGTGCCATTATCTAACATTCTTTGTGATCTGATTAAATTGATAGAGAGAATTGATCAATGGAAATAATGTTTGGATGTGAGCAAGCTAAATCATTAATCATTTTGATCATGATAGTTGGGTTATAATTTTCAAAAGCAATTATTGTTGTCAATGAAAGAAAATTTTTGTTGATTGTTGATTCATCAGTTGTGACTGCACTGTAACATATTTGCAGTTGGTCAATTTATAAAATGCAGTTTGTTCATCATACATTATTTTGCACAAATTAAATTATTGAAAAAATTTATGTCTCGGTACATCATTCGTATGACAACGTTGACGTAATTAAATTAATTTTCAAGTTCAAACAAACACTCGTTGTTTAGTTTTTATAGTAGTGAGTGCAAGATCAATCATTTTGACGTAACTATGTAATTGAGATTATGATCACGGATGAACAACATAGTTTTTTACTGGATCATACATTATTGGAGTTTATCAAAAAATATATAAATTGCAAATAATGACTTTGATCTACATTTTCATTCATTGACAAAATGAAAAACTTTGGCTAAAGTTGTTGCTAATGCCGCGATAAAAAAAACTTATTGCAAATTTAAACTTAATTGTGATGTAATTGACGACTACATAGAGGTTTTTTGTTTCTTTGCGAATTGTTGTATGATACACTTACATTTCATTATACTTTCAAAAACCAACGTACATCGATGCAAGACATGATGCTACAACCTGTTAAGTTTAACTTCGAGCATTTTTCACAATGTTCACATATTGTTGAGTAGCAATTTTCACTTTACTTTTTAACCAAACAATAGAAACAATACAACCTTGGACTATCATCTCATCCGCTTTTTTACATTTATGTGTTATATTTGTTTGATGTCTAAAAGTTAGTTGTCACATTGAGGATAATGTTGTTGCACTTTCAACTTTCATGTCGTAGAAAATGTCTCCAAATGAATATACTTCAGTTGACACAATCCACAATCTTGTTTATCATAGTACATTTTTATTCATCATAACACATGAGTAACTGTTAGCTTCAAATTTTTCATCATTGTGCGTTATAGTCCCGGTGGGGGTCTAAGTAGTCATAAGATTAAAAACTAACACGTAACACTTGTAATGTTCCAACCTCAGCTTGTTTCAATCATCTACAACGCTACGCGATGTATCACATCATTGCAACCCAACGCACTAGCAAAACAAATCAACACAGAGTAGCGAGCTGGAGAACCTCATGTCGTTGCCGATCAACATCACTCTACACGGTGAGATGCTCCATTTTTCAGCATGTCACTACTCTCGCAACATCTCAGTTCCCTTTTGTTTGAAACATCCAAACTTCAAAAATTACTCTCACCACTTACCTCTTGGTCTAAACATTCACACTCCAAAAATTACTCTCACATCTCTGTCGTGTCTTTTTGTGTTTACTATATTTAGCCGTTGGCCTAGGATTACCGTTCGCAGAGGTTATAGAGTCGACGAGACTCAAAGAGTGTTCAATCTTTGTAAAGTTGGATTTGAATTCCCTTGTGAGTGGGTTCAGCTGGACTGTATGTATGTGTGACGGTCGTGTTTGCCAGTGGGGTAATCACGTTTTTAATTTCACTTGAAGAATTGAATGATTAGATTTATCACTCTCGAAAAACTTTATTAGATTTAAGATTAGATTTATCACTATAATGTTATAGTGATAAATAGTGGTAGAAAATCTGGTTAGCAAGAATAATATTTTTTGCAAACGGAATAGGCATTTGGAGTTGGAAAGCAGAGGTCAAAGATACATGCTTCATATATTTGAAGCTCTTAGAGCATCAATAATTGGCTTCAAAAATGTCATAGTACTAAGCTAAATTCTCATCTTGAAGTCAGGTACCTAGGAGCAAAGTGGAAAAATATCGTGCATAGAAAAGTATAGTTGGAGTTTGCACAGTTGAAGAACTTTCGAGAAGTTGGAATTTATAGAGATGAAAACCTTTTAAGAGGTTGACTCTATACATGTGTGAACATTCACTTCATTTTTTATTGTATCAATTTTACATTCATAAAATACAACACTTGTAGCTTACAGTAGAAAGTTTTCTGACTTGTACTACTTACGAGTTACTCAAGTTTTAAATTCACTAGTAGAGTGAATTTGTTCATAAATAGTTCTTTAAAACTACTAAAAACTTTCTAATATTTTTATAGTTAAATTATTTTTAATTTTCTTTTTGTGATCTAGTTTAAAGATACCATGTAAAACAACCCTTGTACATAGTGAACTTTTGAGTTGTGAAGAGAAAAATGCCACTTGGAGATAAGGTGGGCAACATTGAGGCACAAGAAATCTAGACGGTTAAGGTACTCAGAGGTGAAAAACCTGAGCATCCGAAGTGGAAGTTGACTTTGTAACCCCAATTACAGAAGAATCAGGTGAACAATATTGTCTTAGAAACAAAATTTTTGGATTAGATTGGGATGAAGAACTGGCTCTAGAAAAGTTGATGAAAAAATCAGATTCACATTACAGAATATGTGAAAATGAGCTATCATGTCGCAGATCATGTAAGAGATGTTCAATTTGTTCAAGACTGTATATTAGAAGAAATTCTTGGACTTGAAAAGTTTCTCCTTAGTCTTAGCAAGGATAAATAGAGAATAGGTTTAGAGTTTAGAAAAGTGATACTGAAATGAACGAGAGTTTGCATCCGGCCTCACCCACTATAAGCTTTAGGCTTTGAAAGCATTGTGTGTATATATATATATATATATATATGAAGTGATCAAAAGTATATATACTTTCAATGTTTGGTGTGTTCATTGAAGTGAAGTGTGACACTAATGTAGAGTGTATCGTGATACATATTTGCACAACATCTCCACTCTCGTCCAAAATATACACACTCGAATAATTTTTCTCTCGTCTTTTCGTGCTGCTACTCCCTTTGCTCTCTCTCAAAAAATAGTGAAGTCAACCATCGTAGTAACATCATGAACTAGATTGACGGACAAGGATTTTCATCATTCGATCATCCCCCATCAAACCTTTCGTTGCCATCTCGAACAGCAAGCAACCGTACTTCCTTGCAATGGACTTTGCTTGCAGCCCTAGCTCCGTTGCCAGCCACATGGCAGCGGCAACTACCATAAGATGTTGCCCATAAACGACATATATACAAGATATGTTATGCATCACTTCTTGAACTCTCCATCGTCACTTTTTGTCTGAGTACGTGTCATTGATCGATTGTTTGATAAATTATCATTCTTCCTTGAGCAATACCTTTTCTTTGGATTGTCCACTTATCTAAGTATATTCATTTTTCTAACTTACGGGTTTTGTCGTTTTGCACATCGACTAGACTTCATATTGATTATACGCAGTAGGCTCTATCTAGGCTTTTTTCACCAAGGATTGTTCTACTTTAGCATTATACATCTTTATATTTTCACTAACAAATATAGATTTGAGTTGCATCAACTTGTACACTATCTATGATTCTGCAATCTTGATATCTTGAAAAAGATTTACATCGTTGAGCAACTTTGTCGCTACCAATGAAAATTTATTGATACTTTCTCTGAATCTTATAGTATACAAAACAACCAATACCAGCATTGATTTAGCTGTTGTCATTGATAATTGCTATGATTTAGTTGTAAGTTGTGACTTTTGAGTGGTCATAGATGTTGATGTAATCGGTTTGATTTTGATTCTTACATATGAACATGCCTTGGATATTACTTCAAGACTTTGACACCAATACTACATGTGATAATTTCATATAAATACAATATTTTCACTAAAGATGCAATGAATTTATAATGGTTGTAAATATTTAAGCTAATTAGGAAGTGGTATGAACATGTAAAAACAAAATAATTTTGTTCTATAACTCTATGTTTCTTTACAAAAAGTTCTGTTTACTAGGATTCAAAAAAAGTAAAATTAGAAAACATCTTCATTGGTTTTTCAGTATTAAAAAAAATCATATACTTTAGTGTAAGTATAGTTACACCACATCTTCCGAAATAAAATAAAACTGTTGATTTTTCCAAAGTATTTGGGTGGGCAGTTGCTTCTGGTAAGTTTTGACGGGAAACTACTTGTTACATGAATGGGAAGGTGTTTGTATACGTCTACCGCTTTCTGTTGAAGAGTTGCCTGTTACTGAGCTACGTGTCAGCTGTATATTACAGACTGGACGTACCGTACTGTGCACCTTCCGTCCGTCGTTCATGGATGCGTCGATTGCTGGACTGGGGGCGGAAGTTGTATTTCCTGACTTAATTCGTGTCAACGGCGGCTGAGCTAAGTCGATTCTTCCCGCCATAGGGCGTAGAGTGACTTGCGACACATACGAACTGCGCCTGTGTTACGACGTTCAGGTTTCCACCACGCAGTGACCAACTGGCTTCACAGGTTCCTCGACAATCGAAGCTCCGGAAAGGAGTTCATAGTCTTGCTCAACGCAAAAAAGCTCCAACGAATTTCGATTGCTTTGTGTTGCAGCGTGCTCGATTTTTGTCATCGCTCTAGATTGAAAGATAGTAGGGGGCGGCGGATGAATTTCTGGGTAATTCTACAGTGATTTAGTTATCGATTGTTTTCTAACAATCGGTACTGGAACCTTTATAAGAAGCAGTGATCGCCGATTAATTTGGTTCGTTTGAAAAGTTGAGAGTCAGACTGAACGATCGATGGAGTACATCAAATCGAAAGTTCGAGAGGATAAGCCGCTACCACCAGTTTTGATTTTGGTACGTTAGTTTGAACCCTGCATCGTTTGGGAGACAGCTGAATTGAGTGGAAATTTTCGTCCTGTATGAATTTAATGAAGTAGGCTGTGTTTGGAAATGCAGGTCTTGTTTTGAGGTACCTGATGGGAGTATTTTTGTTTGGTTTTGCAGCCAGCACTATCTATTGGGAATGTTGGGCAGCTGGCTACTGACTTGCTAATTTCAGAGCCCTCTGTGATCAAGGCAGGTTTTTTAGATGATCCCTTTGTCCTGCCTTGCATTGGAAATGATCCGATAGGTCCTACGCCGGTGGGGAGCTTGACAGTGGCCCTGGAAGGTTTGCATCTTCTTGAGACTGCTACTTGTAACTAATCTGGAGTGTTGTAGATGCTGAATTCTCACTAGGCTTGGCGTGGAAACTTAGATTTTCAATTGAGGGTTGCGTCGTAAGTTCTGCTCTGAGGCTACGATGAGATAAAAACTTGCGTAGTCGCAGATTTCTCGTGTTTCAGATGCACCTATTCTTAAAAATCGATTGTTTTGCATCCGCCCTGAGATGCAAAAGTCTCAACAGATATTGATGGAGTGTCCGAATGCCTTTTTCAATGTTCAGTTTTTGAAGATACGAAAAATGGGCTGACTATTGTGCAGCAACGAAGTCCAGTGGTCAGGGTAGGTTGCCGTGAATCACATGCCATACATGTTAACGTGGTTATCCATTTGACAGTTATCTTAGATTTTCTTTAAAGCTAAAATTGATGCACTGAATACATCCTCGCCGACTTAAGAGTTGTTCCAATTCATGACTGGACTTTTGGGCATCCGATTTTGAAAACGTTGGAAGGAGAACAAAATATTAAAGAAAATTGGTATTGATGAGTAGTTATGTGGCTTTATTTCCAGAGATTATCTTCTTGGTTCTGCTTTGATAAAGGATAAATGCTGTTAGTACTTTATAGTTCTTTACTGTTGCTGGTTGCTTGCAAATACTAAACGAAGTTCCCACCTGCAAGTGCAAGTGCATTCATTGAAATTCTCTTTATCGTGTATAGGGGGCCATGGTTGAATATGCGAAGCATCTTGCAGAGTGGGCAGAAAGCGTGGGTGTGAAGGAAGTAGTGATTCTCTCTGGTTTAAATTCTGGTAAACGGGATAGAAAAGAGATGATGGAGGGGTATGCTAAACTCACTTTACTTCAAAATTGTCGGTACATTTTTATTAGCAGCAGTGTCAGTTTTGACTTTGTCACCAGCCATGCCTTTTGATCACTTATATCTGATCTTGAAGAGGATTGTGTGTAGATTCTTAGCGTCCATTTTCGCATCATATTCACAAGTCCTCTTGTTTGTTGAACCTTTTTTTGGGTCATTTTTCAAACAAATGTCCGCTTCTTCTCTCTGGTACTGTAGGTTTTAATGGGATATTATGCCATCTTTTGGAATGACAAGGAGAATTTAGAACTTGTTTGCAAGCTGACATGATCGAATTTTTTTAATGGTAGGACTTGGTGTATATCTCTTCAGTCCACAGGTTTACTACTGTACTACCGACACCAACACGTCAGTTTTTCAGCAACTGAGATGGAAAACTCTGGAACACTCAGAAGCGTTACAACATGCTGACGAGTTAGTTCAAGGTCCAGGTGAAGACTTCGATGGCTTGAATGACGAAAACTACTATGCTGGGCAGCCCTTCTCCTTGTTATACTCCTGTTGCAAGGTGAGAAGCCACTCCTCCATATCTTTATTAGAAATTTGACTAGCTCGGGTTTACGTTGGACATAACGAGGCAAATCTTTGACATGAAAATTTCAATTTCTCGTGTTTACTGGAAAAATCTGTCACTGAGCTCCATGTGGGGAAAGGTCATAGATAAGTGGGCTACAGTAGCTTTTAACAAATTGTATTACTGTTGCCATGGGCATATATTTATCATTAACATATATCCTTTGTGTATATGTTATTTACATATTAGATGTTCAGTGACTTATGATGAGTAGATACTATGCAGAATTTTATTATGAGTGGTTAACTTAATGATGTCGTCCATGACGTCTAACAACAGGCACGAGGTTTGAAAGTGACCTGCTTGCTGTCTTTCTGCGCCGAGGGGGATAATATACCAGATGCTTTCTTCGTTGTTAAATCGCTTCAGACGTTACTGCAGCAGACGAATGGGGCAAAGTTTGGTAATTAGCCTTACCTCGTCCTTTCATAGTTGGTTTGAGTTCTCATGACTCGCGAAGCAGAGCATGTGTTCGGTTGGAATGTTTTAGTCTGAGTTTCGCCATCTTCTGTTGAACGCAGATGCAACAACGGCGACAATACCCTTATCTTGGGCAACAGTTTACGGTCCGCCACCCGATGATTCCATCTGGTAGAAAGAATGTGCTAATGCTACCACTCTTGAATAAACCTCCAACGATCAGCTTCCTCGTCCTCTGTAAACGAGGAACCCAAAAGGCTTTTGCAGAACTGATAACCACTTGGGACACAGCGAGGGGAGGACTCACGTATTGGACTCCAGCTCCTGTATGTAAGTTGGATCACGCCACGCACGATCCAGGACGGAAGAATCACAGCTGTTCAGTTCTTCACATGCTGGCAACATCTAGGAACAGGTCTAGGCCATGCTTAGGGTAAGATTGTAATGATGCAGAGCTTGGTTGGTCTCATCTTATTAATGATACAACAAATATGAAGACATGCTGCCTGCATTGAATCTTCATCAAGTCCTCGTTTTCCATCAGGTTGCTCTTGGTTGGCTCCTCTCCTGTTCAACGACGAAGGTGGACATGACGAAAATGTTGGAGCACCGTGCCCCTCTTTTTGGTAGAGAGAGAACACAAATTGCCAGTTCCCGGTATATGCATGCGATGCTTTTTCTCTCATATCCATAGACAATGATCCTTTGGGCTTACTAAGAAGTAAAAAGTGACCCGGTGACGAGCCTTTTGATGTCGACGTTCTGAGTACGTCGTCAAGAGCATATGAGGGTTTGAGCTTTCTGTCTCAAAGAGACGGAGTGTTTTGTGATGAATACCTTTTATCTCAACTCATGCCGCGCGAACCACATTGAAGAGAAAAATCAGGAGATGAAAGAAGAAAGAAATCTAAGACGTCAGAGGTATCTAAACTTTAAGTAATGAAAGTTTAGATACTTCCTACATGTAAAGACATCCCCTGATACCCAGATTCTGTGCTGTTCTCTCTAAACATGTACTACGAACCTCGAATACAAGGTGTCTAAAAAAGCCCTCCACTTGTCTTACAGGCATTCAAAGCTTCAAACGCTGATAATGACTTGTGGGTGTAAAAACGTAAAGTCCTTTTTGAAGATAAATCATAATCGAGACATGTGGTACAATAATGGAATGATTGCTTCATTACTTAGTACTATTGATATGCACCAAGTTTCATAAATAGCAACAAGCATGGTGTAAGAAAGTTAAGAGCGTGATACGTCACGTAACTGCGAAGATCACAAAACGATCAGATGAGCGCACACATTTAATACTAAAGCTACAACTGTATTCATATCAATCACTCATCTTGCGCTATTATATGTGCCCTAGGGTATAGAACTTAGATGCAATCGTTAGAAATAGGTTCTTTTCTATTAAGAAGTGGGCCTTCAGTTCCCAAACTGTAGTTCAACATGTCACGTCCAATCTCGAATCGAAGGCGTGGCATTGGTCTAGGTTCCACTTAGAAGACGAAGCCTCACCCACAGTTCATGACGTCCATGTATCAGAGGAAGTTGAAGATAGATGATTTTCCAACTCCTTTGGGCTTTTGATATCCAACCTTTGATACATAAAACTTCAGTCTAAAATAAGTAGAAAATCCGGAAAGTTACCACGTTTTAGACCATATTAAGGGATTCCTTCAGATTTTTTACACTCCATGCAGTGGAAGGGTGTGATCATGGTTTAATGCCAATGCATCTCATGGGACTTTTTATGTTTCTGTGGCTACTCATTCATCGCAGAGCCAACGAATGTTGTCACTTACATTTCTAGTTCACTAGAACGGAAGCTTCAATGTTTGTTCAAATACTGCAGTGCCAACCCAAGTTGTGTATTTTGCCCCGCATTTTATGGTGGCAATGCTCGTACAGTGTGTCAATTTGAGTTATATCAGAAGCTGAACTCATTCAGAGAATGGTCTTGACTCAATTTGAAGGCTTTGGACCTTGGGCACAGAGATTGTAGAGGTAACGTAGGTTGTTTAATTTGTAGGCTTAGAGAACAACAACTTGAGGAGGCCATTGATGAACAACATGGCCATTTACAAGCAAATTGGACGAAACATTGTCAATAATGCTTGTCACAAATAAAGCGATGTTATGGAGTTGACTCGAGGCTATAGTAAAAAGCGGAAGCAGGCATATGGAGATGGACATACTCATGGCGATGTTTGCGTAGTTCTTCCATGAGTTCAGTAGTCTGGCAACTCTGTCTACCAGAACTGGCACATGGTGAAGCATTTATGAAATGGCTGCAAACATCGGACGAGAATTTTTCCAGAAGTCTGCAATCAATCTAACAACTGCTACGACTTTTGCGTGCACATCTGGAAACGAAATGCTGACATCTGGGAGGTAGGACCTCCGAGGGTCTCTCATACTTTTCTCATTCGTCTCCACTAGCATGCGGACTGTGGCGGATCTTTTCGTTAGTTGTATTACCTCGAGCATTTTCTTTCAATCCCTTTAAGTGTGGGAGGTCTTACTTCAGTTTCGTTTGGAAAAGATGAGAGAAATAATGATTTGGTTGAGACGTAGTCTAAAGACTCTTCTTCCATTTGTAAAATAAAATTCCAAAAAACTTTGCTATGTTTGTCGGAAGGTTCAGAACCATAATATACTGGCAGACGAGACAAGTGCCATGTATGAACTCCACAGCCTCAGCGTAGAAATTGTAAAACCCACCGCTTCATGACCTGATGGATTCTCCCATCGTTTCCCTTCAGACTCGGAAGGCAAGCGGTGAAGTCAATCTCCGGGAATGTGGGAAATCAATATTCAGCCCAAAGACCGCGAGATGCGCTATAAAGTCATCGGAATCCGAGGACTCGACGACGAGGAGACAGTGTCCACGTTTCTTCCCAGTGAAAACCAGCGACCCGATTTTAGAAACTGTAAACCGATCGATCCCAATCGGATTTGACTGTCAATCAAGAAAATATTGCTGGCTTCTTCGATCGATGCAGGTCGTTGGAGAAGCGTTTGGATGAATAAAACATTGATACGCAATCCTCACTGCAGATCTCAGGATGAGTTCGTTGAGGGCTAGTTCCTGATCTGTTGCTGTGCAAGCAAGTTCGATCTGGATCTCAGAGAAGTAATTTCAGTCTACTTCTTCAGCTGCAGCTTTCGAGTATTTCGACATGGGCCCAGAACCCAGTCTTCCAGTTTCCTTTCCCATCAAAACCTTAGAGGATCTCAAGGATGGAACTTATTACCGCTCTTTTCATTACATGTTCAACAAGAGCACAGTGCCTCTGAAGGGCGTTGCCACAGCGACAGCAAAGCGACCTCGCCTACTTGCCTGCCATGATTACAAAGGTGGTTACTTGGACGATCAGTGGATCCAAGGATCTGAAAACGGCAGTGCCTACACATTGACCAATTGGCGTTTACTCGATATCTTCATTTATTTTTCCCACAATCTGGTCACCCTGCCACCGCCGAGCTGGGTCAATGCTGCTCATAGGCACGGTGTTCAGGTCGGTAGGTTCGAGTCTTTTCCTGTCTCATGCATGATGAATTCTATACCAAATCAGAAGTTCAGTGTGCCAGATTTGCGGAGGAAGTAGAGACCTTTGACATGATGAGAACATTTGCACTCGGCAACTCATCGGCCTCTTCCAGTCGTCGAGCTGTGTACGAAAGGAATTCTTTGAAGGCTTGCGTGGAGTAGGGACTATCTCGGTGTGTATATGATGTTAAAGAGGATAAACCGTTTCACTTTCAGTTGCGCTGAGAGAGCGGGGGAATTTTAGATATTACCTACATGTTGATCACGGCAGAAGCAAATACTTTGATGAACGTGCCTTCGAAACTTTAGGGTGGAAGATTTTAGTAAAGGGACATACAGCGAGCACTTTGCTGCTTTCAGCTTCTTGAGACGGAATTGTTTGGAAAATTCAGCGAGTTTTGCTGTAAGGACCAACAGTCTGAAAAGGAATCTATCAACTATCAGTAATCAAAGACTATCTCTCAGATACTGATTTGGAGCTAAGGATTGTGTCTTTGAGCACCACGATCTTGCTGCAGTGCAAGACTGCGAGAGGGGGAAAGTGGTGTTTTGCGTCGTTGTCAGCTGCTTTAACTTTGTAACCGATATGCAGCAAATATGTAGTGAAGGCGGTGCCCGATGAGCTTAGAGCTTAATTCCTCTTCTGTCTGCTTTGCATGTCTGGAAGATGATATCGTCTGATGTCATTACGTTTGTGTACTTTGCGACAGGTTTTGGGTACTTTCATAACAGAGTGGGATGACGGGTATGCAAAATGCCAAGAACTGTGTGCCACAGAAGAAAACGCTATTATGTACGCTAGTCTCCTCGCCGAACTCGCTCAAGCATTGGGTTTTGACGGCTGGTTGGTATGCGCTGCATCTTCTCTTTTTCACACATGTCTCATCGTTTTGATTCGAGAAAGCATGGATCTTGGACGTTGTTATGCCGATTCCTTCTACATCTGTGTCACCGTCAGTTTAGTTGAGTATCTTGGTGGTACTCTCATTTGGAAATTTTTTCAGTTACTGCAAGAGAATCTAATGAAGTCGGATAGCGGGCTTTACATGTTTTCCTATATCGTTTAGAAAACTTTTCTCAAGCACATTAAAATTGATGCACCTGTGCTTTTGAATAGGTGAACATCGAGAACAAGGTCATAGACCTTGTTCCGAATTTGAAAGTGTTCGTGAGCCAACTCACTGATTCTATGCATGCGTGGGTGCCTGGCTCCACCGTAATTTGGTAAGCTAGTTTTATCTGATCGAGGAGCACCCTTCACACCTGCATCTATAATCGTTATTTGCTAGGTCTGTGAGACTCTCAAGGTTATGTTTCTAGAACAGCACGAATGGAGGTTGTAATTGCTCTTTATATTTAAATATCTGTCTCATTTGAAACGCATGTTTTTTTGTCTTGATTTGAAGGTTAATTCTTCGATTTGTTCGACTGGGCATAGTTCTGAGCTGATTGAGGATGAAATCAATTTCTGGTTCGATTATTGAATACTCTTGGTGGTTAGTCTGCCAAATCAAACTGATGAAAGTCCTTCTGTTTCCGGTTGATTTGAATTACTGTTGGATGGATGAAGCCAGGTACGACAGTGTCACAGTGGATGGAAGCCTGCGTTGGCAGAACCGGCTGAATGACAAAAATATGCCTTTCTTTGAGATCTCAGATTCGTTTTTTACCAACTATTCGTGGCAGGTGAGATACGTTTTTCATAATCTGAGAACTATGTTGAGCTTTTAAACAAATAATGTTTCCAATTCGCTCATTCAGCAATGAATATTATATGTCAGCAAAGACCAATGTTCTCTCGTTACCTTATGCTTTGCAGAAAGAGTATGCCAAAGAGAGTGGAGATTTAGCTGGTGAGCATCGTAGATTTGATGTCTACATGGGAGTGGATGTATTTGGGCGGAACACGTATGGAGGTGGGGGGTATCAGGTAATGATGACGTTTCCTCTATTGTATTTACGATGAAGGTATCAATGCCAGCGTTATATGACTACACTATTATATATATTTGGAGTTCATTACTTATTGCACTTTTGACGTTCTGAGTGAAGTGTACCCAACTCTTGAAGAGCCTGCTTTACGCAAGAACTGATGGTTATTCAATCTAGACCTTCACATTCTCGGTTCTTTGTCAAATTAGGTCAAATGTTTCCATCGTCCTCTAACTCATAGAAACTACACGTTGAGCTTTGAGGCAGTGTGATGTCGCCCTTAAAGCTGCTCGAGAGGCAGAAGTTTCAGCAGCTCTTTTTGCCCCTGGTTGGACCTATGAAAATAACAAAGATGATAATAGGTGATTACTCATCTTGATTCTTCGCTGGCTTACACCGATATCCCACTAAGTTCTTCAGTTCAAAACATTCATGTTAATCTATCTGATCCACGTTTCATGCAATAACTGGAGCAGATGGTGGGGTTTGATAGCGGAATGTTGGTCTGATGCTCGATTAGATCCGGTGCAGCTGCCCTTCTTTACCAATTTCGATGTCGTGAGTATCACTCTACCCATCCACAAAGCTTAATAGAACGCGAGGATTTGTCGTCCAGGAAACGACTTATTAGATCTTTGATCTGGTCTAATTCCACATTGACTGAGCCGAAGCTCCAGACTATGAGATACAACTCAATAGATGAACCACAGTAATCTCCTTGTCAACAAGAAGGGATAAGTTTTTACCCTTTGTGCTTAACTCTGTGATGGTTGAAACCTCAGGGTCATGGGAGAGCAACATTCATCGAAGGGAGACAAGTGTCAGAACTTCCGTGGAGTAACCTCTCGTGCCAGAGTCTGCAGGTTAGTTTCTCATAAAATCTTTTCAGTACCGTAAGTTAATCGTGTCATTTCATAAGATCCTCGACTAATTTTCTTATACGTTTAAATGCTATCGATAGTAGTTTTCGTTGTTCATTGAGTGGTAGGTTCTTCTCACTCATGTTCTCCTACGGTTCCCCTTACTTAGCTCAAATGGAACTTTCTGTACACGTTCAGTAATTTTTTCACCAATATTTCTCTCTTTTGCACTTTGCATACTATTTTGTAACTTCCCTCTGGTTTCTGCATGATAGCCTCTTCTACGTGTGGAAGTTTCTTCCTTGAAACAAGTCAGCATCACTTCGAGGTGCGTCCAAACTCCTGACGGTAAAGTCTGTGTTTAAAGAAGGTGCTGCAAACATATAATATAACGTACTTGTCTACAAAACATTCAACCCTTATCTGCATCATGAAGATTTTCTCACTTCAGTCTTTTGATTTGTTTACTCTTTACTTCGTGTATCATCAGTCGGGATCCTCCAATCTACAGTGGAGGTTCGTCTATTCACATGATCGGAGACATCAACACTGATGAATTATGCCTATATCAACTTTATCGCACTGCTGTCCACGTCGAGGATTTACACCATGAGACTTCGCTGGATGTTTCATACTCGGTAAATCTACTAGCTCTTGCTTTGCTTCTTCTTATTGAAAGTTACCCAAGTTACAAGAAATATCTTCGTATTCAAGAGATGGGCGCTGGCTGCATAGTAAGTATTTCAAAAAGTGCTGCTCATGGTTTTGTCATCTTTTGACAGGTCCGGGTAGAAAGCTCTTCAAAGTTTGCGCTCGTCTTGAAAACAGAGGATCATTTGGGTGCTTGTTCGATCCACTTTTTGCTGGACATGGAAGAGGAAGACAATAATGCAACGTCGATAACTAAATATGAAATCGGACACACCTCGGTTATATTCGACTATTATAAACGGAAAGGTGAATGCAGGACTAGTGCAGACACTCGAGCTGAGGCCAGTGGAACAGAATTCGATTCCTGTAAGTCATTGAGCAATAGAGAATATACTTTAACCAAGGAGAAATACACCATCACAGGTGTTTTTGGTGTGTGCTCGACTGCCGATGATCTGAGACCTTTACTGATCAAGCTGCTACACGAGAACGAGAGTGTCTTCGAACCAGGAAACTTTCTCGTCCAGGAGGAGAAGGAGAAAGATGGAGATGCACAAACAGAGGAAATTAAGGCTAACTACCGTGCAGTTCTAGGTCATATCAGCCTCGCAGATTCTTCCCATGACTGTCACTTTTCAAACAAAGATCAAAGGTTCGTGGGCACTAATATATCTTGGGCGGAAGGAAATGCGGGAGAGAAATTTGTGAGTGTAAAGCTCGTTTGGAGAGGGCACGTTGAGAAATTCACATGGGAACGATTTCATGTGTACGCCAGAACTAGGCGGGACGAAGTGCCATTGCAATACTTGGGTATGGCGATGGTGGAAGCTTTTTATGTTTATGAACTTGCAGTCTCGAAGCAGGCGACTCCCATCACTTTTTATTTACAGCCACAATGTTCGTGCGGGAAGGTTCAAGATCTCAGTACGTGTCCTACCTACAAGATTGATGTACCCCATCCTTCATCCGCTGTTTGGATGAGATCGCAACCTTCTCTCAAAGATTGGCTGTTTGTTTAAAACGTCATATCTCTTGACAATCCAAAATACCACGGAAGCTCAAAATTTCTCCTCGGTTTTCAGCTTTAGCTTTATTGAGCCTTATTTATCATGTACAGCTTTAGATCCCCTGTCAATCATGTACAGCTTGATGAAATGCCCACCTTGATCAGGGTGGCAGCAATAGTATAAAGAAAAGAAAGTAAACTTGTTTTTTTACTTTCTATATTTGAGATAGAGGTTTCGATTGAGGAATCGTTATACATTTCGTTTGCAAACGATTGTTTTAACTTCCCTGGTTTAGGACTTTTGGGAGACTTGGCGGTTGCTTTTTCGTGGCTTCTGATGTACAGCTGAAGCTTACGAGTTGTAGATCGAATATTTTTCTGTTAGACCTGGCTGACAAAGCTCATCCATTTGGGAGGTCTTAAGGTAGTGTTGATGTTATTATTAAACAACATGAGACACTTTATCAGGGCTATTACTTCATTTTTTCGGTACTGGTTTAGTATATCCTACTTCGTATTGACATCTGGCGTTGCAATCAGTAGGCCTGACACTACATTATACGTAAGTAGCGAAGAGGAGATTGCAGTTTTTCCTTTCTAACGTTTGTTGACGATTTCACATTTTGTAAGTCACATGTGTCTTTACTTGAAGTGATGGGAGTGAGAGAAGAATTCCTCACATTCTCTTAGGATTTGGCCCGCAGGTACCTTACATTCAGTGTGTCATCTATGAAGGGAATGCCATATTTCGATCCAGAATAAACCAGTTTATACAACCTCAGAGCTGCGGTACCAGAGTACTTCGCTCTCAGACCAGATCACAACCAAATGTATAGCAAATATGTATTAACATTCGTAACCTGAATGTTCCTGATGATTGAGGCAAAAATTTGACAGATAATAGCTTATTAGCAAACAGAGCATCTAAAGAGGTCTGGGCCTTTCATGAATCACTATAAACTCTATCAGTTTATCTTTCCCGGCCTGGTAATAAGACAGTGGACTTCGGAAGAAAAACTTTGTGGACCAAGCTGTTGAACTCACGCAGGAGGTTCTCCTCTTGATCTCAATCTCGGGCATCGAGTTTACAACTAAGAGAAGTAAGCTTTGAATACACAAAATGTGCATCTCGATTTGAGTACCTAGTCCGACCAACCGTTAGCTTCTTCACCAGAAAAAGTGACGTCTCTGCGTGAAGTGAAGCTGGTTTGGTGCTTGCTCTCGTCTTTGAAGTGAGCATCCGCCGCCGGACTCTTCTTCAATCGCGAGTCTCAGCCAACAAGCTATTCCAACCATGCTCTAGAAGAAATCGCGTGTGTTTGGTTCCCTGGACGCGGGAACCACAGTGTGCACGAGAATCACATGCATGACACCGGTCTTTCACGTGAGCGAGAGGACCAGACATGCTACAACAACATTGAATCCACCAGACTGCACAGTGGCCACTACGAAGATAGTGACAGCCACAAAGCATCATCCATAAGCATGTACTGTAATGTCCCACAAGCATGGGAATGTCCCCTGTGGATTAGGCAGGCGACCGATCGGTTTGTTGGTTTGTATGTACGTTTGGGAGACAAACTCGACAATGGCCTCCCAAGACTACTACACAAAAGAAAGCTCTGCGAACGGACCTGCATCGGACGAGGAGGCGAAAGCAGACACCAATCATCACTCGTCAAGTGCACAGATGTCGGAGCGCGTGCGGGCGTGCGCTGAGTTGCAATCATGGCCGGCCAGCCAGCCAGCAACGGACTGCGCAGAGCTGTGGAGGGTGGTGGAGGGTGGTGGGGGGAACCTTGCAGCGTTGACGCTGGCTGGCTGGCTGGCTGGGTTTGATGGGGGTAGGAGGAGGCAGTACGTGCTGAGTCCAAGCTGCGCCGTCATGCTGCAAGCCTGCGACCAACGGAGGGAGGGAGGGAGGGAGGGGCCGGAGGGACGGGAGGGAGTTGTCAACCGCGCAGGGATTTGGGGTGGAGGGAGGCAAGGGGCCATTGTTGCAGTTGAACAGCGAGTAGTAGCGAGCGGAGGCGGGGAGCGAGCAATGGGAGGCAGATCGAGGAGAGGAGGAGGAGGAGGAGGCGATCGGATCGGGGGAAGCGAGAAGAAGATGTAGGCGAGGACGAGGAGGACGGTGATGAGGTCGGTTTGCAGAATGAGGAGGAGGAGGAGGATGGAGTCGAGTGATCGGCGAATGCCGCAGGGTTTGCTGCTGCTGTCCTGGACTGTCGCTCTCCTCTGCGGATGTGTGTCTCAAGCTTACTCAGGTCGAGTCCTCCTCTCGTGCCCAGCGTGCCGTCCTGCGTCGTTTTGGATCCAGAGTTTTGTGAATTCGTAAGAAACTTGATTCACTCGGTGGGACCTTTCCGAAGGGAATGGATGGATCACGAGGGCATTGGAGGACACAAGATTGTCTTTCGCCTTTGACGAATGCCGACATATCAGCGGTCGAACCAGATGTCGATGGATCATCTCTATGATTGTCGGGCCGAGAAGGTTTCGCGTGTTCTTCTTATACTGCGAAATCACGAGGGTAGCTTCGTGCTGAAAATCAATCTCGGAAGTCTGGTCTGTAGGTTCGGAGACGGCCTCCCTTGTCTGGTGGAGATTTTCGTCAGCTCCGTCGAAAATTGAGCTGTCCGTGAATTTAGATGATTTAATATTTTCCGAATAGCATTTGAAATATGTTCTGCACGTGATCGAATGAATCTGAATTGATCGACAGGACCTTCTGTCATCTCCAGATTCCTTGAGAGGAGAGTGAGACAACTGGCTCGGGGTTGGCAAACGTAACGACTTAGCCAAATTACACAGAGTTCTTCAAAAATTATTCCAATGTTTTGTAGGGTTTGAGGTTTTGATGCGCTAAAGAAAGAAATGGTTAATGACTGCTTCGAATGGCTCTCTGTTTTGTGGAGAGTTCAGTTATCATCGAGCGATTTACCTTGAGTGTTGTCGTGGGTTTAGTCGAGCATTTTGTCCGGTGTTCTGGTTAGCCCGGGAGATGGAGCTCGCGAAGCGCACTTGAATGTCACATACATCAGACATACGAGGTCTGGACAGTTTTTGGCTGTTGTTTCTCTTTGTGTAGAGACGTTCGAAGAATCAGACATGTAGTTCATTAGGCCTGGACACTGGAAGTCCATGTACCACCAAGGGAAGACACTGACCTAAAGCAGGTGCAGATTCTGGTCGCCAAAATTTAGGGTCTCTCGAATGGCTGGACTCACCTTTTGCAAGTGCAAGACCCTGTCTCAGTTTGGGAATTTTGCGTCAACCTTGACCTTCGCTAAACAATGTTACCTTCTTGTTTTTGTGTTGTCTCGAGCATAAATTGGAACGATCAATTATGAGCAGATCGTCTAGGATTTCGTCCTCTAATATCAGACATCGAGGTGACTGAAGTGAGAGAACGTGTTGGATTTGTTGTAGGCCAGGAGGGCGTTTGCGTCTCTCAAGGAAGTCGTTTCCCAAAATTTTCTTTGGAGAACCATGCTCCAAGAAAGGCGTCCAAGGGGAAGATTGACCTTACACTGTGTAGATATTATCGAAAAAAGACATGTTGTGACGTGGTACAGACCCATGCTGCTATACTCACGTTGCAGAAGCTAGCAGGGAGTGGTGAAGCAAGCAGTCAGTGTCTTGAACAATGGGAAGTTTTGGAGTGCTCCATTTGTGATCCTCGTGTAGGAATTACTCCGGGACCTCCCCTCCTATGTCCTGCCTTCTGTGAATCAGTCTTCTCAGCTTGTGCGGATGCGTTCTTTTCCACAGATCCCCTTACTCAGGTATCGCTTTCACTGCTCTCAGCTGCTCTCCATTCATCTGCCCATTCTTCCTCTACTTTATTAACCTTATATAAACCTTTAAAGAGCAGAGGAAACACTGCTGGTACAGCATTTGAGCATTGGGATTTTTATTGTGCTATTTCTGATTGGGTCACTGTCTTTGGTTGCAAACAGATGTTGATGCCTTGCGGCCCAAAAGATGTTCTGTGTGCCAGAGCAAAGGAATGGGCATCCAATAGCTCTGCTTTCTGTCAACTCGCGGGATTCGCTTCAGTGGATACCAGAAATCAGTTCAATTTTCTTGAAGAAAGAGCTTGTTATGATGGGAAAGCCGAGGCGCCAGGGTCAGCTGATGAAGTGGTGAAGATCAAACAAAGAAGTACTCGTCGAGCGAAACATGATAGTTCACTGGACATGCTGAGAAAGTATATAGAGAATATGGATGTTGCCGTTCAGATAATGTGGGCAATAGGAGGGCTTGTTCTTACAGCTGGAGCGTTACATTTAAGGTAGGGATGTGAGATATACTTTGGTTTTCTTCCTTCATCAATTAGTGGTCTGTAGCTACGCATTAACTTAATCTCCTCCGGATTTTGACTAGGCCTATGGGAATCTTTCTCTCTTGTCTTCTATTGACATGATAGTTGTTGTTCAAAATTCATCTGTAATGGCATCTTTGCACTACTCTCCACTTTTACATACATTTAGAGTAACCACCGTGGTCTCCTTCCAGCTTCGCATAATTATGAGGTTTTTTTTACCTTGTTATATGTTACGTTCAGGAGGGCAAGTGACATTTCTTTAATGTAATGACTTATGTGCTGGATTGCTATGGCAGGCGCAGGACTCTTTTAAAGAACAGTACCGCTGCTGTCGTTATGAGAAACAAACAATTGCAAGAGGAAGCCAGGGCCCGCCAGCAGGCAGTGTACAAAGTTTCCGCTGCAACCTCAGCAGGAGCAGCAAAGAGGGACAAAAAGCCACGAGACTCACCCAAGGCTGCCTAACAGTGTGGGGAGATTTTTGGTAGACTCAAGGTACAACTTTTGGCGATGTTCTCTTGCCTTGCTTCTGTTGAGATCTTCCTAAAGATGTCAAGCGAATACAAGTTTGTACATGATAATTTTCTAGCCGGGGAGATCTGGTCCTTTATTAGAGCAGTTCGCCTCAGTCTGATATCAATTAGGCTATGTACCTGTTCCTTTTCTCTTAGGACTGCCTCGATCTTGCGCTTTATAACGCTTCATGAGTAGAGCCCAGTTGTAGGTGTCCAGCTTTGCTCCCCTCCTGCGCTTGGGTCGAAATTGAGGAGGACATTTGGGATATATATTTGTACAACGCTTGCAACTTTCATGTAATGGGTAAAGTTGTTCCTCATGTATTTGTTTCGTTCAACGTGGATCATCTGGTGCCCGTTTTGTTGCCCCACATGTTTGCCTGAAGCATGAGCGTATGTCTTACGTACAATCCTGAGATACACTTCGGTAGGTAGGAATTACATTTCTCATAACGAATCTGGAAGCGAAGTTTTGTGCCAATAACTGGCTCTCTTGTTGTTCGTTTTTTGTTACGTATGAACGCTTTTTATCGTGCTGATGAGCTCTGTGAAGATAAAAGCAGAATGTTTGGACCATCGTTGAGTACATTCAGATGGCTCACGAGGAGCAAAGGTGTTTGAGAAATGAGTCCGAGGCTTATCGCCTGTATGGCGTGTTCCGGTAACCTACGTTCAGATTTAGTCCTTCGTAGACCTGCGTAGGTTTGAGAAGGACCCGAGCGGGCTCAGACCAATTGTGTGAGACGAACTTTCGTATCCGCTAGGGAACTTTTTAACCAGCTCACAGAGTGAGCTGGTTAAAAAGAGGTTACTCAGAGAGTTAAGGTTTATGTTTCGATGTCTAGTCCCGGAGTCCCTTCGCGTTTTTAAACCTTAGCTCGATTTTTGTATGTACAAGATTTTTCTGCTTAAAACAGAATCCGCCTTTCAACACTACTGCTTTCCAAATTAATCAGTATTGAGATTGACAGGATAATTGATAGACATAGCTGGAGTACCAGGTCCAGCTCTTGTCTAGTGACACCCGTAAATCGCGGTAGGATTCTTGATGGTTTTACAGTCGATCACAAAACGATACTTCACATCTGAGTTGTGCAGCCTCACCATCGCGTTGTTAACATAGTCCATGGGAATTCTTTCCACTAAGCAAAAGATGTGGTGTTTGCCACAGAAGTCCATCATTTCTTGTGTTTCTTTCAGACCTCCGATCATACTACCGGCGACGGATCTTCGGCCTGCAGGACACAGGTTATACTTGTCAGCATAACAAAGTGGCCCTGATTCGAAATGTCGGACGAGATTAGTGAAATTGTGCTCGAGTGGAAAGTTGAAACGTGTACATTGGCTAGCAGGACTACCTCTCGAAGCTATTTTGGAGTACTGAAGGTTTAACATAGAGCAGAGAGCTCTCTTTGCTAGTGAGCCCTGTGTCCCTGTGGATCACCACTGTGTATGGAAACAGCGAATTCTCTGCCACCTTACAAGATAAAAGTGTGGGCGATGATGAGCCTTACCGGCTGCAAGGAGCATCGACGAAACAGTCAAGGGTTTGTGGGGCATGCCAACCAGCACCATCTGGCCATTGGTTCTCAGCAGAGGAAGGTATTTATCGAAACTGTGCGGGGCTGATACAGTATCGATGATGAAGTCCAATGTTTTCTCAGCTTTCTGCACATCAGAGCATATTCACTGAAAGGTAATGAAAGCCATTCGTTGATGGACCTTAGTACCTGATCTTGTTCGCGTAGAAGGATTCTATTGAAACTTGCAGAAGTGATCGAACTATGGTCGACGAAGTTGAAAGCAATTGTCTAGAATTCGCTGCAGCTTTTCGATGGAAAAGCAACCAGTGATCAATTCCAGATCACTGGTTTTAGCCTGGGAAGGAGAAGAGGTGGCTTCCTATCATATCGAAGTGACAAAAAACGTACAATCAGTCTTGAATATCACCTTCATTCTTTTAAGATCGCTGCTAACGATGAAGTCATCAGCTCGCAAACAAGCACGTGCCTCGAGCTCCTTGTCGGGGGAGGAGCTAATTACTGTAACTTGCATGCCCATGGCTCTGGCGAACTTCGCAGCCATGAACCCTAATCCACCTAACCCAACAACTCCAAAATGTTTACCCCCTTGTTGCATTTTATAGTGCATCATCGGACTGTACACTGTAATGCCTGCACATAGCAACGGTGCAGCTCCGTCCATGGGCAACCCATCTGGTATTTTGATCACAAACCTGCAGGCCAAGAACGAGGAAGCTGTTAGCCTTTTCGTCTGTGTTACATCCCGAGGACGAGCGTGATCAAGTCTACAAGCACTGAATCATTGGTTCTCTGCCGGCAGATGAACGCAGAAGACGATCAAAACAAAAATGAATGTGGACCTCTCTGGAGCCACCATCAAAGTAGAGAAGCCACCATAAGTCGGCAGGTTGTCCGTGTAAATATCTTTGTCATTGTACGTCCAAATAGGTTTCTCTTCACAATATTGTTCCAGATTTCTCTTACAGTGGCTGCATTTGCCACAGCTGTTCACCAGACAGCCTACCCCCACTCTGTTGCCAATCTTGAACCTGGTCACCTCGTCTCCCACATCACACACTATGCCTGTCATCTCATGACTGCACACCATTCACCATGAGCAAGCTTTGATCAAAATTCGGGATGGGCCACACTTCATCCATGCCGAAAGCAAATGTTCAGTGAAGCAAAAAGACACCGACATATTGGGAATCCCTTTCCTATCCCCAGATTTCATTCCAACTATGACCGGAAGAAGATCCAGCACCAGAGCCTGTGGAATGGAGCTTCGTCCCACACAGAGAAATGATAAATGAGGTCTCATGGAGAAAGGATCTGTGGAGAGGAGCAGCAGAGGAGGAGGGAAATCTGACCCTGGAACAATCGGATACTGTGCAGGAACATCATCGGACCACTCATCCCTGATCTGATGAAGATCAGAATGACAAATGCCGCAGTAGAGAATTCTGAACACGACGTCGCGAGGTTGAGTCGGCCTGCAACACACAAATGCTTCATCTGTGTGTCACGCTTTACAGGAACGCTGAACGAAGCAAGTATCAAAACCCTCATCATGTACAAACTCTCTTGCTCGATTCGATTCGATGAGGGCATGATCCATCCTGATGATTAGTCCTGCTACTCTATAACTGACAGATGCTGGATTTCAGCACAACAGTCCGAGTCGAATCAAAAGCCCCAGCAGTCTGACAACAACTTCCTCGAGGCCTCGGGAGGTGGAAGTTCGCAATCCATCACGGATTGTAAACATTCTTGTCTTTCAATAGGGCAGATTTCAGATTCAGTAGACTCTAGGATCGAGGGCCATCGAGGCTCGTCTGGTCAACGAGATGCAGACTCTCAGACATTTATTCACATAGTCAGGTTGGTTTGGAGCTGGGTTGATTTGGCTCAGTTGGATTCAATTTAGTTCATCAACGATTGGGATCCATCGTCTGTCCACGAAAGCTTCGGCTCGTTTGCACTTCGATGGATCGATCGACGGATTCTTTTACCTCGGAGGGAATCTCGCCGAGTCATTCTTAGGGCTTGCAGTGTATGAAATCAGGCTCAAACCCCCAGCTCTTGCGTTTCTCTGCCAGGGTTTAGGTTTTGGACATGGGCTTCGATATGGATCGTTTGGGTTGTGGGGACAAGTCATCTGTGGTCGTCGAACGCGGACACTTGACAAATTTCGATTCTGCTCGTCGATGGAAATGCGGTCACGAAACGGGGGAAACTTGAAATTGGATTATCGAGGTTGGTCGTATGAGCCCATGGAGCATGAAAGCCACGTTCGACAGAAGAACTCGTTCTGAGCGCTCGTCCTGAAATTTCCTTGGGTGAATTGAAATTCCTCTTCCTTCTGCCACAGTTGATCCGTGCAGACAGACAGACAGACAGAAGGAGGGGAATTCTCAGGCCCAAGCTTCAAGAAGTACCTGCGGTCGAAGACGAAGGGCAGGAGTTTGCCGCCCTTCTCGACGGCGGCATAGCCCAGAACCTTCTTGACTCCTGAGGTACCGGAATCGAGGGCAGGGTTCGACATGTCGTCCGGTCTCGATCTCCAAATTCAGGTCGAAAAGAAGAATGTCAAGGTTCGATTCAATTCAATTCAATTCCTGCCGAGATCCGTCGGCAATCAGCCTCCGAGTGCCGTGCCCTGCCGCCGCGCTCGAGTCGAGCTCCGTCGCACGAGTCCGGCCGATGGAAAAAAACAGGCATCGCTTGCCTGCGCTCCATGGAAATCAGTGAACGGCGAGCGCAATGAGCGAGCATCAGCATCAGCAGTCCTGAAGAATGATTGGATGTTTCGTGGGGTGGAGACCAGCCAGACAGGCCTGTCTGTCCGTCCGCCTGTCTCTCTGAGAGCTTTATCCCGGCCTACAGTTAATTCGCTCCGTGCCATCCTCATGCTCGATCGATCGAGGTCGAGCTCGCCTCCTGATCTTCCGAGATTGCTAGCGCCCGGTCCAAGCATGCACGCACCCGCTAAATCCTCCATCATCATCGTACGTACGCCCGCGACTGGAAGCTCGTTTCTTCATCATCAGAATCAGGCTCATGGATCGCGCGAATCTGGTCTCAGGGTTTACGAACACGGACGCGAATTGAGAGCTCGTCGGGTCGGCCGATTGGATTCGGCCGTACGTCGGTGGTCTGGGGCTAATGATCGGGCCGAATCTACTCCAAGCTCGATGGTGGGGCAGCATCATCATGACTCGAAGCCAGCCATCGACAGTAGAATGGCCGTAATGTGGCATCCATCATGGGCACGGGGCGTGGGCCTCGAGTTTTCGCACGCTGTTAAGATCGCCCGGGGACAGTCTTAATCAAAGTGGCCGCCGTGAGTGCGATTGCTTTTCTTCGGCTCCCGCAGCCTCTCGCTTTCTGCGTCGTACATTGTCGCATGCACTCGTTGTTCTTCGATTGCAGACGAGTCAAGGTTTCGCTGCTGCTCCGGGCAATGATTCTATCCCCGAGCATGCAAATTGCATTTGGCAAGGCAAGGCAAAGCAAAGCATCCACCGAAACACTCGATCGGACCTCGAGTCCGATCGATCGATCCATCCATCGAGACTCGGGCCGCCATCGAGCACTTTGTCGGCTTGCAGTTTATTGAAGATAGAGGAGTGGAAGGCAGGCAGACATGCGAGTGACCGACCATCCGAGACATGAAATCGATTTGCATGTCTCTGGCATGTGACCCACCCACCCACCCACTGGCAGCCATGTTGACATCGCCAAGACTCTGCCCGACCCGAGGTTCAATTTCTCGATTTGCAACACGACATCGACCTCCACCTCCACCTCCACCTTCTGCAGTCTGCTGCCAACATGCTGTCAACATGCTGTCAGCAAGACCCAAGGGTTGGCGTGACAGCAGTCGAGGTCGAGTCTCGGGGATTTTGATGCTCGAGGCTCAAATGCGGCCACGGGAAACTTTGCTTGGAGGTGAGGTGAGGTGAGATGGGCCAGTCAGAGCCGCCCTCGGTGAACGAGAGAGCGAGAGAGAGAGAGAGAGGGTCAATGGAAAGGAGACCTGGCACGATGTGAGGTCCAAATCGCAGTCATCTGAAAGCGTTCGAGCCCATGATGTCGCACTTCAGAGGCGGGTTGCAGATGATTTTGTTGCGTGCTGCATGGATTGGACAGCTCACAGGATGAAATGCCCAACTCGAGATCGGATCGATGTGACAGACAGACAGACAGACAGACGGACGGACCGACTGCTGGAAGGCGCTGCTAGAAAATATGCCCCGAACGAAAGTGTACTGGACTGGACGAGAGTTGACATGGGTTGACATTGTTGACCTGGAGCAGTGAGTGCCGTGCGGAGGTCGCCAGTGCTTTTGGCTGACCTTCAACTGGCAATCTAGATTCCCATGGGGCAGTGGCCCAGGACAGAAGCTCGCGAGCTGGATGTACGTGCCCAGTAAGATTTGAAATCGCAATTTTATCTATAACAGTATTTGCCATGCGTCTACAACTGATCTTGCAGCTTGTCAGTGACGTTCAGGTGCCTCGAAAGTACTACAATGTGCTCGTCGACATGTCGATCGGAGTTGTTTCTTTCTGGTCAATGCCTCGTCTCGAAAGCTGCCCATTTTCGTTAACCTGCCCAACAATCTTAATCACACCTTCTGCCACACAAGGGCGGGGACTCGAATGTCAATGTCACGAGAATCTAACGAGCCCATCCGATCAGCCGGGCTCAATGGCAGCTCTGATTGCGTTGTGTTTATGTTCTGTTCTTGGCCAGGTCCGTCTGACCGACCGACTGACTGGCAGAGAGCAGGTCAAGTATCGAAAACCGATTGCTCTGCCTGTGTTCTCTACCTGGCTGCTGCACTGAAAGCAAGCAAGCCAGTCGGACCAGCAGACGCGTTTGTTTCGCTGTTCCAGTCAATTACAGTACCTACTCCATTGAATATTGAGTATTGAATGCCATGGGACACGCGAAGGGAGAGGATGGGCTGGGCTGGGCTGGGCTGGGCTGGGGCTCAATGAATCGACTGCATTTCCAGCAGAATGAGCTCGGGGATCTGTAGGCTACATTCTCGGACAGGTGTGCCGGTGTCTCGAGGAGTACCACCAGCCTGCACAGGTACAGTTCACTCATCCGGGCAACTTTCCGACACTACGTCACGTCGATCGTCATGGTATCTGAGTCCTTCTGGAATAGGGCCCCACCACAGGAATGTCTTCCAACTGGAACTGGAACGGGAACGGGAACGGGAACTTATCTTCACTTTTTGGGGCTTTCTTTTTGGCAACGTATTCTCCATGGCGATCCATGGTTCGCCATGAGCTCTTTGCTACAGCGCTGACCTCGTGCCGTCTTAGCAGTTGTAGAGTTCCAGTAGGCATCGACTACTTTTCAGAGCCCCGGAAGTCATACACGAGCTTTTGAGCATATGATGGGGCTCGAAGCTTCCACGAGGTCATGTAGGTCAACTCTCGTCGGTGACATCAATCGTGTGTCTAAGAAACGGACCTTTTGAAGAAAAGATAAGCTCGCACCTTGACTCCTTCATTCGCAACCTCGAGACATATCCCTCATCTTTCCCCATTTTTTTAATGGATTGACTTCCTTCATCATTGAGTCCTCGGGGTCCAAAATATAAAAGAAACGTGTACATAAATTACAGACGATACGAAGATACACCGTATATACAAATGCGTGTCCTTATCTAACCTCAATTCGGTAAGTGTTTGAGTGCTGTGAGATCCCCGAGCTTCTGATGTCATCGCAGACTAGTAAATATTTGTATTGTTTCTGTCCTCAGACGTCCATCTAAGATGCTAATTACACCTCTTGGACCTCATATGATGCCTGCTGCTGAGGTTGACCATCTGTCTTAGTTTATTTTCGTTAATATTATTTAAGCTTTAGTGTTGTGTTTTCACTTTTATGGAATCGGCTTATTTTAGCTTCCAAGATACTGGTGAATTATATTCTGTACAGACTGGACGGGTTTGAGTGACAGAACAAGCTGGCGATCGTCGGTTCTGTTATAAGTTTCTTTTAATCTAGAAAGTTCAAAGCCGAAGGGTTGACTTGGGAGACATAGAGAGAGCTTGGTGACGCTCTCAATTCGGGCTGTGGGAGCTCGGAGTCGATGCATTCTACGGTTCATATGGCGTCGCGTCAGGAGAAAGCTTGTGACCCGAAAATCAAGTTCGTTCAACGAGCTTTCCTTTCACTCAAAGTTATGCTCTCTGAAGTATATTTCGAATATCTCCTATACAGTCTGTTCACGCATCGTCAAATTTCTGTCGAAGGAGCTGCAGCAGATGCTCCTGTAAACAACAACAGCAGCAACAGCAGCAGCACAGAAGTATGCGTCGTGGATCGTCGAGAGCTCTGGTTCTCCCGCTTGACATTGGCATGGTTTGAAGCTCTTACCTCTCGGCTTAACCCGTCTTCTTGCACCTGGACGCCTGACGTTCTTTCACCGTCATCGATAAGATTCAGCAAACCAGACTACTTGGAATGGCCTTGGCAGTCTCACGAACTCGCAACTAGTGGAAGCGTAAAGAAAGATCGACATGTATAACAGAAGAAAAGACTCCGGGGAATCCGAATAGAAGACGAGGAAGAAGATGGATTAAGTGAGCCGGGTGCACTATGCTGAGATGCGAAAGTCAGATTGAGGTCTCATGCATTCTAGTCATGCATTGCTTCCGTGCGTTCGATCTAGAGCAGCATCTAAAAGATCTAAGAATGTGTAGTGAGATCCGACTCTCTCCGGTGCAAAGATCAGAAAACTGCTTGGCCTATTTGCTCTGAGTCAGTCAGCTCGGCTCATTCGAGACAGTATGTATAATGATAATCGACAACGCCGCTGGCAGGCACGCAAACAAATCCTGCTGCTGTCGCTGGATGTCCACCGAGTAGATGTGACCTAAGTCGATTGTTAGTATTAAAAATCCGCGCCATGAGATTTTGCAGGAATGCGTGAATCATGTGCAATAATTAGGATCGAAGTACGGTTTGAGCAACTGGTGAAAGTCAAATCACCTTCTGCTTCCGAACAGGAGCTTCATTCTGCGCAATATGAGCAGCTGCACTTGGATCAACTTCTGAGATGACAGTGTACTCTGTACACGACGCGGCCCTTGTAATTTTTCACAAGCTGAACTAACTCAGTCTACGGTATTGGATACAACCTTCTGAGCCTACTGGCAAGTGTATCATCCCAAGGGTGGCAGGATACGTATCTGTATGTAGCGAGTGGGCTGGCTGGCCTTGGATTGTATTCATGACAAGCTGGCGCATTGGCCAATTCGACATGATTAGCCCTACCGACGTTGATTTTGAGGGCCTCTTGTATGGCTAAGTAGCGAGTCCAGTAAAAACTGTAAGAATTAGTAACAAGTATCATATTATCGACTCGAGGATCACGTTGTGTACTTGATCTTGGCCAGCTGCAATAAAGTACTGCCGCATTTAAGACAGTTAAACTTCACAGTTACAGTGCATGCATCAGAATTGGCCAAACTTTAGCGCAACTGTATTCGAGTGGGTCAGGGTTACTGATTAAAGAGAACTAGGTAAACTGTCTCAACTCTGATTTTGAAAACCTTCGGATCCCATCTTGTGTTTGTTTATGTGTGCGTCGGAAGATGGAAGGTGTGCAAGAGGCAGAGCAATTTCTTTGGATGAGGGTTATATTGGCCAATGTGGAAATTGGCATGCAGGTATATCTGACAGGTCTGAGCTGTCACTCAACTCCCGAGACAACGAGAGATAAAGCAAAGTTGATGAGTGGGCAGACCCATGAAGAAGACCTCCGTCGTCTTGTTTATAAAACATCTCTTACCAAACAACAATCTGCAATCATACTTCGGATCCATGGGCTCAGAAAAGGAGACGTCGTTGGTCGAGGTTGGCCCCATCGATTTGGCAGCGCAGCGAGAATCAAGAGCAGGAACCTTCTTGACTCCCCTCTTTCCAGGCCAAAGGGAAGTCAAACGAAGTATTGTTCCAAATGTTGGGAAGTTTCGAGACCTGTCTCAGGTCAGAAGGTTACGAGTGCATCAAGATCGAAGTGAACATCAGCTGGTAGTCACAGTACAGCCAAACACTTCATACAAACCTTTTCCAAATCATGATGTTCGTGTTAGCTAGTACATTACAGCCACATTGAACCTCATTATAACATTCAGCTACACACCATTTACCCTCGAACTCAGATCGTGGCCAGCTGTGAAGTACGTTCTTTCTTCATTCCAGCCTCTACTTGTTCTCCATCCAAACCGGGGCACGTACTAGATCCTTGTAACATATTTTGAGCTTAGGGGTGCTGCTATCAAGAGTCCCTTGTTATCTAATCCATGGCTGGAAGATTTGTAATATCGATGCCAGTAAATTACTTCTGACGGACCCACTGTCACAGTAAACAAGTACCATGCTTAGTGCAGTTCGGTTCAGTCCATCGAGGAACTCGTAGCGGTTCTTGTGGTCAGATTCATCGACCAACTCGCAAATCCAATGATTACTTCACCTACTCAACGAAATTTGAACCATCTGTAATATTGTTCAACAGTAGCATAGTCTCGACTCTGGCACAGCATCCACATCTCGAGCAGCTACGCTACTCCTCGTTCAGACCCCCGCCACTTGGGGCCTCGAGTTCCATAAGCATCTACAGGGAGGGGAAAGAAAGAAGAAAGGTTCGAAATCTTCTACACGCCCTTGTCTGCCCTTTTCTGATCGATATTATATATTACCAGCCCTCTTGAGACTTTGAACTTTGAACTTTAAACGGATGGACGTGCAGATATTCTCGATTTTGGAACAGCCCACATAATCCAGAATCTGGTCAGCTGCATGGTCGTCTCTAATGTAATGTAATCCAGGGACGAGATCAGCACGTGGTGCGGTGGGACTCGCTGAGCGATTATTGTCCGAACAGTTCTGACTCAGTCTGTTATTAGTGAGCAAAGAAGGGCTTTGACTGGTGGAGGCAAATTGGCTGTTTGAATTAGCAAATTCTTGTCCTGCCAGCCATTGGATAGCTTCCCAACATCATGCAACCAGCCAGCCAGCCAGCCATTCTATCCAGAGGCTGAAAAGACAAGCAGAGATAAATATACTGACCCCTTGGTATGGGGTCTTGCAGTATGAGATACGTACGTACGTACGTATTCCATTCAGATAGGGACACCCCTGTATGAATACTCCCACTAAGTTGGAGGACATTCGAGGAGATGATTCGAGAAACACATTTCATGGCCTTCCGAAATGTCTTTTTCACGAACTCATCTGAATCAACAGACTGACGATGAAGTTCTCTACAATGACGATCTGCCCTGATCGATGCCCTCCCGTGGTTATGGTTATGGTTATGCATCATTGGATGAAGACACGCCGGACATACACTGCAGCCTCTAGCTCACCTTTACAATAGATCATGTCAAAATCAGACAGGCCCCATGGGCTGTAACTATGCCGGCTCAAAGTCTGAGAATCTTGAGATTCGTTCTGTCCTTAAAAGCTCAGAACCCTACCGATATCCTCCGCGTACGTACTCTCGTGTACCTTGATTCTCATTGCATCTCCGTGATGGGCTTTGAGCGCAGTGGCCATGAAGGAAGGTTAGCATGATTTGTCTCCTTACAACTTACAGCAGCAGCTGCGTAAAACGAGGTTTTCGAAACCCTACAGTGATGGAGGCAGGAGACAGTGTTTCCATAACGTGAACTTCGGGTACAGCCCAAATTGACCAACTCTCATAGCCCTTGAGAAAATGCGTATTTGGCAACGAATTGTCAGGATGGGCGGCGCAGTGGCACCTTTCATGATGCATAATGTTTCAGCTATGATATCCTGTAGAGCACTTGAGCAAGTTGCTTGCTTGAATTGTGGAGGCGATGACAGGTATACCAAATTGAAGATGTTGAACGTACTGTGCTTGCCTGAACAAGGCGAGAGGAAAGATCAGTTTTCTGAGCTGGGCTTCTTCCGTCGTATCTTGTGAGGGGGCTGTCTGAGCTCGGCAGTAGAAGCGTTCAGGAACGTGCTCAGCGAGTGTCGATCCATAAGATATTCCAAAAAGAAGGGAGAAAAGTGATTCTTTGTCATGAGTCATGACATTTATTATAGATTACTCACGGATGCCAGTGCCGGCCCCAGCTGTAAGACTGGGCAACTGTGTCAGTGGCCCACCGAGACCTGCCCAGGTGTCCACTGCGAGAACAGGTCGAAGGGTGTCGACCGGGTCGTCAAAAGCGCTTGACGTCGACACCGACCGAGTCTTGGACCCTGCAGCTGAGGGTTCAACTTTCAACGA